AGAGCGGACGCTGTAGTTGAGACAGGGCGGACGCTGTAGTTGAGATAGAGCAGATGCTGTTACTGTAGTTGGGATAGAGCGGATACTGTGGTTAAAACAGAGCGGACGCTGTAGTTGAGATAGGGCGACGCTGTGGTTGAGATAGGGCGGATGCTGGAGCATTACCCTTCTAGGTATCCATCCGTAAATTTGTTTTATCTGGGCGCTGATAACGAGAGGCATTGAATTGAGTCGAGGCACAGCTTGGTGCTCGTTGATAAGAAGTCGAGATTGAGAGAGTCGGGATTGAGGGAGTCGAGAATGTGGAAGTCGCTATTTGAGAACGGTCCGGTTTAGGGGTTCCTGGAAGCATGACTTTCCGCGCTGCAACCGGGGAAATAAAGACAGGGCTCTCGCGCAATTTTTGCCCTCAGGCGGGCGACAGGACTGCTCAAACCGGAACAGAATTTCTGGTCAGAGGTCTTCGCTCTTCACTCTGTGGGTGTTTCAGCTGACAGGACTGGAGAGAGGCTTGGGTGGCAAAGCTTGTATTTCACACTCTCAAAACTGCCAGACGAGATTGTGGGAAGCTGAAAACTCTAACGTTTAGTATGGCTTTTGAACAACGAAGGGAGTTATCGGACGGAGTGGCTGGCTGCATGGAGAGGCTAGGCTGAGCGGTCACACTTGAGGTGTTGATGGTGCTGTAGTTTTTGCAGTTGCGATGGGTGCAGAGGCTCTTGGCGCGGACTGGAGTCGACCGACCGATACAGCACAACACATATTCAGTGTCTGGTCGTAGTGCGATGGTTTGAAAGGTAATGAGGTGAACTGCCTCTATCAGTGAGGTCTTTTGTGGGTAGGCTGAGTGGCAGATACCGTACCTTGAGCGATTGAAACTTCGATGGAAAACCAGTTCCGTGGAATGAACCTTTCGGATGTCGCGCATTGAAAGATTGGCGGCAGGAGCCACGTTTGTAACAGAAGTCTCTACCCACGGTGGAGCAGAGCTGATGCAATGAGGCGTACTTACGATATGGGCTGTCTAAGGTGAAGTGCATGGGCAACCCTTGTCAAGCCCGAAGTACCTCGTCCGCGTTTGGCTGGAGGTCGGAGACGTGCATTCGCACAATATCGTAAATTTTGGTAGTTGTATGTGCCTGCTTGGTGAATGACGATCTTACAGAGCTTCGGCAGCGAGTCCCCCGGAGCTTCGAACTGATGATTGTTCTCATGAAAGAGAACTTCTTTGGGTTGTGAATGAAGCAATGGTGCCGTCTGATTGTGTGCTAGCACGTGTGTAGTTGCCGTTGGGCCCGAGCGCGCATGACGTGGAGTTGACTGCGGAGAGGGTGAATGGACGGTGTTGCTTGACATAGAATATGCTTCGTCGCCCTGAGCGTGTCAATAGTCAAGGTCGGATCGGCTCCGTCTTCGTGGTCTGGGTGATTTCATATGGTGCGCGGAACGTTGTCCTGTTTATCGGAAAGAACAATTGACGAATCCCAATAGGACAGCTTGAGTGCACAGCATGAGCCAATCGCAGTGATTCGTCGTGAAGACTCAAGTCAGCTTGGGAAGAGCGGTATTGAGTGACGTGGAATCTGAAAACTATGGGATTCTAGATAACAGTCAACGCAGGCTCGTTTTGAAAGAGTTTCTCACGGCTCACGATGTTGGATTTCGCGTTTGCGATGGTTGAATACCAATACCATATCTGTTGAAGATGGACCTGCGAAGTTGCGGAATGCTGACCTGGATGGCCGTTTCGCCACAAGGAGTGCTTTGCGGGAGGTGATTCTGCACCTGCTGTATGATGCACTTGCTGAGCGATCCGTTTCACGGCGGGACACTGCGTATGCTGAAGAGTATCTAAATAAGCACATCTGAATGTACTCGAATTTGAAGTCGGTACTCACTTCAACAAGGACCTCAGAGTGATCAAGTCGCATTGCTCTTGCAGCATCCGGAGAATGTGTAAGCCAGAGCCAGGGATCCGATCAAGCGCTGGGTGGCATTGTTGACTCGCTGGAGGTATTGTAGCCGGGGAGCTCGAAGACAAATGGCATCATGGACAGGCATGCATGCGTTTCAGGTGATCTGAGCATCGTACTTCCACAAAAACGACTCCAGAAAAAGGAGTTTCTTGTCGATTGTCACCGTGCCTTTGTTGTCGGTAAACGAGCTCTTTCGTAGCTCGGAAACTTTTGCACTGGTCGTCGAAAGCCGTCTGAATGGTGCCGCAAACCGCGAATTGAGCTTCGTCGGCCCTCGAGGAAAAGAGGAGCTAATGGTTTGCAGCACTCGTGCTTTCCGGGTTTGCTATGGGTAGTCGGTTGTATGGTCACCGTTGCAGGCAAAAGGCTGTTGCCCCCTGACACTCCGTGTAGCTGTGCGAAGAACTACTTTCTTTTTGTCGAGGTCATGTTCTGTCCGTGCTGGCCGCACATGCCATTTGTCTCCGAGTCCCTGATCTGTAACAACTGTTTTGTCAGTACGTTAGTACACCTACATCATCTGCCAGCACACACAGCTCTTGCAGTCGCCCAGGAATCCCTCCGTCAAACTTATTGCCTAGGTTCACCATGGTTCGTAAGAGTCTATCGACGACCAGCTACGTTCGCCAGCCCAAGCGCCCTTGCTCGATTCCGGAGAGAGAACTTTTCTTTACCAAAAAACTCTTCCATATCACTCCATGATTGACTCTTGTCCGGCCAGCGTTTCTTGAGTTCCTCGTCTTGCTCGGGAGTCCAGCGCTTGAAGGTCGCCTTCTTTCTTAGGCCGAGTTTGGTCATTCTAGTGCGGATCATATCACGGTTCCGGCCGGGGAAATGTTCGACCATATCCTTGTTTTCCACGCCATCTGCGTGGAACTTTCTGAGTCTGGAATCTTCTTCATCGGTCCAGGGAACATGTTTTTGCCTCCTCGAGATGCCAAGTTGGAATGCCCTGGCAGACAAAGCGGGGCCGGTGCGGCCGGGAAACTGTTCAGCCATTTCATCGTAAGTCATCTTGGTCTTGCTCAGTTGCCTGAGTTTAGCTTCTTCTGCGTCGGTCCACGGAGTGTTAGCCTCCTTTGTGATACCTAGTGATTGCGCCCTCCCAGCCAGCGCCGTGGCGCTACGACCCGGAAAATTGGTGGCCATAGCATCGTACTGAATTCCCGTCCCGTACAACTTCTTGAGTTTGGCATCTTCCTCCTCAGTCCACGGAGAAAAAATACCTTGGATGCCAAGCTCCCTGGCCCTCGCCTTTATGTTGCTGAGATAGCGACCAGGAAACTCGCCATGCAGGTCCTCGAACGCCGTGCCGGCCTCTCGAAGACGCTTCAGTTTAGCGTCTTCCTCGTCAGTCCATTTGGGTGATCGCGGCGCCCCTAGCTTGAGGACGCATATTCTCGCCTGTATAGAACTCGCGGTACGACCAGGAAGAAAAGAGGCCATCTCCGCGACTTTCATTGTGCGGTTAGCAATAAGCAGCCTGAGGGTGGTATCTTCGTCGGCACGCCAGTCTGTCGACCTGGGGATGCGAACAAAGAAGGCGCCAAGCTTCTGTTGTACTTTGCCGTCGTCGTCATGGCTGACCAGTGGGTTGTCGAGGCGCAATCGACAGAGGCTGAATGCAAAGTCGAATATGACGTTGTACACGGCCTGGTAATCTGGTGTCCTGTTGACATACTCCGGGTGGTGGATTTGGACCACGATCTTGCATAGCTTCTTGCCGTTCCAAAGTAAACCGCATTGCACGGAAACTCTTTCCTCAAGCTGCACGTGGCGGAGCATACTTATCCGCTGCTTGAAACGGTTGTGATTCAACTTACCTGCGAGCAGCAAAACCTTGCCAGCAGAGTTTACCCAGAGCCATTCGGCAAACTCTTGGTGCACACTCTTGAGCTCGTCTGAATAGTAATCGGGCACGGTCAGCTCAGTCCTTTTACCGTTTTGCTCTCGTACCGCTTCACGACGAGAGTACGTGTCGAAAACTAGACAGTTCTCTGCAGATATGCCCATCGCGACAAGTCGTGCTATGGTTTGAGCAGGATGCTCTAGTACCTTTTCAGGCAATTTCACACAGTCGAAAGTAGGGTGATTGAGTTGAATCAATACACCCGCACACAGTACACCCGAAGGTTCACACAGCTCATTCTCTGGACGACCAGACAATTCACATTCATTCACACAGAATTCTTTCCATTTCTCATCGTATTTCGATTGCATTTCGTAACACTTCTCGATCGATGGCCACTCTTCGTCAAGCAATGCATTGATCTCGGCTTCATATTCGGGAAAAGCACCAATAATGGTATCCCGTACGGCCCGCATGTTGCTGCTATCCTCGAGCCTATGGACCACCTGTGTGAAGGCCCGTAACATTACAGTCTCAGCATCAACGGCCTCATGCGGTGGTGCCGTATCTGGGTCCGTTTCATCAAAATCTAGTGCTGTAGATGTTGTGTCAAGTGGTTCCGTATCTATCAAAAATTTCTCAAACAATGGCTCCCTACCTAGTGTAAATTGCTCAGATTGTGGCGCTCTAGATGGTGGATGCTGCGGTGGCAGAGCCGACGAAAACTGATCATACTGTTGTGGCGCCGTAAGCGGCGCAGGCTGATAATACTGTGGTCCCGTAACTGGCGGGAACTGGAAGTAGTCTTGTGGTGTTCCAAATGGCGTCAATTCTGGGTGCTGCGGCCGCATATGCGGTGGCTGCCGTTTTCTCGAAGCACCTACATTCACAGCAGACCCGTTCTCCTTGGTATCAACGAGAAAATCGTCCCATGTACGCTTACCGAGTGTCTTTGACGACGGAAATGATTGCTGCTGCTGCTGCTCTGCCACACTGGGCTCAGGCTGCTCTTCCATACCCAGCTCTTCCACTACAGTATCACCCAGCAAGTCGGCGGCAGAAGGGGGGGCTTGCGCGCACGAAGCTCTTGGAACACCAGACGGACGGGCAGGCAACTGGCCTCTCTTGTTACTGTCGGCAATGGCACGTCAGTGGAAGTTGTGTTACAGACAAGAATCCTGTACTGACGTGGAATGCTTAATAGTCCTGAAAGACTGTTAGCAGCTTCATAGCCAAGTAGGAGTACTGCACTCACATGTTGGAAGACATGGTGGTGAGTGGTGGGTGGTGACTGGTTGGTCGTTGGTGGTGTTGGTATTGGTGATTCTGGAGAATGGTCAGTATGTATCTGAGGAGACGGACTCAAGGAACACACGGTTTGTGGTAGTGGTGTGGTGTTGGCTGTTGTGGTGTTGGTTGTGCTGGTAGACTGTGGGAAAAGTATTTGAAACTCGTGGATTGAGCTCAATGTCAGTTCGCAGCATTCTGGCCCCCGCAGGTACACCTTTCCCGATTCTGGCAGACAGCCCACGCAGCTCCTCATGCGCTCCTTAACACATTCATACACTGAATGCAAGCCAGGTTTCATTTCCTTCCGTCTTCATTCGCTGGGTACTGACTGTGCGCTTCTCTTTGACCCAGCTTCACCACACCCAGGCACCATGGATCCCACATCAACACCTTTCGACAACCACAATGCAAACTCGAGGATCGGAATACACCAAAGGGTATCCAACATGATGAATTTCCTGCCTCGGCGCGTCCGACCCTTCCTTACCTTCTCGGACCACGTTGTGGAAGACGAATAGGGTCGTCTTACCAGAGTGGAAGCTTCAGGGTGGGCAGAATGTCCAAGCAAAGACGAAGCCTGCGTAGTCCAGGATCGCGTAAGGCCTGAATATCAAACGTGCCATAGAACCAGTTCGAACAGCTCAGGAATTTTGGTGGAGGGGGGGTGTGTTACCTAGGGGATCTTCTTCTTTCGCCTTTGCAGCAGAACTGCGGAAGCCGACTCCAGCTGCCGAGTACATCATAATGCTGAATGTCATGGAGTGGCAGCAGCAGGTTGTATTGCCCTGGAACCGATGCTCACGTAGCATGGATCGAAGATATAGCCAGGAGAACGCGTATGATGGGTGACAACCTGGGAAGAGTATGCCGGTCCTTGCCAGGGCTGTGAGCCGGATCATAGTCATGTAGCACTGCAGTCAGCGGAGTTCATTGTAAACACGGATCTTGTTCAATTCTTTCTGCTAAACAATCTTAATCAAGGACGTATGTTTCTGCGCCCTTGAGGTTGTGATTGTTTCCTCAATCGACTACGACTCGGGAAGTTCCAGGACGACAATTCCTCCAACTAACGCAGCGGAAAACGGGTGCAGCTCGACAGGCGCAAGAGGCTCCTGCCGAATCCGCACTCGAAAGCAGTCCAAGTTTTTCTCACCAAGAGTCAACTAGTACGGCGGCCGATCGCATCTCCCGCGTTCACCCGTCGGCAAGCACAGGCCTTCTTTGCCAGACGAGTGGCCTGCTACCGATGCGCTTCCGCCGTGCTTCTGCTGTCTTCCATTTCACCTATTTGTGCTGACAAGCCACTTCCGCTGGTGCTGGTTGTGATCGTGCAAGTTTGCAAGTGGCAAGTGACGGTGCTTTTGAGGCGGAGTGAGGTGAAATTCAGCGCCGACTGCAGATATATGCAGAATCAGCAGTTTGCGAAGGGTGGGTGGGGACGGGTTTTCGGCGGGCAACACATAAGTTGGTGATGACGACCGTCGCGAGAAGCCGTTCCGCGTAGAAGTCGGGTTAGTATAGAACTTGGATGTTGTCGTAAGAATGACTTGCCTGCTGGTTTTGTCAAATTGAGAAGATATTGCCGGTGGATCTGTCGGATTAAAGTGTGGCCGGGTGAGTGCAAGGGACCCTTGTCGACACTTGGCTTAATGACCCAACCAAGTGATGAGCTTCCGGCTAAATCTGCAGCCTCGTGTCGTGCGGAGCAACACGGAACCCAAATTGAACGGCGAGCTCTGTGACATTCGTGCAGCAAAGTCTGGCAAGACTGGACTAGTGGCTTTGTATCAATGGACGAGCCCCAATATATTTTGATGTTATTGTGCCTATTAGAGCGGTGAAGCCGACTCCTTCCAAGCAGTCGCAGTCCTGCTGCAATGATTTCGCAGGCGCTAGTCGGTAGATGGAAAAGGTTCACAGGTGTGTTGTTTGTGATCTCCTTCCGGGTCATCAGGCTCCGGCTTCTCCAGGTTTATGGTTCGAGGTCGATACTTCTTGGCTGAGTCTCGCGAAGAACGGCGGGGAGGGGGATATATGAGCTGGATGTCCAATTCCAGCAAGCGTGAGACTCTGTCGACGAAACGAAATGTCCTGCGCCCACTAACAGTCATCGACATGATGCCGAAGATTCATCACATGCTACCTGCAGGGAGGAGGCGCAGCATATCCGTGGAGAAGGCCGTGCAGAGTCGATATATCGAAGGGTGAGTGGACTAATGGACATCCTCGATTCGATTTCGCGGCTGATTGTGAATATTGACTTGGACTCTAGAGCAAGGCAAGTTTGAGTGAACAGCTGTGGGGAACTTGAATATGATTGAGGAATATACTCGTCAGCGTCGTGACGCTGTGTCCAAACTCCGCACTGAATGCTTCGAAACATCCCTGTACGTCAGTATTTGACAAAAGTTCGCAAAGGCAAGCAGGTAGAATGTCTCGTGCAGGAAGTGTCATTTGACGTCAGAACCTGGCGCGGACATATGTTGCGGCTGCATGAGTAGGTAGCTAGTGTTCCAAGCAGAATTGGCCTTGCGACTACATATTTGGTGCCGCCTTTTCTTCCCCTTCGCTTTTCTTCTTCATGACCATCACTCACCACACCACCGCCACACACCATTCCACCACCACCACCACATCCAGAAATGCAAGTCAAGTCTCATGTACTATGCTAACTTTATGCTAACAATAGCTGCAGCTTCCATCACCACGCCAGCAGCACCACCAACAGCTCATCGTAAGTGAAATCAATGAGTGCGCAAATGAGTAGTCAATGAGCTAACATCTAGATCAGTATCTGATCACCACCACCTCCACCTCCACCTCCACCACTCACAATGCCACGAGCAGGACCGCGTGAGTACTCGCCCTTACAATCTATCCGCTCAGTACTTATGTAGAATAGGTGTCTGTTATGAATGCCGCCGCGAGGGCCATCTCGCTCGCAACTGCCCAAACCTGCAGTTTATGCAGGCTTTCGCGCGGTCTCTTGCGGCAAGTATTGTTACACTTTTGACCAACTTCAATGCTCTAACCATCCAAAAGGGCCCTGTCGCTTGGTCTCGTGGTCCTGGGCGCCGTCGTGGTGGCGGCTCTCGCGGGCTTGGCCGCTCCAGCCATGGAAACGTGAGATATCCTTCAACTGTATTTCAGTTCCTCAACACTAACAAATATTACAGCGAAACCACTACACCACCACCCCCAGACTCTCCACCCCCACCATCAGCACCAACTACACCACCACCGCCGCCACCGACACCACCGACACCACCGACACCACCACCGCCGCCACCGACACCACCGACACCACCGCCACCGACACCACCACCACCGACACCACCGCCACCGACACCACCACCACCGATACCACCGCCACCACCGATACCACCGCCACCACCGACACCACCGCCACCACCGACACCGACACCACCACCGACACCGCCAACACCTCCACCAGCACCATCGACCACGACCACGACCACCTTATGCCCGACTCCACCGACCACCACTAGCCCACCCACATGTGGTCGGATTGACCAAATGAATGTTGATCTGTCTGCTTTGTTGAAAAAATTCAAAAAAAAGGTCATGGTTTCAAGGGAAAATTTGATAGAAGTACATACTGGAGCTTTTAATTGAAATCAATCAACATCCAAGTTCTATTCCTGCGTAGTGATGAGCTCGTTTCCTCCCCTGAACCGTCTGCTCTGACTGCGAATCTCAATCTGTTGATCGACTGAGAAGTAGCTTAACTATTTCTTCAAAGTCCTAGCTGAAGATGTGCCAATGGCGGTGCTGAGGAGCTTCTTCCTTTCAAGGTAGGTATAGATGAATCTGAGAAGAGCACTCTACTTGAATTATTAAGACCATATAAAGCGTACTTTCCTCGGCACTAAAGTCACAAACAAAAGCAAGGCCAAAAAATACAAGTTTATGTATGGAAATGTGAGAAAGTTGCCAATAAATCAAGCGCAAATGGTTGTGGTTAAGCTCTGGCGTCAGTGGTCATAGCCCATAGTCTTGCTCTAACAAAGGTCATATTGTTATCAAGGCAACCGGCAGTGTCAAAGCCAGGGGTTCGAATCCCTGTGCGCCCGCTTCTGCTGTCGTTTCGTGGAGTAACGTCCACCATCAGCCTGGGTATGAAGATGCCTGGAACATCCCTTCTGGGAAGCCCCGTTTCGTAAGGACGGGGACCACCACCACCACCAAACCACCACCAGCACGGGTGCCCATGTTGATCCCGTTGCACCGGTAAGCTGATATTCCTCCTCTTCATCTCAAACTTACTAACTTTAGACCACTCTCGACCAGGGAATAACCACGAGGTACCGTTGAAGCGCTTTCTTTTTGTCTTTCTGAGTGGATGGATGTCGGTAATTCAGGGATGAGATGTCGCTAATGCTGTACAGGAAAGCCCGGCTACCGCTGCAGGCCCCGAGAAAGCCTTGCTTCTACATCCTTCATGTAGGAAGAGCTGTATCATAGAATCAGCTTCATGTACACGTTGGTGGGTACAAGGAACATAGCGGAAGCAGCAGAGAAAGAAAGGCTCGCTCATCTTAAGTTGCACCACACATTACCACTCACAGGAGCCGAGCTTGGGAAGCAAGCGTCAACTCTACAGGCTACTTCCGCTGCTGGTCACATTCCGACAGCAAGGATGGTCGATCAGATGCCCCTCTCGGCGAAGAACTCCAGTATCAACTGCCCAATTTCAGCGGTATGGCTTTGCACCAAGAAATGTCCACCATCCAACAACACAAGCTTGAGGTCTTTCACGTCCCCCTTGAATGCTTCCGCCCCTGGCGCCGGGAAAATCTCGTCGTTCTTTCCCCACACGGCCAACACGGGAACACGACTATCACGCAGGTATTGCTGAAACTTGGGGTACAAGGCGACGTTTGTACCATAATCTCTGAATATATCGAGTTGGATCTCTTTGTTGCCTGGACGGGAAAGAAGAGCGTAGTCGAGGTAGTACGCTGCTGGATCATCAATCATCTCTGCCTCGGGCTCGCCATTGAGATATTGCCACTTGGTGGCTTCAAAGGTAAGGATCGCCCCTTTTATCGTTTCCCGGAGTTGTTTGTCCTCGTCAGACCCGGCCGCGGATGCCCATAGCTGCTTCATAGGATCCCAGAAAGCAGCCAAGCCCTCGTCGTAGGCGTTGCCATTTTGTGAGATGATTGCCGTGATGGCTTGTGGTCGCTCCAGGGCGAGTCGAAAGCCTGTTGGGGCACCATAATCAAAGACATAGACCGCGAACTTCTCGATCTTCAGAACGTCGAGGAACGAACCAATGGTGGTCGCGAAGTTGGCGAAAGTGTACTTGAAATCCAAGGACGAAGGAATCTCGGTGAAGCCAAATCCAGGCAGGTCAGGAGCAACAACATGATATTTTGCCGACAGGATGGGAATGAGCTTTTGATACTGGTGGGAGGAGGAAGGAAACCCATGAAGCAGGAGGATAGTAGGGTTGCTTGGAGAGCCGCCTTCGCGATAGAAGACTCGGATTCCATTGGGGAGCTTGGCGTACATGTTGTGGCTGGAGGCTCCTAAGAGTATTTCACAATCGCAGGTATGTTGAGTTCGGAGATCTAATATTGCTTCTTCGGATGGTCGTTAGGAGTTTGAATGAGGAGACCTCAGAGTCGAGGGCATGACACCTCTTATACACACTTCATCTCCCCCGTTCATTAGCACCCACAGCTGAAGCCATTGCGATACGGACCCAATGACCTTGCCATCAAGGCCATGGTGAACGAACGGCCTGAGCCGTTATCTGACAAACTGGCTGCTTGTCGTGCTTTCGATGAGCAATCAAGTAAGTGGATGTCTATAGTTGAGCGCATCTTCAATATTGCTAAAGACATGCAGGATGACACGGCTTGCATGAGAACGACGCCAAAGGTGCTTACAAACGAAAGTATAGTTTGTTCCTGCATTGGTCAGTTGAATTTGGGACGAGCATTGCCTGAGGTAAAGGGAGAAGAACATCATGGGAAGGTTCGCGAGCAGTTGCTGCTTGGAAGATGAACTAGAGCCGAGAAGAGGCAGGAAGCTCGGGAAGGGGATTGGACCGCAACCCTCCGAGTCAATCAGGATACAAGACAATTTGTGGACAAGACGTTGGTGTAGAATATTGTGTCCGCCGCTTCCATACGAGCTCGCAGTGTGCTTAACGGTGCGCGAGAGAAAACGAAGTCGATGAGCAAGGGTTCGAGTGCCCCTTTGTGGTAGGCAAATCCGCTGCCCTAACATGATTGTCTTGCTCTCGCACTTATATGGCCTTGACATAAGCCGAAGCATAAAGCGGCCCACTACAAGTGCCAAGATACGCTTTCCCATTTACGGAGAGAGACATGGCCGCTTGGCGCCCCGTCTCACGCTGTTTTCACCTAGATTTCCAAACTTGTCTTGTCCTTGAATAACAGCAGGATCAACCTCACACCAACTCACCTATTCATGCCATCTTTAGCATGATCCCTCTTCTCTGCATTTGACCCCTGCACCCGATGCCTGAATTAGCCCCAGGCTGCTTGAAAGCTCCTGAACGAGAGGATTTCCCATTCTGTGCCCGTTCATGGCTGAAAGAGGAACTCTGATGAACCAGCACAATGGAAGTAGTTGCTGTTTTTGAGTCGCTGCTTTTCATTCTCGCAGGGTCCTGCCAATCACTCGGCCAGGCCACAGCCAGGGCGCCTCTCCCATGTCTCTATTCTGCGAGTAAGCTGCCTTCGGAGGACACGTTCCGATGTTTCTCGCCCCAGTAGACCCAGGGCCTCGAGGTTGTCGATATCCCCTGAAGCAGAAGTGTTGTACGGAGTACACTGCCAACCAGCGATTTCCCGGTCTGTCCCTGACGGAAGGCCTTGAAGGACAAAATTAGCGACACAGCAGACCTCTACCGTGTACCCCCTGCCACTTCGCCAAGGACGTCCTGCTGCTTTCCTTGAACCCGCCGGCTGTCTCACCGACAAACTGAACACAGCGCCATTCCTAGAGAAGCTCGGTGCTTACGAGCCAGCATATAGCAACCTGTGTTGCTCCGTCACTGTTTACCCTTTCAACGATCTGAGCGCCCAGTTAGGCAGCCAAACAGCGACTTGCTGATCCAACATTCCAGAATCCGCTGCTGCTTTCACCTGCTACCTGCTCGCTGCTTCAATCTTCTGGCATGTTGCGCAAGGTGGTGGAGCCTAAACCCAGCCCAAAGCTATTAGAAGTGGGAAGGCTCAGGGGTGACAGGAAGGATGCGTCTAAGCCACACCTCCAAGACCATAATAGCCAAGCCTCATACTCGTTTCGAGCAGAAGTATGACCCAACTGGAGCACTTCATGGTCCAGCAAAATGGCTTGCTACGCTGCTGTGAAGCTCAGTCCACGGTGGCTTATTGGGGCGGCAGTTCGTGTTCAGTTGTACACTGACGTTTCAGAGGACCATGAACGAATGCGTCGGTGGTATATACATGAAGGAGAACAGGCGGGAGAAGGGCTGCCAGTCGAATGTTGGAAGGTGACTTGTTTCCACACTCTGGTCGGTTGTGTCCATCCTCCCGGCCGTGAGACTGACTATACTGATCACAAGGCTGTTTACCGGTGGTCAATGTCCGAAGGCGAGTGAGCTGGGAGCCCCGAACTACTGGTTCATTCACTTTACTTCCTATCACGAAATGCTGGGTAGGATGGCTTCAATTGCGCGCACTTGTGAAGTTTGGCCAGTAAATCGATCGAGTAGGCCCCGCGTCTATACTCGAGGGCTGTTCACATGCTTGTCTGCCAGTCTTGTACCCAGAGTCGTGACCACTGACGTAGTCAAACAGCAAGACAAGTAGAGGTCGTGGGGGAAAGAACGTTACTTGAGATCTCCGGAACGCGAGAATTCTGGAGCATCCATGCCCGGTCACGGGGACGCATCACTGCACCATCACATCTTCCATTCTCTTATATCACGTACATGCACTCAGTTCCAAGCCAAGCCCGAGCCTAGACTTAGTACCTCCCACTTGCGCGTCCTCCTCTACAACTTATGCCTCTTCTGCCCACTAGCGATCTTCTTGAACTCCTCCTGCGGCGCGCCGGCCACGAAGCGCTTCATGCCCTCCATGACCTCCCTGACGCCCTGCGCCTCGAGACTCTCCAAATAGGGCGCCCGGATCAACTGCTTGATCTTGACGATGGACTCCTGGTTCAAATGGTCGCCCAGCTTGTCGTCCACCTCGGCGAGGACCTGTTTCAGGAACCCATCCGAGTCGTTCTGGTCCTTGCCGCTGAAGACCTTGTTGACGAACCCGCAGGCCACGAGCTCATCGCACGGAATCTTGCGCGACATGATGAGCGCCTCGTTGGCCTTGGAGATGCCCATGCGCTGGACGAGGCCGTAGCTGGCGCCCCCCTCGGCGACGAGGCCCAGCGACGAGAACGGCGTGAGCAGGAATGTGTGCGGCGTCGCGTAGATGAAGTCGCAGAAGCCGAGCAGCGCGGCGGACAGGCCGACCGTGGGCCCGTTGAGCGCCCCGATCAGCACCTTGGGGTGCGCATAGAAGGAGCGTGTGATGTCCAGATTGTTCGCCACGAAGCCCTTGAGGATGTCGTTGCGGGCGGCGTTCTTGTCCATGTCGGGCCCGACGCCCGGTCGGGTGCTCGTGACGTTGGCGCCCGCGGAGAAGAACCGTCCGCTGCCCGTGATGACCGTCACGCTGATGGCCGGGTTCTCGGCGATGTCGCGCAGCAGGCACGATATGCGGTAGTAGTACTGCTGGGTCATGGCGTTGAGCTTCTTGGGCTGATTAAGCGTGATGATGGCGATGCGGCCCTGCTCGCGGTAGAGGACCGCCTCTTCGGGAGAGGCGACGTTCGCCATGGTGGATCGGGAGGAGGGGTGGGTGCGCACACGAGGTGGAACGGCGGTAACAGCAGGGGGTCGTCCAGGTGGGTGAACGCTGCACAGAAGGGTTTGCTGCACGAGCTTGGACAATACTGTATGTAGATAGGTAGGTAGGGGCGAGGTCTGCTGGCCGGGTGCTCGAGCTGCTGTTTACACTGGCGTAAGTAAGTCTATGTCGGGATATATAAAAAGTGTCAACTGGCCCTCGGCATCGGCACTGGGACTCGAATACCAGCTAGCCTACCTCTGGCTACCAAGGGTTGCAAGGACCCGTAGACTAATCATTAACGAGCATGGATGGACACAGGAGAGTCGAGGTTGAAGAGCTGAGGGGACGACGCGGCTGTACCTGAACCTTGGAGAAGGCGGTAGCCGAGGTTCATCGGAACATTGATATTCCGGCCCGGCACTCCCACGCATGCCACGGTACCGCCCGTCGACCAGAAGCATTCAAGCTTTCCTCGCCTTGTTTCTGATGCAAAAGGTTGGACAGTAGCAAAATGGTCTGCAGTTACGGTTCCTGTCTACGTCTTGTCATACATGGCGTCGAGCCGTGTCGGTCTGCGTTGTGTGCTCTGTGGCTAACTGGACCTCTCAAGTTCCGATAGTCAGCAAGAAGCTGATCTTCATTCCGTGCCGCCCTCGATTCCAAGAGTATCGTGTCAGACAAGAACAGGCACCTCACCAGGGAGGACTAGACGCTCTCGATCAACAAGTAGACTTGATGTTGAGATCCGACCTATCAAGCGGCACAGGTGCAGCTTCTGTCAAGTCAATGTAGGACTGTTGGAAAAGTCCAAATTCTATCCGCCTAGAAGCTTTCCCATTCATCTATTTCAGATGGCACAGGTCGTCAAACCCGGCGCTGTATTCAGTCAAGTCACTTCTCGCTTTGGGCTCGAGATCCTGTGCTTGCTCTGTTCGCCAGTCTCAAGTGATTGTAAGCTTTCTTGTCAAAGGCGGATGGCACTGTGTTATCCTTTCTGATCTTACTTCTAATTCTACGATCTCGCGAACATTATGACCCCTGTCAAGGATTCGTCCAACCGCACCTGAAATTCAAGCGGCTGATCTGAGCCTGGCCCTGAGAGCTGCGAAGGGGATGACCCTTTCATCTTTCTTGGAGGAAATGACAACTCCGCCGAGTTTGTAGCTCTAGAGTTCCGAAGGCTAGATGATCTTGAGAGTATATTGACTTAACCCATTCAAGGTCATGTGAAGACCTGACGCTCGCAATCACAGCTTTCCGGGCCAAAACTTGCCTTGCTTCTTCGCCTTTTCCTCCCATTCGTAGTTGTGAGCAAAAATCACTTCCATACTCGCTGGCTGGTCTTCTCCTTCGATCTTGATCCCATCTTTGGAAGCAGCGTACAACCGTGCCAGGGTCTCTTTCGACTTGGGAATGTCCACGTGCATACAACAATACCGCCCCGTCTCGTCCGTCCACGTTGCTATATCACATTCGCCAGTCAAGAGACGACCATCGTGGCAAGCATCTCCTGCCAGGCAGACAAACTTGGTCGGCTGAGATGAGATCTTGCATAGTAGATTGATGTGGCCTGGGAGGTGGCCGGGCGCATTCACAATGTACACGCTGCCATCTTTGAAGAAGTCTATCGCGTCAGGAAATGTCGAGAGTGGTTGCCATGTAAACAGGGAGTCCGCGCTACCAGGAGGAGGCAATTCATGTGTCCGCTCCAGAGGAAGAAGGTCTGGCTCGAAGATCATATGCTTCCCTAAATCATATTTTGCTTTGCCGCTCAGAAGATCGAGCGCCCCATTGCCAACAATGAACCTCGTTTTGTCGTTGGTGAAATCCTTGGGAAGTCCCACATGGTCATAATGGACATGGCTGAATATAATATAGTCGATATCGTCCACCGTCAACCCTCCTGCTGCCAATGAAGCAACCGCATCAGGCTGCGTAGATACAGGTCCGCGGTTGGCCAGATGGGTACTCAATTCCGCCGGGTAGAGGGAGAGATCGCGTCTCATCCCCAGGTCGAAGACGACGCGGGTCAGCTTTCCCGTTTCCACATCTTTGTGCTGTACCAGGAAAGACAGTGAAGGCACAGTGCGTTTCGCAACTGGATCGGCCGGGACAACGAAAAATCTCTCTGGAATCGTGATGTGACCGGTGCTAAGAGCATGTACAGAGACCGTAGCCATCGTAGCGAGGTAGGCAGTACGAGAGTGGCTGCTCCACTTCTGTGAGGCTTCGACTCAGGCCGGGGATATTCTTCGGCTTTTCAATGCAACAATCCGCCGCTGATATGAGGAGACATCCCCCGCACTACCTCGAAGCATGTTTACCAAGGGAATCAGCCTGGGGCCGATTTGACTGAACAATGAGGGGTAGGTAATTGCCAGCTGGTGTTGGGTCAAATCGAAACGGTCAAGTTCCGATCCTGGAAGCCTAGTTGCGAGTACGCGTCTTTTCCAACGATCAACTGGCGGCCGCCCGGACCGCTGAGAGAAGCCAGCCTTTCGAGGGGCCTCGGTTGAGTCGAGGTAACAGGTTCCAAGGTCGCCCGACAGCAATCATCGTGTTTCGAGGTTGAATCATGTTGCGCTGACTTGCCTCTCCCACTGCATGAGTAGGGTAGCTGCTGCTGTCATCGAACCCTCCTGGGTTTGAACTTCAACGGGGTTCAAGAGGGTTAAATCACTTTCGGTTCCGCGTGTTTTGCTGCCTGATCTGTGGTGGCACGAATCGCAAGGCGGACATGGATGTTTCCAGATCTTTGATGGCTGCATCCGAGACATTCTGCTTGGATTGGAGCTTCGGGCTTTCGTCCTTGAGCAGAACTCCGTTTTGGTCAGGCGGGATCACGGCAGAGTTCTGCTGCTTCCCAGCTTGAGACTGCCGTCTCCGCGTACCACTGGAGGCCGTCTGATCAGCGGTCGTCGAGACTCTCCTGCGGCGATTCTCGCGCAGCATCGAGGTCGAGTTATCAATGCCGGTATCGACAATGCGGAAGTTGTATATCTTGGGAAACAAGTGTTTGTCAATCAGATGCAGGCGTCGTTTCTGTGGGGTGGAACATTTCTTGTCACAGCCCTCGACGAAGCAGGCGTATGTCTTCTCACCTTTGGCCTGCAATGCCTCTCGGAACGGATTGTGGTTTTCGTCAATGTGCAAGGCTAGGAAATGCGCCGTAGGGAAGTTTTTGCTGCATGAGGTACACCGATTCGAATGGTCTTTGGCATAGTGGATCTCGAAGTCCTCAATAGAAGCAAAATCCAGGGTATCCCGGTGAGGTGGTAGGGAACACTGCATAACAGTCTTCACCGTTGGAGCGTCGACCATAGCTACTGAGACCTTCGCGAGACGGGGAGATTTAGAGCTTGGCGTGACTGGACTTTGCTCGTCGCTTTCAGTCGAGAGGATCGATGACTCGCGTGATCGCTTGACCATGGCGGTGTAAGTCCAGGGTGAGGGCGAGATGACTGGATTTGAATGAGCAACTCACTCCGGGTCAATCAGGAAGATATCCACGCCGCTAGCCCATGCTGCAGCCACGGTCCCGGATACTGCTCTCCGCGTCGATCCAAATGAGATACCGTATACAGCTGCTGGTATGAGTGAAGTGTGCTCGGTCAGGCTGGCACGCCCATGGGAAAACAAACGCCTGACGGGGCCGCCAGACACGCTGGTTGGATCTCCGGGCGAGGACGCCAGGCCTAATAGGGCAAACAACGTGCAGCGGTTGTGCCTAAATCTGGCTTTGGGTATCGTCTGGCGGCCGTTGGCGCGCCGTGATTGGATGCTAGGCGTGCCCCTTCGCCATGCATCAACAGACTCTGGAGGCTCGCTCACGTTCTGGTCTCTCGATGGCTGCTTCATGTTGCTCCCACAAGCGCGGTTCTTGTCCTCTGCCTCAGCGATCGGTTGCCTCCTCGTCGTTGATCTCGCGTTTCAGGTCCTGCAGCCACGATGCCAATAGACTAGCTAGAGAACCGCTCGACTCGTCATCCATCTTGCATCCGCCAGCTCACTAGGCTGTGAGCGCTCAGAGTGACTTCTTCTCGGCTTCCTCCTCACTCCAGCAGTCGGTAATCAACGCACTCTACGGGCCACGACATATGACACACCAGCTCTCAGAGGCATTGGTTCTTTGTTTGACGGAGTTCCAGTATTGTCTAATCAATTCCACCAACACTTGATCCCTAGTCCAGCACTCCTGTCTAGGACGACCCACTGCCGTGGGAGTGTTCTTTGTCTAGTTCACCACACCCCCCCATAATTTGAGGAATGAAAGACTGTTGCAAAGAGAAGGAAACGCCTTCGCTGTCTGCGTAGAAGCTCACGCGACAATGTTGGCTTCGAAGTCTCCATACGCTGCCAATATTGGAGCTACTCAGCAGATCCCCGTCCGCAACTTCTCCGAGTCCTCGGTCAGGACGCAGTTGACCTCGATGGCGCTACAAGACGGCCTCTTCACCTCTCCCACCGATTCCGAATTCTCCGATGTCTACGATGGGCTGGACTCGATCAGGGCGTGGGACGAGAAGAAAGTAGGAGAATGGTTACACTCGATCCGCTGCGGTCAATATGAAGCCCTATTCAAGGCCAACAACTTCACAGGCGAGAGTCTCCTGGAATGTGACCAGAAGATTTTATCGGAAATGGGTATCAAGAAGATTGGTGACCGTGTTCGAATCAATGTTGCCATTAAACAGCTGCGGAATAAATCGTCATTGCTACGGTCAAGGAGGAACCGAGACTCGCTGGCTGTTCTCGATGGCTTTGCTGGCACTCCTTCATCGTCAGACTCACCACGGACTCACGGCTCCAAGTCACACAACGGTAGCGGCAAACGATACTCCCGCCAATTCGACTCGTCGGCTCTACAAAATTTCAATTCAGCTGGTACCGGTTTCAAGGTGGGATCGAGACCCAACTCGCCCTTGGCTGATGTCCACAGTGCAGGAGTAAGGTCCCTGCGCTATGCACAGAGCCCAATGGACGGCGCAAGGAACACTTCGGGCGGAGGATATTTCAGCCAGCCAGGTTCAGCCAGCTCTACGTCGGGCAGACGCCCTGAGACACCACAACTTGCCACTCACACGACGCGTGCGGCTCACCTGCGGCAGAACTCCAGCATCGACGGGCTGACACCGGGAGGGCTGCCAACGGGCTCTCCGGTCATCAAGATCATCCATAATGGCGGACAAACCAAGGTTGTGAACATCAAGTTCTGCCGGACGGCCGACGATGTGACATCGACGGTCCTCAAGAAGCTACATCTTCCTGAAACCCACTTTCGCAATTATTGCTTTTATGTCCTCAATGGCTTGGAACCCGATCTTGCAAACTGTCGCCGGGTAAGCGACAGTGAGCTGATGAGGATCTGCAATGAGTCAACACGCTCAGAGAGGAACAGACTGATTCTAAGGAAGATCAACGACGGGCCTCCCGACATGGATGAATTACAGAAGGCTTCAAAGATAGCTGCTGACGAGTCCCAAGTTTTGCACAGCACTGCAATCAGCACCAACAACATGCGCAATCAGATCAAGCTTCAGAAACTCACGGGCGAGTCCTGGCACAACATTCAAGTCCCTATCTCGCCAGTCACAACGACAGACAGGAATCGAAACATCATCGCCACAGCAGATGAATACGACCGTCAGGAAGCACAACAACATCTCCGAGTCCCGAACAACCAAGAGCCCCGAATGCGGACTTTCTACGGTGCTCGACCGCCCAGTGAAATGATTGTACAAGAGCTGACGTCCTACTTCCCCGCTCACCAGCGCGAGGATATCGAGAAGACAATGAGGCTGTCGATGCGACGGTCACAACGAATGAGCCGCGCACAAAGCCGCCTCAGTGTCATGAGCAATGTGAGCATGGCGTCGAGTCTGAAAGATGCCCCACCAGTACCCAGCATCCCTAGCATTGCCGATTCCTGGCTGGCCCAGAGTGGTCTGAATCCCCGAGTACCCACGGCCAGACCCCTATCTGTGGTGTCGAACCGGTTCAATCTTCCCAGCCAGTCATACAGGGATTCAATAGCATCATCAGCCCTGCAGCCATTGCAAGAAGAGTCTCCTGTCGAGCCGAATAGGAAATCTTACGTGTCGTTTGACAGTGGTTCCGACACAGCTGCCAACAACGACGCGTCACGAACCAGCTACTTCGATGAGAGTCCTGCGGGCACATTGAGCAACGACAACTTCAATGAACGTCTCTCGGTTATTGTTGCGGAAGATGGCGAGGAGGAAGATCAAGCTCTTAATTCGTTCCTGCAAGGCAACAGCTTCGACAAGAGCAATTGGATGAAGGGTGACTTGATCGGTGAAGGGTCATTCGGCAGTGTTTACCTAGCACTGCATGCCATTACAGGCGAACTGATGGCCGTCAAACAGGTGGAGTTGCCCAATGTGGCCAAGGGCACCGAAAGCGACAAGAAGAAGACCGCCATGATCGCGGCTCTGAAGCAAGAAATTACTCTCTTGCAGGGCCTACGACATCCTCACATCGTGCAGTACCTGGGCACCTCATCCGATGAAGAGCACCTCAACATCTTCCTCGAGTATGTCCCTGGTGGCTCCATCGCCGGGATGCTGAAGCAGTACAATACCTTTCAAGAAGCCCTGGTCCGGAACTTCACCCGCCAAATCCTCGAAGGACTCTCCTACCTCCACGCCCGCAACATCATACATCGTGATATCAAGGGTGCCAACATCCTCGTCGACAACCGGGGTGCAGTCAAGATCTCGGATTTCGGCGTCTCCAAGAAGACCAACTTCAATGGCATGAATGCCGCCCCTGGTACACGAACGTCGTTGCAGGGCAGCGTCTTCTGGATGGCTCCCGAAGTCGTACGCCAATCCGGACAATCGTTGAAATCCGACATTTGGTCCGTTGGCTGTCTGGTGGTTGAAATGTTCACCGGATCTCGCCCTTTCCCATCGATGACAACTTTACAGACGTTGTTCGCCGTTGGCAGCAACAACGAGAAACCCACTATTCCCGACGTCGCCAGCGAGGATGCTAAGCGGTTCATGAACAAGACATTCGAGGCGGACCATGAGAAAAGACCAGGTGCGGATGAATTGCTGAGGGAGAAGTTCTTGTTACCTATGGCATGAGGAGCTCTCCCCCTCGAGACTCTCAAGTCGAAGTGTTGTTCCCAAACATGATGCTGGACAGCGCGGACCGGTATCGGAAGATCCTAAGGCAGCCTCTTTGACATCCAAGGGCGGGCAATGAGCACCAATTTTCCTTGGTTTTTTCATGTTTTTGACTACCGAACTTCAAGCCGGGCCTACAGTCTGACCATGTACTTATTTTTATGTCACCATTATGTCACCAGTACGGGAAAGGGGACCATGTGCACACGAACCAAAGTACCTTGCCAATAGTAGGAGTGTAGGTTATGTTCCTAGGTAGCCACCCCCTAGGAAGTGCAGAAACAAATGCTGGACTAGAGTCCTTTACTGCGTGAAGGCCCATGCCAGCTTTCTGGAAGTTACCATTTCCCATCTTCGCCAACAAGAACTCCGTATTACCCTGGCTTGAATCCAGCATCAGTGTCATGATGGTGTGGTATTGACGGTACATAGGCGCCCCAAAGGCTGTCATGCTCTCTGCGGTGCTGTAACTCGTACGGGCTACTCAGCGGGAAATCCTACAGTAATTCATGTCATGGCCACATCACTCTCTGGTGGTTGGCTGGCTTCGTGTTCCTCCCTTCCCCGTCTATGTTACGGCGTTCATTGCTTGGGTACCAAGTCTCGATCACCGGTATGCTCTGCTTGTCTCATTCGAGCTTCGGTGAGTGGTTGGTATATATCAATGGCTCACTAACATTTTGCAGATTCTGTTCATCGATGGGTTGCCTTCACTATCAAACACATAATCTCTGATTCGTCACGAGACGTTCATTGGCTGCACTGGAATTTCGACAACCGGACAAGATGATTGTGGTACTGGATAAAGCGGCGCCTTGTTGCTGTTGGCACCATTCATCAGCTTGATTGGTGGCGCCACTTCAATGGTGTCACCCATAGTCGACTCGGCTGGTGTTTCGTGTGGGTTTGATGCTTCTGTACCGTTGACAACCACGGGGATTCCATTGCTGGTAGGCGTTTGCTGATGAGGAGAATGTGGTTGAGCCGTTGGCGCGGTGATAGGAGCCGGTTTCTGTCCGCCTCTGCCATATCTCAGTTGCACGACCAGACTCTCCTGAGTATTTTCATCCTCTTCTGCTTCATCCACTCCCGAAAGCTCTTCATCCATCTCTTGGTCTTCGTCTTCACCATCAAAGTCTGGCTCGGACTCGTCCGGTTCATCTTCGTTGCCACTCCACTCTTTGCCTGACGACTGAGCTTCCTCACTCTCGTCGGAGTCATGAGTATCACCGTATCTGGCTCGTGGAGGCTTGACCTGTCGTCCTGATCTTGACGTTCTTACCCCACGACCATTCGGCATCGTTGTTGGCATGTCTTCACTTGTCTCGGTAAAGTGTCCTTCACCTGCTGTTCGCTCCAACTCTTTCCGCTGGTCAACCAGGATGCTCTCGCCATACATCCCGCCAAGTCTTGACCTTACCTGCCTGCCACTCGCGGTGACAGTAGGGCCGCTCTCCAAGGGGGTAGAAATACCCGAATTGCGTGCAGATCGCCTGCTTGTCCCGTCTGACCCGTATTCTTCGTCCGAATATGTATATCGCATTCTCTTGCCTCGGGTCCTCCCCTCATACAGTGAAAATCCTGGATCAGGTCGAGCGAAGGCGGCTTTGCGGGCTAGGCGGTAGTCACGACGTCTGCGTTTCTGGAGAACAGTCAGTATATACAACACATAACCTCTGCAAGCCTGGGATGCCTACTTCTTCACCCGCTTCAAATCTTGGAATAGCAGCCCTCAGCTTGTCGCTGATGACCTTTGAGTTTGTCGTATGCTCCTCTGCAAACTTGTCTGCCAGAGCAATCACATCGGGGATGGACTCCGCCACGCTGAACCAGGTGTTTGTCTTTGCCGTTTTCCCATCATTTTCTCTATATATGCGGAAATGTGAATCGTCTTGTCCTTCTATCAGCCAATATTTACGACGGTACTGGTCTGAGAACCAGGGCTGAACGCTGCGCGGCTGGTTGCGATCGTCGTCTCGCCGCGTCTGCTTGTACGACTCCTTGATGAGCGCTTGCACCGCGTCGGAGGAATTGAGTGACCATAAAGTCAGTGCTTTGAGGAGGCTCAACTATAATTGTATTAGCTTCGCGTAAGATAGAGGGAAGCGCGACGAGTACACGTTCTTCCGCACTCATGTTGTTAAAATTCTTTCCACCGTGGAGAGGATTGCGACCCTTCCACGCCGTGGGCCACTGGTTGTGATGTGTAGAGATCGCATCTTCGAGTGCTCGGCCATAGTGCCCGCGTCTAGTCCAGGTTAGCAAGCCCGGAGTACTGTATAGATTGTCGAGGATGCTCACTCCACGTCCTTCTTCCTGTTCAACACCAGCCCCAGCAGCGCACACAGAAATTTCTCGACTTGCTCATCGGGAAGTTCTCCCGAGACCCCTCTCTCAATATCTTGCGGGCCATAGTTAGGTAGAGACTTGGGAAACGCATCGCTGAAACGGCTTCTGAACATGACAATGAACGCGATTGCTTCATTGTCGGCCAAGGTATATTCGTGAGGGGGGGACGGGGCGCGTTTGGGAGGTTCAGGCGTGGCTTCAGGCTTGGGTGCCGGCTTAAAATATCGATCCAGTCCCGTGGGTTTCGACGTCATTTTCTGAATCATCTCCTCGTCATCCGAGGTCGGCGCAGATGACAAGGACGAAGAGTCAGAGTCGGCCATGTTGTGTGGGTGGTGGGTGGGATGCGCGAAGGATAGGCAGGCGCGACGTTGTGTGTTGGGCAAGTGGACAGAAGGAGAAAGTAACAGCGATGACAAAATAACCAGGAAGCGGTCTGAAGTGAATTAAACTTGGCGCGTTCGAGGCAAGTTACGCGCTACACGGCCAATGGCTTGCATTGATATGTACCCCAGCAATGACAATCATCTGCATCCTCCCGGACAACGACATCAATATGGAATCAAGGGGTCCAGAGCAGGACAGCTGATATTCCTTCACAAGCATCGACCAGAACAGTTCACTTGGTTCTGGGTTGTTGAAGAATGAAGGCTTCGATCAGTTGTTGGGAGGCTATCGTGCCAAGCGTGACGAATGCTGGAGCCCCCTTTTCAATTTGACCTGCAAACCCGGTCATCACGGGTCCTTCCATCCGCAACAAAACCTTCTCCGGTCGAAGATCCTAAATATCGAGGCAGCAGCCTGCCTTCCATGCCATCAACGTTTAGCAGCCGTGCCCGACCCCGTGCCTGTTGCTGCGGCGCAGCTTGCCCAGGCTTCGAATCCTGGGATGGCACTAGTATTCTCCGAGAAAACGCGGGGTTATCCGGTGTCCATTGGCAGGTGCCAGCTCACCAAGCTTCGCAGCTTGGGCACTTACGCTCAGGCCGAGCGCCAGTTCACCGTAGAGGCCTACCTGCTTGTCAATTTGTAGTGACTCCAGCAGCTCAAGACAATCACGGGTGCTGGAACTCGCGTGACGCGTCCGAATTTGTAGGGTAAACAGAGTCCTCCTGTCGCTGGTTGGTCGTGCTGAGTTGAGTGAGCGCAAACGTAAAGTTTTAGTGCCTGTCATACAGGAGGGGTGACTGGGGGAGTTGTGAGGAGGCGGGATCGGCGAATCCGAGGGATGCTGCAGCCCCAAGCCCGTGTTCGCATATAAAACTCCCGCAGGTCGAACGTCTCGCAGTCCAACCTGAAAGGACAAATTGGTTTTTCTTTCCCGCCAGAAATATGCTGATCAGTCGTTCAACAGCCGGCAAGGCCAGCAGCTTGATTGTAGACAGATTGCAACACCTGAGAAGGCCCGCAGACGCCTCAGCCGTCTCCTAAGCTGAAGGAGCCTACCAGTAGCAGCATAAACGTACTAAGCGTAACTTCGATTTTGAGCAATGTTGGTTTGTGATAAGACCAGGACTTTCCTGATCCATTGTTCGGCAGGGTTGGATCATCGCCAAACCCGTTGCAGGACACCAACGTGCAAGCATCATGAAGAGGTATGGCAGCAGCAAAGTGCCGGGGAGCATCCGCAAGGTCAAGTTCTTGCTTGGTGGTAGAACTATTATAGGTGCAACGACAAAGCGGAAAAAGACACAGAAGTTGAGGTTGGGTTGAGGACTGAGGAGCTATCGGAAAATCGGAGTCTCCGACAGGAGCTAAGAAAGCTAAACTGGACCGAAGCTGCCCAGTCACGTGCCAACCAACCAAAACCTGCTACTGCGCGAGGGATGCTAGTGCGCCGCCCTACAGCCGCCAAGAGTTCGGCTCGATGCGCACAAACAGCATTTGCGACTGCGACCACCACGACTTTGAACCTGCTGAATCTGTTTCGACCTCATCGTCGCGAACTTCTCGACTCGACAACTCTACGCCACCATGGGTAGGGTCATCAGAAATCAGAGAAAGGGCCGTGGCTCTATTTTCAGTAAGTCTCCCATTCTTATCGGTGGCCTGTAGTTGTTCTCCTCCATGCTGCCTGCATCACCAATTGTCCTCGTCGTTACTGACTGTTTCTATAGCGAGTCATACTCGCCTCCGAGTCGGTGCTGCCAAATTCCGAACCCTTGACTTCGCAGAAAAGCATGGCTACATTCGAGGCATAGTCCAAGAGATCATCCATGACCCTGGCCGAGGTGCGCCTCTTGCGAAGGTCAAATTTCGAGACCCATATTCGCCCAAGTCGAGGACCGAGATCTTCATTGCTACCGAAGGGCTATACGTATGTTTGAATGTCCTGAACGGGGATTTGGGCGCTAATGAAACTTGCAGACGGGCCAATTCATCTACGCTGGAAAGAATGCGGCTTTGAGTGTCGGCAATGTCCTGCCGCTCGGACAAGTACCTGAAGGTACTGTTGTCTCAAACGTCGAGGAAAAGACCGGGGATCGAGGCGCTTTGGGACGAACATCTGGCAACTACGTCACCGTCATTGGGCACAACCCCGACGAGGGCAAGACTCGAGTCAAGCTTCCCTCCGGCGCGAAGAAGGTTGTGCTCAGCTCAGCTCGAGGCATGATTGGTATCGTTGCTGGTGGTGGACGAACCGACAAGCCAATGCTCAGTACGTGGACCCAGATTGGTGTGCTGCAACGACGACCGGCTAACATAAATCACAGAGGCGTCTCGCGCCAAGCACAAGTTCGCCGTGAAGCGCAACTCGTGGCCCAAGACTCGTGGTGTTGCCATGAATCCTGTTGACCATCCTCACGGTGGTGGTAACCATCAGCACATCGGCAAGGCTTCCACTATTTCTCGATACGCCGCTCAAGGTCAAAAAGCCGGTCTCATTGCTGCTCGGAGAACTGGTCTGCTACGTGGTACCCAGAAGACCAAGGAGTAGATATGGAGTATGCATTGGAGGGTCGCGAAAATGCGTGGCTTGTATTAGGGCTCTACGAGTGATTCTTCCCCACAGAGAGGAAATCAGTTCCGGTTTATGGTGACGAAGACCGCCGACGCGTGCGCCCAGCTTCTGCGAAGCCCAACGTTGAGGCGAAGCAATGGCAAACGTGAGCAGCATCACAATGAAGATCAGTTGCAGAGATCAGAAGATGTCTAACACCTTGTGTAGTGGCTGCGCGGCCGTTGAATCAGTATTTGGGAGACTGGACCCCCCTATTTCCTGATTCTCAAGCCTAGATTCGCGGCCCCTGGCGTCAAATTTATCTTTGTACCACTCCGAGACTAGAAAATTATATCAAGCGTTGCCTGCCATGTTGGTGCATCCGACTCATGCTGACATCACTTCCGCATGCATGAGTGCTTACTGTTCTTTGCAGCATAGCAGGCCGGGCAGAAAATAGGAACACCCATGGCAACTTGTAGAATGCTACGGACATTATGTTTCCAGAGTGGCGTCTGGTGGCGTGTTGTTTCAGAGGGATGCCCAGAGTGTGAAGCGTCGAGCAGGCCCAGACCAAGCCCCGCAGAAGGGTTTGAGGTCAGGGGCAGCAACCGGAGGCCACTGGTGGTGGTTGTTCGGTGGAACTCGACAAGGGACACGACGGCTTCAAGGGTTCCCAAAAGCTTAAAGAGGATGCATTGGTGCGCGTCACTGCAACCGCAATGCGAACTTGCACAATCCCACGGGACAGTTGATGCACTCGCTGTTCGGCCTGACCTTTGTCGCATCTCGTCCCTCGTTTTGGCGCTGTCAGCGAAGACAATCGTTTATCACTTTCTCTACATTCCAACTCTGCTCATACTGCACGTCGGACTTTCTCTGTCTCGCTTCTTTGTGCCCCGTAGTCCAGCTCAGCATTCCAGTCCGAGGGTCAGAATCGACCCCAGTCCGATCCGACTACGCCGGCGCTCACCAAGGACGCAGTGAGCATACATAACACCTTGCCTTGTCAACCGTAACATCAGCACCGTCTATCACTCGTTTACTTTCCTCTCACCCTCGACAACTACAAACAAGCACCACCGACTTACAACCTCCACAATGAATGTCAACAAGAAACTCGATCGTTTCAAACAATGGGCGGGAGAGCGCATGGGAGGAGAGATCAAGACCAATGTATCGGACAATTTCAAGGCGCTCGAGGTCGAGATGGGCCTGCGCCAGGAAGGTGCGTATCTGCTGTCTAGGGATCGACATCGTGGTTTCGTCGCTAAGTCTCCTTTAGGTCTCGAGAAGATGCAGCGATCGATGAATGCCTACATGAAAGCAATTTCCAAACGCTCCGAAGTGGAGGGCAAGGAGAAGACGCTTCCAATCGCGTACATGGGTGGCACCATGATCTCCCACGGTGAAGATTTCGAGCCCGATTCTGAGTACGGTCAATGCCTGAACAGTGAGTATACGTCAAGGACGCCGCGATACATTCAGCTGACAGTGGACAGTGTTTGGACGGACACAAGAAAGACTCGCCCGGGCCCAGGAGAGTTATATCGTCTCCGCCACGACTGGCTGGCTGGAGTCCCTTGAGCGATCTATAGTTCAGATGAAAGAGTACCAGGCCGCCCGTAAGCGCCTCGAGACGCGCCGACTTGCGTATGATACGTCCCTCGCGAAGATGCAGAAAGCTAAGAAGGAAGATTTTCGCGTCGAGGAGGAGTTGCGCACCCAGAAAGCCAAATACGAAGAATCAGAGGACGATGTCCACCGCAGAATGCAAGAAATTCGCGACGCTGACCCTGAAAGTGTCGCGGACCTTGCATCATTTCTCGACGCCGAGTTGGCATACCACGATAAATGCAGAGAGGCCTTGCTACAATTGAGGAGCGAGTGGCCTGCCAGGTGAGTGCTTCGTCCGACGTCCTGTGCACGACCCCTCTGACGAAGTTTAGGGCTGTACCGACCCGTGGCGGCCGGCCTAACCCGCGCTCGAGGTCGAACACAGTTCGTTCATATACCCAGGGCGCCGAGCCACTCGAAGAAGCGCCGGTCGAAGTACGCCCCAAGATCACGGCTTCTCGGAGCAATCAATATGTGTATCAATCATCCGACTATTCACCCGCGCCTCAGCCACGCTCAAACTATGCCAGAGCCGCCACGTTCAACGACTCTCCTCAGCCGAGTAGGGATTTATCGCCCGCCACTAGACCGGGGATTTCACGCATCCCGAGTGATTCGTTAATGATTCGCACAGCAAGATCCAATTTGCGCAACGTGGATGACCAGGACGTGTTCGGAGACGATTCTGGATCTTACACTAATAGCTCTGACCGTGGTTACGGGGATCAAGCTACATCGCCTGCGACGTCTCATGGTAGCGAAGCGACTCCTTTGACGAGCAAGAAGAGTGGCCCTCCACCTCCTCCTCCGTCCCGAGCGAAGAAGCCACCGCCACCACCCGTCCCAGCAAAGAGGTCGGTTCTCACCTGAGGACATTGGCTGGCTGCATGTTATCGTCATTATGGAATGTTTCTTAAATGGATACCACACAAGTTGGCGTTGGCGTTGGACTGAGCTTGGTTATCTTTTCAGTAGAGATAGAGCCAGACCGAGGTACGAGTCTTGGAAAGTCGCTTGGTGGCACATGCATGCGAGCGCTTTGGGGACTGTATCGACATGAGGTTGTCTTGTATTGGACACGTAAACTTTTCTCATCGTTGGACGCCCATTTCGGCAACCTCCATGGATTTCCGTTCGAGCTTGTTCTCGCGCCCATCGTGCCAACCATAGACTCACGTGATATTGACCCCACGTGACGTGGGCAGGGCTTGGCGGAGATTGCGACAGGCTGGCCGCGCTGTCAGCCTCTTCTCGTTCGGGTCCGCCATCTTGTTGCGCTCTTCTCGCAGACGTGAAGGCCCCTCGCCCGGGAAAATCATCAATCAACGCGTCGCAACCGTCTTATTCCATCGCAATCCGTCACCGATAACCAGCAGCACCGCTTGAAGAGTGCGCCTGCACACGGCAGTCACCTCTTCGTCCCCTCTTTAATTAGGCACCCTTGCCTCGACCACTCAACCTCACCTCACCCAAGACCGACTCACTGCAAAGTCCCTCGTCCGCCGACTGCGCTAAGCGTGTTCACGTTCACGAGGCTGCATCCATCCCTGCCACATTGGAGGCCGTCACCCACAGACTAGATGCTCCAATAGATGATTCACGCACAGCCCCGACCTGCGGTTGCCTGAGGTTGCCGACTGAAAAGGCACCATGGCTTCAGTTCAACCCGCGCCTGGGATGCCATCCAATGTCCCGGCGCTCCCACCCAATCTCTCACAAGCCCAAGTGCAGGACGTGTATCAGGTACGCATCGCTCCCTCAAAGACTTTTCCAACATCATATGACATTGCCATTCGGTCTATTTTCTAACACCCGTCACAGAAATTCCAGCGCATGAAAGCCCAGAATGTCCCCGAAAATGACCCAGAGTATATCAAAGCCTACCGCTTCCTCACTGCCGTTCAACAACAGCAAAATTTTCGCAAGTTGCAAGCTCAGAAGCAGGCGCAACTGCAGGCCCAGCAGCAGCAACAGGCCCAGCAACAGACCCAACAGCCGAGTCAACAACAAGCTCAACAACTCATGCAGCCACAACCCACCCAACAACAACATCCCCCACAGGTGAATGGCAATGCTAGTCATGTCACAGCGAACGGGGCGACAAACGGCCAGCAAGATGTTGCAGCAGCTGCCGCCAATGGGTCTTCCACGCCCAACCAGACATCTGTCGCCAATAGTGCGCAAATTGCTGGCGCCCAAGCGCAGGCCCCAGCACAGCGCGCAGCAGCGCAAACGACCAGTAGCTTCACTCCAGAGCAACTGAACCTCCTGAGAACGCAAATCTTTGCATTTAAGACGCTGTCGAAGAACCAGCCTTTACATCCCAAGGTCCAGGCGCAGCTCTTCCCATCTCTCAAGCAACACACGGCACCTCCAACGGACGGGACGGCTACAGCTGAAAAGGTTGCAGATGGAGCCGCTGAGCCCAAAGGCTCTGTATCGAAGGATGTGGTCCGATCCAAAGCCTTCTTCGATGCCTATCAGTCACCTTACGATCTTCTAACGAAGCCTATCAGCTTCTCAGATCACTCGCAGCGCATCAAGCGGCAGAAGATACCCGCAATCCTACCCATGGGCATTGACTCAGACCAAGTTCGGGAAGAGCAAGAACGTCTGCTGTACAACCGCATCCAAGCTCGTAAAGCCGAATTAGCTGCCCTTCCTGTCAACATTGCGGCCTGGGACACTAGTAAATCTGCCGACCCTACCGCCGATGACAGTCTTAAGATCAAGGCTTTGATTGAATACAAAAAGCTATGTCTGCTTCAGAAGCAACGCGATTTCCGACGAGAAATTCAGCAAGAACTCTTCCATTATGACAACTTGGCAATGACGGCAAATCGCTCCATGCACCGCCGCATGAAGAAACAATCTCTGCGCGAAGCTCGTATCACAGAAAAACTTGAGAAGCAACAGCGTGATGCCAGAGAGAACAAGGAAAAGGCTCGGCAATCGACCCATCTACAGTCTATCGTGGCTCATGCTCAAGATATCAAGAACAATGCAATCAGTCAACGCTCACGCATCCAGAAGCTTGGTCGCATGATGGTCACCCACCACCAACATATGGAGCGTGAGGAACAGAAGCGCATTGAGCGAACTGCCAAGCAGCGTCTGCAGGCGTTGAAGGCTAACGATGAGGAAACCTACCTGAAGCTGCTCGGCCAAGCCAAGGATTCTCGCATTTCCCACCTCCTCAAGCAGACAGACGGTTTCCTGAAGCAGCTCGCCGCCTCCGTCCGAGAGCAACAACGAAGTGCTGCAGAAAAATGGGGCGAAGACAAGTACGCCGAGGACGAGGACGAAGACGAAGACGTGTCCGATGATGATGAAGGCCATGGAAAGGTCGACTACTACGCCGTGGCTCATAGGATCAAGGAAGAGGTCTCCATTCAGCCCTCCATATTGGTTGGTGGTACTTTGAAAGAGTACCAACTGAAGGGTTTGCAGTGGATGATCTCGCTTTTCAACAACAACCTGAACGGCATCTTGGCCGATGAGATGGGTCTGGGCAAGACTATCCAGACGATCAGTTTGATCACCTATCTGATCGAGAAGAAGCGCCAAAGTGGTCCCTTTCTGGTCGTTGTACCCCTCAGCACGCTCACGAACTGGAATCTGGAATTTGAGAAATGGGCTCCGTCAGTCAAACGTATCGTCTACAAAGGGCCTCCGAACAGCCGAAAACAACAGCAGATGCAAATTCGATCGGGCAACTTCCAGGTCTTACTCACTACTTACGAATATATCATCAAGGACCGGCCGATTCTAAGCAAGATTAAATGGGTCCACATGATCGTCGATGAAGGTCACAGAATGAAGAACGCCCAATCCAAGCTGAGCAGTACCATCACCCAATACTACACCACAAGATACCGCCTGATCTTGACGGGTACCCCGCTTCAGAACAATCTTCCGGAGCTGTGGGCTCTTCTCAACTTCGTCCTTCCCACAATCTTCAAGTCAGTCAAGTCGTTCGACGAATGGTTCAACACTCCTTTTGCCAACACTGGTGGACAAGACAAAATGGAGTTGACGGAAGAGGAGCAGCTTCTCGTTATCCGTCGTCTGCACAAGGTGCTGCGCCCCTTCTTGCTCCGTCGTCTCAAGAAAGACGTGGAGAAAGATCTTCCCGACAAGCAGGAACGTGTCATCAAATGCCGCTTCTCCGCTCTCCAGACCAAACTTTACATGCAGTTGATGACACACAACCGTCTGACGGTGGCTGACGGCAAGGGTGGTAAGACCAGCATGCGCGGTCTCAGCAACATGTTAATGCAGCTGAGAAAGCTATGCAATCACCCTTACGTGTTCGAACCCGTGGAAGACCAGATGAACCCAAGCAAAGGGACAAACGACTCTATCTGGCGAACGGCGGGCAAATTCGAGCTGCTTGACAGGATCTTGCCCAAGTTCCAGGCTACCGGCCATCGTGTGTTGATGTTCTTCCAAATGACCCAGATCATGAACATCATGGAAGATTTCTTGCGGTTCCGTGGTATTCAATATCTCCGTCTCGATGGTGCTACCAAGGCTGAGGACCGAGCTGAATTGCTGCGTCTCTACAATGAGCCCAACTCGCCGTACTTTTGCTTCTTGCTGTCGACTCGTGCAGGTGGTCTCGGTTTGAATTTGCAAACTGCAGATACCGTCATCATCTACGACTCGGATTGGAATCCACATCAGGACTTGCAGGCTCAGGATCGTGCTCACCGCATCGGGCAGAAAAATGAAGTCCGCATTCTGCGTCTGATCAGCTCAAACTCTGTGGAAGAGAAAATCTTGGAACGTGCTCAGTTCAAGCTCGACATGGATGGCAAGGTCATCCAAGCAGGTAAATTTGACAATAAGTCGACGAACGAAGAGCGAGAGGCCTTCCTAAAGACCCTGCTTGAGGCAGCAGAAGCCGCTGACCAAGTTGGGGACCAAGAGGAGATGGACGATGACGATTTGAACGAGCTCATGGCTCGGTCAGAGGACGAGTTGACCCTCTTCAAGAAGATGGACAAGGAGCGAGACGAGAACGACCCATACGGGCCAGGTCGACCATTAGCCCGGTTGATGGAGGAAAGTGAGCTTCCCGACATCTATGTGGCCGAGGACAACCCGGTGCAAGAGGAGGTGGAGGAATACGCCGGTCGCGGTGCACGGGTGAAGACGCAGGTCAAATATGACGACGGACTCACCGAAGAACAGTGGTTAGCGGCGGTCGATGATTCGGATGACTCTATTGGCGAGGCCGCGAAGCGCAAACAGGCACGGATTGACAAGAGACGTACGAACAAAGCCAAGCGCGAACGCGTGGCAGCCGGGGTTGCGTCGTCGCCAGAACCAGAACGTGAAAGCTCGGAGGAGCCACAACCGAAGAAGAAAGGTCGTCCCAGCAAAGCAGCTGGCCAGAAGCGCAAAGGCGAAGATATCGAGGAAGAGACACCGCCGGCGAAACGAAAGCGCGGACGACAGCCTAACAAGCCTGCCGTCGATGTACTCGGCAGTGCCGAGCGATCGGCCCTCCAGAAGGCTCTTCGGACCATCACTGAGTCGATCAAAGCTCTCGAGGTGCCCGACTCGGAACCGGAGGAGCCATCTGACGACGACAGTGACGACGAACCGCCAACTAGGCTCATCATCGGACCGTTCCTGGAACTTCCGTCGAAGAAACTGTACGCCGACTATTACCAATTCATTGCGGAACCGATCGCAATGGACGTGATTGAGAAGCGCATCAGCAGTCACCAGTACACCAGCCTGAAAGATTTGCAAAGCGATATTGCGCTCTTGGCCAAGAACGCGAAGACATACAACGAGGATGGCAGCATGATCTACAATGATGCGGTTGTTATTGAGGTAGGCCAAGCACTTTTGTTGACATGGATTGAGGTCGCTTACCAGAGGTACAGAACCACTGCAACCAAATGATTGCCAAGCAGATCGCAGAGAATCCTATCTTAGGGGAGCGAGTGCCTCAAGATGGAGACTCCACCGCAGCAGCATCCAGTGCTGGGACGCCTCGAGGATCGGTGGCTCCCGTCGGTGGGACGAAGCTGAGACTGACGCTGGGTGGCAGTAATGGAGTTGCTACCAATGGCACGACAAGCGGGGCGGGCAGTGGTGCGGAATAAATGGTTGTACTATTGTACCATAACGAAATATTGCCGGGGCAGGGAGAGATGTGTCCAGATTGGAGTTTGGTGGTTCTACACTGCGGGACATCCAGTTTACCCTCAGCTTCCTCAGCTGGAAGGAGGGTTCGGTGCTAGCATAGCTTTGATGCATATGCCCGACTCGGCTCGGGAGGAGACGTATTAGATGCTGTAGCACTTCTAGTCCTACTCGTAGAATGCCGTGTCGGTTGTGGACGTCGATGATCAGAACGACGTGGGTGTGGAGAGCGAGATGCAGATCAGGGCAGCAGATGATCCCTTTTCCGCGCATGGCATGGCGAAGGATCACGACGAGTCTCCAAGAATCGTCGCAGCCTGTCTGTCTTTCAGCAATTGATTCACGGCGTATTCGCTGCTACATCTATCCCCCTGCGCTACCCTGCTTGCTCATGCCTTCCACGTCGCCCGTCCTCGGATGATAGCTGCACAACTGCGCCAATATGGCGTCAAGTCTGGTGGGCGCGACGTTGAATCTTCTTCGTACGAGAGCCCGGCCACACTGCGCATCCCCGTCGCTAATGTTCACATTCAGGTCGCCAGGTTGAAGACGCGGATCCAGACGGTACAAGCCACCCTTTGACTCACCTGTCGCGACGAGTCCTCACTGACATGCCAATGCGCAGAGCCGTCAGAGGCCGGACAGAAAGAGATCTTCTCATCATGGGCCCTCTTCATCCTGATCATGCTGCTCATTGCGGCGCTCTTTATGAGCTACATTCTGCAGCAGAAGAAGATCCAAGCGGTGCATGAGACAGTCATATCCATATTCGCTGGTGAGCCGTGTCCCGCATGCCTCGACTCTCCCACTGATGGCTTGGGTAGGGATGGTCGTCGGCTTGGTCATCAGAGTGACCCCCGGGACGGTCATACAGGACACCGTCAGCTTCGACTACCAATTCTTCTTCAACCTCCTCCTTCCGCCGATCATCCTCGCCTCGGGTTATGAGTTACACCAGGTCAGTGCATGGAGAAAGAGCTGGGCGTGGAACATGCTGAACACTGCCCGCAGGCCAATTTCTTTCGCAATATCGGCACCATTTTGACCTTTGCGTTTGCCGGGACGTTCATTTCCGCAGTCTCGTTGGGTCTCATCCTCTGGCTGTGGACCAGAATACCCTTCGACGGCTTGCAGATCACCTGGGTCGAGGCGATCTCGGTCGGGGCCACGCTCTCTGCCACCGATCCCGTCACCATCCTCGCCATCTTCAATCTTTACAAAGTCGAGCCGAAACTCTACACGGTCATCTTTGGCGAGTCCATCCTCAACGACGCCATCGCCATTGTCCTGTTCGAGACGGCCCAAAGATACAGGGAAGGCGGCGCGGCTGGGAATCTGAACATCATCAGTCTGTTCGAGGCCATCGGGATTTTCTTGCTCGTCTTCTTCACCAGCTTGGTCATCGGCGTTGTCGTCGGAATCGGGACCGCTCTGGCGCTGAAATATACCTTTGTGCGCCGGTTCCCCCGGATTGAGAGCTCGCTGATTGTTCTAATCGCATACGCAAGCTATTTCTTTTCCAACGGCGTGCATATGTCAGGTATGCAATGCGATCCACCTCCTTCATGTCGGCATGCTAATGAGCGTCATCAGGCATCGTATCGCTCTTGTTCTGCGGAATCACCCTGAAGCACTATGCATACTATAACATGTCGAGGCGGACCCAGCTCACCACGAAATTCGTTTTTCAGATTACTGCACAGCTCTCGGAAAACTTCATCTTCATCTACCTGGGCCTCACACTATTTACCGAGACAGATCTGGTCTTCAAACCTCTCTTTATTCTCGTCACCGTGGTCGGCATCTGTGGCGCGCGGTGGCTGGCAGTGTTTCCGCTCTCCAAGGCGATCAACTATATCATTCGAGTGCGAGCGAAACGACGCGGGCGAGATGTCGCCGAAGAACTTCCCTGGCACTATCAGGTCATGTTGTTCTGGGCTGGGCTACGGGGCGCCGTCGGAGTCGCCTTGGCCGCCGGGCTGCAAGGCAACGAAGGTCCTGCGCTGCGTGCGACTGTTTTGGTTGTGGTTGTCCTGACAGTCATCATTTTCGGCGGAACTACAGCCCGCATGCTGGAAATCCTCAACATCCGCACAGGCGTTGTGGAAGAGATTGATTCGGACGACGAATTTGACATTGAGACAGCGAATGGCGGTACATATTACAAGCGCTCTGGAACGGGTTTCGGCCACAATCCACGGTCGTCGTCCATTGGCCTTGATTACGTGGGCAATGCGCGAGAGGGAAGACCAAACGGCTCCGCGTCTCGCCCCCGCCCCGACAGAGGATACAGTAGCAGTAATGGACGCTCCCCACCCGTCCGGGGCGGAAATCAGCGCAAGAACTCGACCATTTCTCAGCGGGAACGCGAGATTGCAGCCCAGCAAGGGAAGCTGCTGTACGGCAACGGCAGCATGAGTGGATCGACTTCAGATGACGAGGAAGATGCTGTTGATCTCGACCTGCCCCCTGCAGCACCCCGAAGGAAACAATCGCCTCTCGCGGGAGGTCATGATGCACGAGCGCGGTCGGCGCCGGATATCGTTCTCAACAATGGAGACGACGATCCGCTTAGCGTGGACCATGGAGACATGGGCACCGTGGCCCAGACGGAAGGGACGTCGACGCCACTCGCCGGCGCGACCAGTTCGATCCGAAATCTGCTCCGGGGCGCCACGGGAGATCACACGGCCTGGTTTCGGCAACTGGACGAGGACTTTATCAAACCGCATCTGTTGTTAGATCAGCACCAGGGTCAAGGGAAAGGGCCACCGCCTTCTTGAAAGGCCCTGCATGTTATTGTATGTATTTCTTTGCGCTGGCATGGGTGTGGGGCGTTCTTTTTCAAAAAGTGATTGTGGCCATGATATGATATTTGCCCTAGAGACTCGGGATGAATGAAGCCACTGGCATTCGCCACGGGTGCGTACAGATGCATACGTCCGGAGTACAAACGAGATTGACCCTGATAAGTGTCAGGAACTAAGGAACGCAGAGTACATTGTACATTCCATGTGCTTCTATTGCGAATCCGTAAGATGGTGATGAAAGCCTGACTGTCGACATGGTCTGAACGGCGAATCTACACAGAATGCCATAAGCCAAATCCAGGGTGAAGCGCACTCTATAGGCGTGTGGAAGATACGATTGCGTAACCTTGAGGAGTAACGTTCTGGTCAAAACTTACCGGTACCCCAGTGCAAGATGTCGTTGTGGTATCAGTCATTAGCATCACGAGACGATGCTCCGTTCTTCGAGGGACATCGGGTCGTCTCGAAAGATGGGATCTGGCGCATCCCTCGGCACCCAGGCCACATTTCAACCCAGTATCGGCCGAAGTGTCCTCCGCACTGAGAAGATGGTTCCGCCCTGTGGACTTTGTTACCAGTATGAGTGGACCATCCGGCGAGAAGGACACCGCCTGCGGTCGGGGGAATAATCTCCGAGACTCTCTTTCTACGAAGGCAGGTAATGCCAGGATGATATATACTGCACAGCCGTGGAGAGCAGAGAGAGGGATGGGATTGTAGGAGATTTGTGGACGATTTAGCGGCGTGCGGGTTGGCGGTATACAGTACCTGAACCAGCCTATCAGTCCTTCTAACGCTGCCGGGATGGAATAACAACCCCCCTATAACTAGGCCCTATAACAATCCACCAGTAACTAGGCCCTATAACTAGGGACATGGAACCCAAAAAAAACCCACCTACAGGCACTTCTGCATCGGCCGGGAATCGAACCCGGGGCTAAAGCTTGGAAGGCTTCAATGTTACCATTACACCACCGATGCCGGACCGGATTTATATCCGAAATTTTAGGTATCAACACTAATATCTCGATTTAGATTTGTCTCAGATGGTGATTAGCTCGCTTCGTGTGCGTCGGAAAACGGAAAAACCAGGCGCAGGGAGCTTCTTCACGACCAGCGGCAACAAAATCTGCGTGGTGGATCATGTTATCCCATCACGTGCAGAGTGGCTTTCTTTCTTCTCGCCGCCCTGACGTCACAGTGTCTGTCACTGGCCAAAGGTACGTATGCGAAGCCGTTTGATACTGCGCATTGCACGTCCTCGCGGCTCTTCCATTTGCAATCAGTCTACACCATATTTGAAGTTCAAGCCAGAGAAGGAATCTAGCATTGTTTCAATCGCACCACTGCACAGGCCCAAAATGGATGTTCCAAAGTTCAACGAACGCGAGAAAGCCCTTGAGAACGATTACATCCGCCGCAAGGAGTCCGTCGTGCCCGATTCCTGCCTCTGGCATTCGCCCCAGCTATGGTTCCCCAGACGAGCACGCAACTCGTCGCTTGAGATGGGATGGTGCTGACTTGTAGCCTCGTGTCTGGCTTATAGGGCGGAGAAGTTCAAACCGGCCGCGCCGACTCAACCTGGCAATACCCAAGCCTCAAATCCGGGGCAGAATGTACAACCTCTGGCCCATCACATTCTGAACGGCGCCTGATTGCTGACCATTTTCCAGGCCCAGCCGAAGAAGTGAACGGTATGAAACGATCGTGGTTGTCGCGAATGTCGACAGGGAAACGGCATAAGCTGCGGTAGCGGTGCAGACCAGTGTACTCCATATGCATACGTCTCCACGAGGTCTTTCACTCAGCAATAATGTCGAATATCTCACTCTGCTTGGCATCGCGCCCGCATCTCTCAAGTTCGCTTCTAGCCTTTCGAAATCCAGCTCTCCCTTGTGTCCCTTGTTGCGCTTCTGTATTCCAGACTGCACTCCCATCACGTTGTTCTTCCGCATCCAACCCAGACGCACAGTTCAGGTCCCCACTTTCTGAGAAACCAGAGAGAGACACAGAAAACATCCCCTTTGAGCGGATCTTCATCGGGAGAGAAAGCTGCTCGAAACCTACTGCATGCGGCAATGGGTCAACCCCCCCCAGCCAAGTACTGGGTAGGCCAAGACACGCCAGACCGCAATCGGAGGACACGTTCTCGGGGTGGTGGTGATGCCAATCCGGCTTACGGCAAGCCAAATCTCCTCCCGTCACAACGTCTGCTAATTGACCTTACCCTCCGTCTACATTGGCGCGGGTAAGAGTCGGCTTGGGCTAAGTAGTCACACCAGGCACGCTGTTTCCTGGTTTCAAGTTCGCGATGCCACCGTTCTTACCCACTCTGACCGAAATATCCAGACGCCCTTAACAGAAAGGGTCGATCCAGATTGCCCACCGGCCGTCCGGCAGTCGATACATGGCTGACGGCTCCGAGCTAGAGGGCAACAACGCAGCTAATAATGGATCCTGATCTGAAACCGCCCTATATCGTGCGTCCAGCCAGATGACCACTGTGAACATGTCAGACTCCTACCATGCTACATATACTAGTGGACCCGTGTTCTCGCTTCGCCGTGCCTGTATTAGCACAGCGTGTACGAGAGGGCCAGGCACTGGCCTGTCCTCGACCATAAGTCAACATGTTGACCGCAATCGTGTCCGCGACGCCGCTTTCACCCGCCAGTCGAGAACATGCTCCGACAGCTGGGCACATTCAGGGTCCATGCGAACCCTCGCCTACACATCCTGCCAGCCGCCATAATACTCTTGTTGGTCTTTATCCTGTTGCCGAACAGATACTCGAGCAATGTCCGACTAGGACAACTATTTGGAGTTTCAGCAGTCCTACCGAGACAGGCTGCAGCGAATGCGACCCTCGGGGTAAGTATCACACAGACAGCCGACTATGTTTGCTGATAGTGTTTGCGCAGTTCCAAAAGTTGATAGCACTCTCATCCAAACCCAGCTGGAGAACTCGTGGCCTCCAAGCGGCCGCCAACCTCACGGGACTGGATTTCATCATCCCGCCACAACCGCACAACCCTGAAGAATTCGTCGTTGCGTTCGAGGACATCGGCCTCGGCCAGACGACAACACCCAAGCATGGCTCCGCCTCGGCGTGGGTCGCACATCTCGACCTCCTCAAATTTGTGATCGCATCTGGCTTCGAGACCACGTTTATCGTCGAAGATGATGTCGACTGGGATGTGCGCATCAAAGACCAGATCAAACTGATCTCTGACAACGTCCGAAACTATACTTCCGTGCCCGAGTCCGATCCTAACCCCTACGGCACGGACTGGGACGTCCTCTGGCTGGGCCATTGCGGCAGCGCCATTGACGACTGGATTCCCCCTGGCGTGATTTACGCCGACGACACGCGCATCCCTATCGAATTATACGCGTCGTGGTCGACGGGGTTTTTGCAAGAGCGACTGCCCCAAGGGCATCGCATCATTCACGCCTCAACCATGACGGTGTGCAGCTTCGGATACGGCGTGACGAGGGCCTCGGCACAGAAGATCCTCACTCTCCTCGGGCGTGGCGCAGACGAAGCTTTCGACGTTGCATTGTCGCACCAGTGCCGCGAGAGGGCATTGCGATGTCTGGTCGTCAACCCGCAGATCATGCACCACTACGAGCCGTCAAAGGATCTCGGGTATGTGAGCCCCGTCGATTCCGGCGACGGAGAGGGCGAGCCGGCCGACGAGACCAACTTCGAGTTCATCAAGGGCAAGACACTCAACATTGTAAAGAGCGCCCGGTGTCAAGCCTTGTTCAACGATACTTGCGTCTAAAGAATGTGATGTCGCCTTTCGTTTTCAGGCCCGAGCCGTCTACACAATACGGAGTCCTCGTACCGTCCTACGTTCGACAGGCATTACGGGGCAGAGCCTTCCCGAAGGATCCGGGAACGGTGGTCTTCACTACAAGAGAGGCCATTTGCCTGGGCCTCCTCTCCTGTGCAGGGGTTGTTCCTCAGAGATACTTGCGGACGCCAGAATACGAGTCCTGGTAGAGGAGCCAAGTGTGCTAAATTTAGCCATCCATGCGAGGACGGGGTACATATACCCAGTCTTGACACAACAGGGTCCAGCGCCTGCCATGTGTGCATGTCATACCCCTAACTCTAGAGTGTCCGAGGGTGTGTCCTGTGGAGGGAGGAGTGATCTCGATACGGGCGTACACGCCTATGTGCGGACTAATTTCCCATGTATCTGTTCGTATTTGCCGAGGTGCCGACGACGGGGTGAACGTCCTCGAACAGTCCAATGATCGAAGGCTAGACCATGCGAATATGTACTACACAGACCATACGGAGGACGATTACTCGGTACTCGAATGCCGAATGCGGCTTTGCCCTGCGTGCCTGCTCGTGTCTCGTCGACTGCAAGCTACGTAGCCACACTGTCCGCACTCACATCCTCAGACAAGTACTTGGAACGCACATACGTGGTGCCTCCGTACGATATCTACGCGTACATAGGCGAGCAACTTCGGGAGGCCATACGGAGTACTCTGTACTCCTGTACTGGCTAGCTAATCGGAGATTTTTCCCACCGCGACGCCGACATCGACGCCAACGCCAACGCCATCGACGGATGTACGGAGGACTCGGTCTTTCCATGACCTCGTCTGATGAAACACGCCATGTGGTCCCCTTGATCCCCCACTCCTCTGGACAAACTAATATTAAAAAACGGAGAGTAAAGTACTCGGAAAAATATCCTTGAACGCATTGAAAATGGTACGAGTACCCGTACGGAGTAACAGACCAGGTGAACAAACTTTCTCATTGGGCAAAAAGCAGAGGGGGACGTCGCCACTCATACTTGTACTCGTACGAGGTACGCATACCTCGCGCGCGAGTTACTTGTACTTGTAACTCGTACTCGTCCTTTTACACCACTGTCAGTACTCCGTACCTCGTCGTGCTCGTCCCGTGTAGGTGTGTATGTAGTTGGCGCCAATTACAATATATTTTCATCTGACAATTTCAAAGTATACGTACACAGTCCACAGTACACAGTACGCAGTACCGGGGTAAAACCGAGTAAGTAGTAATGCCTGCGCGATCGCGACTCACGCAAGACACGCGACTCACTCACTCGCCCACGACCGCGCGACACCACCAACCGGATGTCTTGCATGTTTTACCCTTTTAGGTATGAGGTACGAGCTACGAGTAGCAAGCCCTCGCGATGGGTGGAATCACAAGGGAGGGCACTTGGGGCCCCGAGCGTACGTACGTACTACGTAGTAACTCGTAGCAGCAGCCGTGCGTACTCGTACGAGTCCTCTGTACTCCGTGCTCCGTACGGTAACATACTGTAGTGCCTCCTCGACTCCAGACCCGCCGTCCTGTTTGGGCAGGAGTTGGTGACGCCGTGATTAGGTGTCTCAGTTTGAACGCTCTCGGAAGGGTGCGCGGGCCGTGGGAGCAGTCTACCCAGTACAGTACAGTAGCTTGCTGGCTTGGGGTTACATAGTATTCGGCGTGTTTGGTTCTGCAGTAACCAAGGTAATTATCTAGGTCCTCCATACTCCATCCTCCGTAGGTGAAAGGAGGCATTCTCGCATCGTAGGCTCTCGCATCGTGGGTTGGCTAATTGCGTGTTTCTGTAACCGAGATATTAATAGCCGTGTGATGGGGCAGACGAAGACGCCCTCGCGTGATCGGGTACGATCCAGCGTACCGTGAACATGTTTCAAGTTGAGGATTACAAGAGTGTACAGAGTACAGTACGGAGAGACCTTCGTCACGCTTCCCCGTCGTCCATGAGGAATTCCCGTCCCATCAGTAATTCCCTCTACGACCGAAGCCTGCTCTTCCCAATCACCCCTGTTGCAGTATGTTCCTGTTCTGTGCACCAATTCCGGTCGTCCAAACAGACGCCGCTCCAATCCCATGCATTCCCACCCGCGCTCAAAACAGACAACCCAAGCAGTACTCCTAACAGACATTATCCAGCTCGGAAACGACGTTCTGTTGCCAGGCAATATTCCAACTATCGTCACTTGGCAAACGCATCTGACTTCTTTCTCAAAAACACCCGCTTGATCCCACCAATGTCCCCGAGACTCATGCGACTGCTCTTCCGGCTTCCCGACGTATAACTTACTCGTCGGCCACTTTTCGCGTCACTGGCAACAGACCCCGTGCTTGGACTGGTTGAGATTGTGATCGGGCTCGAATTTGGATTGTTGGGACTGACACTGAAGTACGACGATGCGCGACGTCCACTCGAAGGCGGAGTGGAGCTAACGGTAGTCGTCGTCGTGATTGTTGTGGATGTACCATTCGGTCCCTGGATAATCGTCGGACTGGTGCCACTGACCGCTCTGGCCTTGCCAACCATTCCTTGAACCCACGCGTCGTTGTTATTCGGGCTCGCTCCCGTGCTTGGTACCCTTCGAGCGTTCATCTTGGGTCCAGCCCCTCCCAGAGGGGTATAGTTCGTGGTGATGACGGGAGGAGTAACGACCGTCGTGGTTGTAACGCCGCCCTGACTACTGACAACTGAATGCCGTCTCTGCGAGGGCGTTTCCGGATCTCCTACGTCTGCGTGAAAGACATTGGTGGTAGCCCCGGCTTCACGTCGCGTAGCAGACGTCGTCGTGGCAGATCTGACGGTATAAGAAGACGGGATAGGAGGCACTGGCGGTGCTATTCCATCCCCTTTGATGGTCCGGTCTTCAAGCGAGCCAGGTCGTTGCATCGAGGATCTAGTCTTGGGATTAACAAGGTCGGTGCCCTTGAAAGTCGTCTGCACTGCTGTAGGTGATCTCGACTTTTGTCGTCCTTGCGAAGCCGATGCCACATTGGCAGCAGTTACCTGCCCGTTTCCAGGAAAGCTAGCAACCTCGAGTCGACCGTCGATAGTTGCGCGACTGCCATGATGAAGACTATATTCCTTCAAGTATTCCCCTAGATCAGCCCAGCCTCCACCGACACGAACCATGACACGGTCACCGTCTCCAACAGTCCGCACGAAAAGCTTGATAGGGGGAGCTTCACGCCCTTGTCCGGTCCGTGTCAGATGGTACAGCTTGATATCAGGATCTGCAAGATTACCCTTGCGGCTAGACGGGTCTGCTCGAGCCGGTGATAGAGTCAGTGCAGGGGTAGGTGTGGACGAACGCGTGGTCGAAGACGAAGAGCTTTCGGAATCTACGTCCTTCGCCAGACGAATTTTGGTCGGCAGGGTGGTGAGAATACCCTGAATCTTCTCGTCAAGTGATTCCGACTTCTTATGTCTTCTTGATGGGTGCTTCGTACTACTTGGAGGACTCGAATGCTGCACAAGATCCTCAGTGGTGGCGCTCGTGGTTGGTGTGATCGGAGACAATCCACTCAAAGTATTCCTCTTGCTCGATCGCCTGGGCAGTTGTGGCTGAGTTTCTTGCCGTGAAGGGACGTGCAGTGGCTCGATTTGTAGAGACGGCGTCGCCAAGGGCGTTGTTTCCATCGATGGCGCCGACGGCAGCAGCGCAGAATCTTCCATTCTCTGATCTGATTTATTGGGAACCTCAACCCCCGTCAATCGCGCCAGAGTTTTGGATCGTGTCTCCTCGGGTGCATGCGTTCTCTGCGAGAGCATATCCCAACTCGCCGAACGCTGTAAGACAACTTCCTTCAGTTTCTCTTTGGGGAAGACCTCGATCGAGGCTGTCGACGCCCGTTGAAGCATCGGTGGCTTCGCAGCCAACTGCTGCTGAGCTGCGGGTGCAGATCCGAACCAGGTGATTTCATCGCGACTGGCTCGAAACGGATTGTCCACCACACTGACCTTGGGACTCGGGAGAACGCTGGTGGATTTGGCATCCATAATTTCTGCATTGGAAATGTCTGAGAAAGTCGAGTACATCGACTCGGCGACGGAAACCTTTGAAACTTCTCTTCTGTGACTCCTTGGCTGAGCCAGATCAAGCTTCAAAGAAGGCTTGCGCTTCACTTTTAGTTCTTCGGTGTCTGTGGTAGGCAGCTCTGATATGTGCCCTTTTTCCGCGGTATCTTCTGGCGACCGTATCTGAGTACTATCTGGCTGGAGAGGCGACACAGGGGCGATACTCCCACGGTCGTCTTCAATATGAGCCAAGCTCTTGGCCACTTTCATTGGCTCATGGCCTTGTGTTGAATTAGGTGCCAGCTGGTTCTTGAGGAGAACATGTTGAGCTTCAACCACCCAGGTTGCGTAGTCGAGCTCGATGTTCTCGAGCCTGTCAATCCAGGCCTGTGGTAGGGTGTCATCCTGGCCTTCGAGCATGTCAAGGAGTCGATCAATGCGTCGGCCCATATCTGACACCTGTCCACCCAGATCCATCTTTCGACTGTCCAACACCGCTTCTGTCAGATTTCTCGCCGAGGTCGGGTCTCTGATTTGGTTGAAAGCGTGCTGGGTGCCGGACTGCGTGGATTGCATCACCTCTAGAAACCTCGGCAGCTCTCTAAGTACTCGTAATCGGATATCCCATGTATCCAGCGATTTGTTCAATTTCGCGAGATCGGGCAAAGCCTGGATGACTGTTGCAGTGATCAGAGCCGTAAAGTCACGCATTCTCCCATAGCTTGCACGAGCACCCGCAGGCCTGGATTTTGCCGAGCTGCTCGACGGACGATGCGCTTCGAGCACATGATCCTTGATCTCGTTGATTCCCAGACTATCCAGGTCGTCCCTAATTTCCTCTAGTCTGACCTCGTACTCTTCCACCAGAGACGCAGGCAAACAGCCACGATACTCAATGTCATTGTGTTGTGCGTCTGGTGGGGGAATAAATCCCAGACCAGATCCTCTTTCTTGCTTGCCCGGCCACTTCCATCTGGCGACCTCCTCCTTCCACTCGCGCAGCTTTTGAGCGGCAAAAGCGGCTCTTATGCCGAGTTCTCGCTCTGCTGGAGTGGCATCTGCAATGCTGGAAGTCAAAGCATCTTCCTGCGCCGCCCCGGTTGATATTGTTTCTGTTGCCTGTAATGCCCTCAACGTCGAGTCGGGTGACAAATTCCCCAACAACGGATCGAGCTCTCTGAAGGCGAACTGCGCTTTGCGTCGTGGAGATCGTGAGGGTGAACGGTCTGAAGTGACTGGGTCGAGGCGGGGGAAATTCTCTAGCGTGGGAGTTGTGGGCGCCATGTTCAGAATTGTGCACGATTCCTTCTACCCTGCCAGCAAGCAAACACTCTCGATAGTCGAAGACTTCCAGCCTCCCATGGACCCAAATGACAGCATGCTGAAGAAGGTTGAATCCGCTCAATATTCAGGTGGAGGCCGGGGCATGAGGCGACGTCTACGGCGACAGGAGTGTGATGACCTCTATCGACCGGTGAGGTAGGTGGTGGATAATGGAGGTGAAAGGGCGACGAGTCAATGGAATACAGCTATCGGCGACACACCAGAGATGGAAAAGTGAGGCTGAATTCAATCTGTCTCAAGAAGGAAGGTTGGATAAATGCAGGCTAAAGGCTGCGTCTGCAGGTTGGGCCGCAGCTTGAACTTCCCCAGAAACATTTTCACTACGCCTGCCTCCGGCCTTGGGGGCTCGGCTGGACCGGCTCCTTACGGGCACGCCCCTGTTTGTACGCGCTTCCAGAGGGCGTTCGTTCCCCAATTTCTTAACTAACCGCCCACTAACCAGGGTTTGCGAGATAGGCGAAATGAGCTTTTGTCGCGTACTGCCCCTATGACGCGCTTTTTTCCGGTGCAGCGGTGCGCGGAACATTGGCTCGTATTCCTGGACGTTCTTCAAGCTAACCATTTCTACACCATCAGCAATTCAAAATCCCCTCCGCCTGCGACATCGACATCGACCGTCGACTGCCAAACATGCCATGCGTTTCAAAAGCCAAATTAGAAATGTGAACTTGCTAGCGAGTATGCAGCCTTTCACTTCCAGCTGCATTATGGCTAACACCGGCTAGAATTCTGTGCCTCGCTGGCGTCACTTGGGCAAATCGCCTGGTGTCGACTCAACGATGAAGAGGTTCAGTTCACCATCATCCCTGACAAGGGAAGCCAGGTGTGGTCTGTCTTGAGACCGGAGATGATCTTCGACACCTACATCCTCCAGTCCGCGTCCCCTCAGAACACAATCAATCTAGAAGTTCCAATCCAGGCGCTTTCACGCGCCCTCAAATCCGCCCTCGGGTCAACCTCGACTCAGATCAGACTAACCAAGAAAGACAATGTGCCCATGCTGTCGCTGACGATCGTCACAAATACCTTTAGCAGTGGCAACAACGTTGTCGCTGCTGCTAGTAACGCCCGCGAACGCGCCGGCCATGGGGACTTCGATTTCGATGACAACGACCTCTCCTTCAATGAGACTCAGGGCGGAGGATCCAGGGAACGAGAGACCGTCATCACCCAAGACATTCCTGTCAAGGTCCTGGCCATGGAAGTCGTTGAGAGATTGCACCAGCCGCGCACCCCCGAGCCGGATGTGAATATCTGCCTCCCTCCACTCGCTCAAGTCAAGACGATATCGGAACGCTTCACCAAATTAGCACTCGCCACGACCAAGACCTCCTCCAGCGTGAGCCCTCGTCTTGAACTCAGCGCTAACATGTACGGGTCGCTCAAAATCTCCGTCAAAACAGATGCCCTCAATATCTCAAGCAGGTGGACAGGGCTTGCTCATCCCGAACTCGATCCTGCATTCTTCCCAGACATGACAGATCATCCGACCACCAAGATGAAGCAGCTAGGTGGACCGAATGGCGAGAACGAGGCGGGCTGGTCAAGAGTCCGCATTGACGCGAAGGACTGGTCAAGGGTGCTCAGCGTTGGCCGAGTTTGCACAAAGGTCATTGCGTGTTTCATCAACGAGGGGGCCTTGGTGCTGTATGTCTATCTGCCGGCCGATGAACACGGCGACGAAGGTGATCCATGTCTCACGGTATGTTCGAATTTCCTACTGCGGACCCGACACTGACACATCAAAAGTACTACATCAGTTCTTTCTCTGCCTAGTGGTGCAGCAAGACTCAAGCAAAGGCCGATAATGGTGTTTTGCGGGTTTGGCGCCCAGCATCTCGACCCGGGGTTTCATATCGGCAGACGACGTACGGCGCTTTGATATCAATCGTAATCCACCGGAAGCCAAATCACCATCATGCACCGCAAACTGGAGGTGAGCGAGACGCTCGACCCACGTGCAATCGCAGCATCTTAGTCATCAGGGCATCCTCCCTATGCATCCCTCGACGGCTGGGCTCAAATCTGATTGAATCAGCGCTCCCTCTCCCATCCCAACGATCTCATTACGTCGACGCCTGAGTACTGGACGTTTCCATTCATGATGCTGAGTTGACTTTGGTGCCTACTTAGATTCACGATGTGCTACGACGCCGTTCATGGTAGCGGGACAGGTCACATGATGGCGCCTCCACACGCATTGTGCTTTTGTTAGAGTTCTTTGGCGCTTACCTAGCGCCGGCCTTCAATGACCTGTGTACTCGCCAACCATGAGCAGCACCAGCAAGTACATGAAACTGAACGTAAACTTACCGCGCCTATCTCTACTACTGCTCTGGCTTCGACCTCGTTGCGAAACACTGGAATCTGGAGGATTGGCTATTATTCCAACAACAGGATGAAGGCGCCATTGGCTGCCTCGACATCCCACCCCCATTTCAAGGGCCATTATTCGTCAGCGTCAACGCTGCTCTGTTTTTCGGCTTAGCAGGTGACCCTCATCGATGATCCGACCTTTATGTTGGCCGCACCGACCGGCGTCGGCATCACAGCATGCTGGGGCCATTCTTGGAAACGCCAGCTAGGATCCAGTGATCTGTTGCATGGACCTGGGACATTGAGGCTGAGAATATAGACAGCATGATGTACAGGTGGTATCCTGTTCGGCGTGTAGAGCAGTTTGTTCTCTCGCCATTGGTCTTTCTCGTCCCTCCCAGCTTTGGTTAACAAATCTATCCCACCTTCCTCCGTGTCATTTACCCAAACATGCATTTTCGGGGACGATAATTTGAATGTTCTCTGTCGATGATTGAGACTCAAAGTTGAGTCTCTCGCCGTTATCTCAAGCCGTGCCCAGGATCTTGTCTTTCATGGCAGACGCTTTGGACCCGGTCGTTAATGTCCACGAAGGCGTGTGGACAAATTACTCGAGAGGCAAAGTATGGGGTCTTACTTGGACACTCTGTCCGACGCATGCCGTTATCATGACCAACGCGCTGGCTATTCTTGTTACGGTTTGCGGCGTGCAGCTGTTCAACATCATACGATACACGATATACCGGTTCGGTACTTCTACTCGGCCAGAGACCCCACATTTGCAGAAACAGCAGAACATATTGAAGGTTGCCGTCAGCGACATGGCAACCGCCCAGAGCATGCTGAGTTTGGCATGGAAGCACCGGCGAAGCTCAGGCAAGCGCTCTATACGGGCATACACAATCGGCCTCTTCGCCGTTCTCTACACAGTCCTTTTCTGGGTCGCAGGAATCTTTTCCAACAAAGCAATCAGTACCAGCTCGACGTCCGGCCCTTGGGAGGTCCTTTCAAGAAGCAAGGGTTGTGGTATATGGAACCAGACATACTATGACCAGATTTCCAGCCTAGATATTTCCACCGAGGACAACTTTGACATGCTGGTACAGTTCAAATCGAAGAAAGGACAGGACGTCCAACTGAGTCTCGAATATGCTCAGAAATGCTACTTCGCCCAGTCTTCTGCCCCTAATATGTCATCGACCTGCAAGACCTTCAAGACACCCAGCTTGAGCACCAGCTATGAGAATGGAACGTGCCCGTTCCCTTCCCACCTATGTCACGACAACTCAAAGACCGCCGTCCTGGACACAGGTTATCTCGACTCCCACCATGATCTGGGCATCAACGCAAAGCCTCAAGACCGCTTGAGGTACCGAAGGGTTACGACTTGCACAGTAATCAATGATACCAACTATATCACCGGATGGAACGACAAAGTGGTGAACACCTCGAGCGCCCAGGTTTCTCCGGCCACAGCTTATGCAAACTTTGGACCGTCGAACTACAAGTACACTAATTGGACCTACTCGTACTCAAACTTCGCCTCTTTCTTCGACATGTTTAGCAGTCAAGTGATACTACCGTATCAGCTGGACCCTGAGATGGCCTACGCTCCAGCCGATCCTCAGTACAGTGTAAGTGATTTCGAGCCCATTGAAGGCCTGGCACCGATCAAGGCCGACCTGGTGCTGCTCTTCCTCAGCTATACGGGAATGTATACTACACAGGTCGATGATCCATGGTTCGCGGCCCATGAAGAGGCATTGTTTGAAGGTCCATATCCGTATCTTCAGAGCCGTTTTGCGCGCGACAAGCCAATCAGCACTTTAGGTTGCACCGAGCAGCACGACTTTTGTACCAGCAACGGCACCTGCACTGGCCTCGGTGGATTCGATCAAGTACAAAACGTCGCCGCATTCAACAAAGCCCTCACACGTCACCAAAATGTCACATTCGATCGATTGTTACGAGCGACCAGTCTTGCGAGTCTTCAACAAATTACCATGAACCTCGGATTCACCACTAATCCGCTGCTGGCGAGCAATGCGACATATACTGGCAGTAGTGGCGCCGTATTGTCCGCTCCGTTGCCGGAGAACCAGTGGAAGCTTGAATTAGAATACTGGCACTCTATCGCAATGGCGCATCTGCAAAGGACTGCGTTCGAATGGGCGACGGGCCAAATAGCGCCCACGCCACAACGCGTCCAATACCTGGTACCACCTCAAGAAGAGCCTGATATCTGGTTTTGCAACAGCATGATCCTCAAGTCAGCCGCCTACCAATCCTTCAATCTTGTGGCGATAATCTTGATAGTCATTTTTGGGACCCTGATAATCATTTTTGGCCTAAACAAGGAAAACTTTACCGTCCTACTCAGCAAATACCCGAGAAGGCCAAAGAGTGAGCAAAGTTGGGAAGACGATGACATGCTTGACCTTGGAAGCCCATGGGGACCTCGGACTCTACCAAGGCAACACCGCCAGCACGATCGTTTCAGCCCGGAAAGCCCTTCCACAGAGCCTGAATTGATCAAGAAAACACGGGTCCCAAGCATTCGCAGAGTTTCCTCTCCTACACTCCCACCGGAAGACCGTACAATGCCCAAATTGGACCGTCCGTTGGGCACTGTCGACAGTGGAATTGGCAAGGAAATGCTACCGCCTCCTAGACCACCTCGAAGCTCGTGGATAGCCATCAGTCTGAGCAGGTTTGACGGGTTGTCGCCAGAAATACCAGGTCAAGTCCCCAACAACAACGAAGTGCGTCCAACCCGAGAGCCATTGAACGGGCCTCCACCTACTACGCTTGTTTCTGACGCCCCGCCCTCGAACCGACCGCTGAGCCGATACCTGGGTCCTTGGATATGAATCAAGCGGTTCCCGTCCCAACTAGACCGTGTGGGGAAAATAGTAAAGAGGCTGAAGCGCGGAAATTGGCTCATCCATCGATGACCGGGGCAACCAAGTTGTTGGACTTCGTCTCTGATCACTACTTTGCCGATAGAGCGAAGACATCATCCGGTCACTCAGGACATACCTGCTGTTGGGTCAATGGGCCTTGCTAAAGCCATTGCAGGAAAGGAACCGACCAGCACTGATATGAATTTTGCCGTGCATACACTTGGGAATGCTTGTGCGGAAAAGTGGGTTTGAAGGAACTCAAATGGGACGGTCTGGAGACGGCGATGGGTTGTTATTGCGAGAACCCGACTAATTCAAGTTGTGCATTCAACTGAGTGAGGAAACTCGTCACAGCTGAGGCATGAACAGGGACCACAGGATGATGACGTGGCTACATACATTCTGAGTCAGGTGTGCTCGAAGTCCATGTCTCAACCAGCGGATGAAGCCACACGAACTACAAGCGTGCGGTACACAGCTGGACATGTCCATCAGGTGGTCGGAACGGCTGGATCTTGGGAGGAAGTCGCGCTGTGCCAGTGTGAGGAAAGGCGAAGAACAGTGTGGTGCAAGTCTATAGCCTCATCCAGGAGAAAGGAGGACCAGCCACCGTTCATGGCTGAGAGACCATCAGCCTCTGCCAACGGGATAGCAAGGAGCAGGACTATGCGGCGCACGTCCTTCTGGTCGGCATGGGACAAGGTGAAGGATCATGCAGGTCGCGAAGTAGCACCAACAAACGTGCACGACGTGGGAGGGACAATCATGTGTCACCCGGTGATTGAGCCGCCGCAAGCGCCATAACGAGGCGAGGGGAAGGGAACTAGTTGCACGGCAGGAAATGTTCCGACTGTTACAAATAATGCAGATATTAAGATATTTTACAACCCTCGAAAACTTCGCGACTGGACCGTCCTCGCCGTCTTCACGACCTCAAACTGAACTGATACCAGGCCCAGGCAGCGCGGTCGCCATGGCCATCACCCGAGACAGGAGTGCACCCGACACGCACGCACGCAGCAGCTGTTGCCGTCTCGTTTCGCCTGCAAAGCGCTGTTTAAATCACGCAGCTTGTTTGATCCAAGTCGGGATGAAGCAGTCTGCTCACACGCAATTCTACAGAACAGAAAAGCCGTTCAACGTTGCTGTTGCCGCCTTTTCAGCCACGAGCATTTCTGGTGAAACGAGAATGAAGGAATGTATTCTTCCAGCTGAAGCGTTGTTGCGAATGTTGCCCCTGGAATGAGCTCTGGACATACTGTACACGAGTTTCCGGCGTGCAGCGCACAGCCCTATCTTCAGCGTCTGTCTGCCTGAATTCGGTCGTCATGGTGTCAGCTGAGCTATTCACAATCAAACACGGAGCTCGACGCTGTTCAGAGAGGAGAAACGCTTCGGGCGAAGAACTCGGCCGACCACGATCAGGAGCCGGTGTGAGTGTACAGTAATGGCTGCATAGCAATGTCCAGCATGTCGTTCGAGAGCATGTACGGAGTACAGGTACTTCCACCGGACAAAATTCAGGAAGACAAGCCGAGATCTAATTTTGTTCATGTCTGATATGCATGTAGCTGACATGCTCGGACGAGGGTCTTTGCCTGAGTAAAATATCTACGAACATACACGGTACCTACTCCGTACTGTGTAAGCTGAGGCCGAGTTGAACAGGCTTGATTGGGCAGGCACACTTTTTGCCCTGGCATGAAGATCGGCATCAGCGTTCGCTTGCGGAACGGGGGCTCGGGCGCCGGCACCGCTGGTATCACACAAGATGGTTATCGGGCGTGCCTAACGGCTTGACTGGGGGCCACAGAGAAACCTCAAGCTACCTGATGCAGTCACAGTCTGAGTAATTACCTGCCTAGGTATCAATGTACCTAAGGTAGGTAGTAGTCCAGTTCACTCTCACTGAGGCGGGCTACCTCCGCAAACTTTTTGTCATGCTCTCACTCTCCGCTCACCAGGTGCTCACCACGTGCTCACCACGTGCTCACCACGTGCTCACGATACTGTGTTTTGTGATGCTCACTTCCCTTGATCGATGGCTCCAACCCGGCCATGCAAGCATGAAAAGAACCCATGATCTGCTTGCTCCCATACAGACGCGCCGCCCGTCTTGACTTGATCCGCTATTTACGATGATCCAGGGTTTCCGTCCGCACAGCGTGATCGGCTCACTGAGCCGCCTCTCCACCACTCAACCCTCCCGAGTCTCGGTCGTCGCCTTTGCATCCCTCATTGGCTTTCTCCTCTTATTGATCGGTTACCACAACTCCTCTACGTATGTCACGACATGGTCGTCTGCGGTCTCGGCCTCGGCCTCGGATCGAGGTACGATCAGCCCTGCGCGGCAAAAGTCCCTTGATGCGATCCAGAACACAACGCTAGGGGTAAGGCTCTTCACCCATTGATCATTGACCATTGATCATTGCTCTTTGCTTGCTCACCCCACCCGCCTACACACACATATCCATCACCGAATGTGTGGGGACCGACTGACGCTGTGCTTTGTGCGTCGACGCATAGTTTGAAAAGATCTTGGCCATCAATCTCCCCGAGCGGACCGACTACAGGGACGGACTGACCCTCGCCGGGGCTGTCTCGAACATCAAAGTCGAATTCATAGACGGTGTGCATGGAGACACGGTCCTCGACAAAGTCATCCCGCCCAAGCATGTCGACAACCCTGAAGCGGCACTAAGGGGAAGTTGGCGTGCCCATGTCAATGCTCTCAGAAGGTCTCTCTCTCTCTCCACTCCTTCCTCTTCTTCTCCAAGAAAAACCCCCCCAAACTCCTAACCCGAGACGGTAAACTGGGTGTGCTAACCTCTCACCAGCGTGGTCGAGCATAACTGGACGACGGCGCTGATCTTCGAAGCCGACGTCGACTGGGACGTGCGGGTGAGGGATGTGCTGACAAACGTGGCGCTGGGATCTGAGGCCCTGCTCTCCCTCTCCGCGCGAGGAGTCGAAGACCAACGATTTCAGCTCTCTCGACTCCCGGTACCCGCCGCCGAGGCGCCGCCCGTCTCCCCGTACGGCGATGGCTGGGACCTCCTCTGGCTGGGCCACTGTGGGATGCAGATCCAGGGCGGCTCGAACGTCGTGGTGATCGAAGATGAAGACACCGTCCCCGAGGCGCAGTTCGTGCGGACCTGGGATTCCACTGAGAGGTCGCCCCTGGAAGAGTACCCTGCTCACTCGCGCATCGTGTTCCACACGGACGATTGTGTGTGCTCGATCGGATATGCCGTGACGCAGAGCGGGGCGCGACAGCTGTTGAACAGCCTCGGTCTCCATCGCCTTAATGCCCCCGTGGATATCATGCTGCGGGAGTGGTGCGGAGGGCGGGAAGGGGATGACCCGCACGTTTGCGTAGGCACGCTGCCCACCGTGTTTGCCTCGCATCGGCCGGCGGGATCGACCGCTGGGGACAGCGACATGGGGACGCCCGCCGACGGGTTCAGAGATAGAGGCTTCACGCAGAATATCCGGTGGAGTGTCAGGATGAATATGGATAAGATCGTGCGGGGCGAAACGGACTATGAGGATCAGTTCCCTGATACTGTGAATGAGCTTGTAGACTAAGAGACGGATGTGTAGGTTGCACAGGTTGAGAGCATTTACTCGTACCGGCTAGACAGACAAATGTATTGCGATGTGCTGTTATGGATATTGCCGGGGTGCAATAGGGTGTGGACACACATGGAGTCCGCGTTCGGTAGGTCATCTGCTGGATTGCCCGTGCGGCTGCACCGTCTCAACGATGACAGGGCCACTGGAATGTTGAAGGTCATCCTGGAGGATATTTTCCTGCGACTTGCACTGCGACCCCAACCATCTCGTGTTAGCTGGTACCCCTTCAGGTCCAGCCTGCGTTGTACGCCTGACTGCCATAGAACTTTAGTTCAGTCCACTCGGGGGCTGACGTGCTCGGCCACGCCCTGTATCGATGACGCTGATGTGATATAGAATATCGCGGAGATACATTCTGACTTGGCCAAGAGTGGCGTCGCAGTGTCTAGGACTGGGTTAGACGCTCTCGCGTGCCCTAGATTTTTCCGCCTTTCCCTGCCCTTTGTGCAGGCTGAGGGCATACGAGGTGGCCGCAATTCGTTGTAAAGCGGTGTAGATACCACCCCGCGGCGTTTCCGGGGGCGATGAAGGTTGTCGGGGTGGCCCGGAAAATTTTTAGGCATGTTCATCCGCATCAGCATCAGGTTTCTCCAGCAATCCCTCGCGTTCTCGCCGTCTCTTCTCCTGCCTTGCCATGGGATGCTCCCCGTCCTCTGGAATCTCGCCAGGCTTCAGGCCCAGCGCCCTGCGTAACCGCTCGCTCTCACGTTCCTTGGCCTCGGCCAGCTCGTGCACTTGATAGCTCTTCAGGCCCTTGCCGTCGATCCTCCTGGGGCCTCCTCCGCCTCCCGGCGTCGTGCGTTGCTTCTCTTTCTCCATGTCTTTCGTCAGCGTCTCCCTCAACCGGTCGCACTGCTCGTCAATCTTGTCCTCGTCGACTTGTCCTTCGTCCTCTAGTTTCTCCCGCAGCTCCAGGACTTTGACCTCGATCTCTCGCAGTCGGTCGTGGTTCAAGATCTCTTGATCTGGTTTCCGCACCTTGGGCGCCTTTGCGGAGTCGAGGCTGTAGGGCACGCCGACGCCAGCGGCCCGAGGTTTCAGAAGGGAGAGATTGCGCTGGACGTAGCCTGACGTGCCGGACCCGCGAGGCGTGGAGAGACCGACGTTGGACGACATTCTCGGGGTTGGGCCACGGTATCCTACAATCAGGTCGCGGACGATGGTTAGGTTAGTGTGAGAACTCTACACAGTACTGGGTAGTGACAAACTCCGGCGAAGAAAGCCAGAAGCTTATCGATAGTGGTCACGTGAGTAAATGCGGTCCAGCAATCAGTCAGCAGATTCCATTTCTCCACCATCTCGTCTCCGATCCTCCGTACCGGGTAATTACAGCAGTGCGCCACCACGGTGTACTAACGGTACTTTCCGTAAACACAGGAACTGTTGCTCCGGAACTGGTACTGGGTAGCTCGTACCCGGAGCCAGAGACCGCGGTATGCGTGGCATGACGGAGCCCATGCAAGACCAAGAGCCAATCAAGCATCAGGCGAGACCTTGGTGAATGAGTGCAAAGACGTGCTTTTCGGTGGTGGTCGCCGTGGATGCTTCGAGAAACACGACGCTGTTAGTGCGGCACTGCACCTGTGGCTATTCCCGGCCTGCCTGCAGTCTCCAGGACAGGGCATGACGGCGCCCCTAAGCTTAAGCTCTGGGGGTGCCTCGGTGCCTGTCTGCAGCACGGGCTGTTCGGCCCAATGAGAAGCCTCAGGGAAATATTTTCCTGCCCCCGCGTCCATTTCCGCCGTATATCGGACATATTTTCCGCCCGTGCGATCCACCCACACCATCAACCAACTAACCACGGACCACCGACCTCCCTGCCCCTTGTCATTAAATACGCCCACAGACGTCTGTGAGTTGAGACTTGAACTTCCCTTCCTCCCGTGTCTGCTCATTCCTCAAACTTTGAGTCTCGTTTGTGCTTGGACAGCCTGCGCTCTCCAACACCTTCCGCATGCTCTGCTCTCGAGTAGAGATATACTCGATTTCCCTTAACCTATTTCTTGCCTGCGTTCTGGTCGGGTCCTCTGGCCTCTGACTTCTAGCCTTTGACCTCTGGCCTTTGACCCCTTTCCTTTCATCTTGTACCACATACGTTTGACCTTGTCCTTCTGTTTCGCAGTTCAAAGGTGGAATTATCGAGGACGAGTCAACCACGTTCGCGACAGTTGCTTCTCCTCCAGCATGAGGAGCGATAGGAATGCTGCATCAGCCACTCTCCGGGATCACCGTTCTCCGTCGGGCGCCTTGTCGAACCCGCGGCCTCCATCCTCGGCCTTGCCCTGTGGATGCATTGAGGCCATATTTCCTGGCCATGGGAGTAACCCGTCCGACTTCTGGTCATGTCGTCCCTGCCAGACTTGCTGTTCCATGGTTCCGAGGCTTTGTGTGACGGACTGCAGCCTCTGTTGACCCAGGGTTGGAACGCTGAACTGGTTCACAGATTGTGCAGGCATTTTGCGCCCCTGGGAGCCCATCGGTACCGCAGTTCCGAAAGGCAGAGCGTCCAGACTCGCATACGTCGATCCGTCAATGGAGCCAGCATGTCCACCTCGCAGCATTGTGGGATCGATCCCGGCGTCCATGCCATCCTGGAGCTCCTGACCGAGGCCATCTGGCAGGCTGTCAGCTAAACCATCGGGAAGACCATCCGCCATGCTATCAGAAAAGCCCTCCGATACACCGTCTTCTTCTCCATCCACCTCCATCATTGAAGTGTTATGCCTCCCCAGCCCTACATCCAGCATTCTCTCCCCGAACACATGTCTATCGTCGCTGGTTGTGGATAAAGGCGTCATCGTGGACGGAGTGGTCAAGTTCTGTGACGAGACTGGTGGCTGTGGCCGGATATCCGGAGGGTGATATGATCTTGGGAGAAGCAGTTGCGTTTGTGTATCCATCATTGATTCTGACCGGGATCCACTAGGGCGTTGATTGTCGACTCGAGGCGGACTCAGGCCTAGCCCTCGGAGAATGGCATCAGTCGATACGCGACCGCTACTTTCATCGGGGACGACCCCGGGAAAACCAGTTCCTTCTCGACAAGCCCAATAGAGTCTCTGCAACGCTTCGTCGATGATGTCTTGCATCCCCCAGTACCTATCGAGCCAACGTCAGATCTTGATCACAGATTACAGGGCATCGAAAGCTTCGATTGCAGCCGAAAACTCGATTTTCTGGGCGAGTTGCTTGGAACACCTACCAATCTCTGGCCTCCCTGCGCCTTCGCGCACTATATTCACAGGTACTGTCACTTAAAGTGCAGGTTGAACAAGGAACGTTGCCGTCGCACTGCGCGGAAGGTCAGCACATCCGATTTTGTCGAGTCCCACCAACGCCTGTTACCGAGGGTGAGATTTACCTTGCTCTTCTTGACCTTGCACCGATCGCATGCCCTTCCTATCCTCATGCGAGACTTTGGCGGCTCAGTGACACCGGGCCTCAGAGGCGGCCGACCCTCCTGACTCTCTTTGCGGTTGGGCATTTCGCCGTCGGTTCGACAGATGCCTGCGTCACGTCGAGACCGTGGTTTCCGGATCCGGGGACACGGACGAAGAGGTGCGCTGCGTGGCTGGCCTACCGAGGATTCAAATGTACAGCTCTACGCGGCAACTGGAGACCACAAGGTTGAGTATATTCGTTCATACTTCGAACTCAGCTCGCGCACTGTTTCTGCCAGGCCCGCCGCGGCGAGGTCGCGTTTGGTAATGTGTTCGGTCGTCCGAGAAAGGCGGTACGTCCTCGAATTTCTCTGGCACGCCTCGTCATAGGCAGTGAAAATTATCCGCGGGAATTCCCCAGTTCATGGGATGAAACGCGAAACGTGAAGTGGCAATATTGAGGCCGTTTGTGCCAAAATTAAGGTTAAAAAGAGAATCGGGGCAAATGCCGTTCGATATGCAGCCACGAATGATACATCCGCTGAGATCGGAGCGTCCCAATCGGCTAATGGGGCGAGTGGCGCATTCAGCACCGAAGGCGGTGTCTGCTCCCAGGCCGCGGTACGACAGCTGTGGCTTGCCCACATGCAATCGCTCCGGTCCACGTAGCTCGTATCGTGAAGTATGGCGAAATCTCTGGAAATCCCTGGAAACGTCTTGAGGCGGCGGGTTTCGAGATCCGCGAACGAGAATCGTCTGGAACTACGCTTCCCGGAAATACCCAGAAGACGGCCAGCCAATTGTGTGCGAGGGGAAAATTGCTCCTTCGCCCGGCACTGGTCGCCACGTGACGGTCAGTCCCCCAGCAACTCTTCCGCCGTACACAATACGAAAAGTAGGAGCTGCCGTGTCCATGCACCGTATGGTCGGGGCGGTGGGCTTCAAGCGATCCAGCGACCATGACACATGAATACCCAAGGATGCTGGCGGCAGCTGCACTGGATGCAGCGACCTGTGCACATGCGTTGGGGGTTGACCGCCCGGGACTGGGCCGGAGCGAGCATCCGACGCTCATCATCAGAGGCGCTCACTACGTCCCACCTCGCCTGGATGTTTTATCCAGAAGGCCTTTCCGGCAGGCATATCGTACGAGGTACTTACTTGGTGCTCAGGGACGAGGGTGTCCGTCCTCTACAGGGTACCAAAAGTATTTCTAAGCGCTGGACCGTGGGCTCTTCGTTCTGCCGACTTCGTGCGGTTCCGAGTCCATGTACGGAGAACGAGCCTTTGCCTCGAGAGCAGTCCTTGGCAGGTCACGACCCTTCTCGACCCCTCCTTCGTTCAGAGTAGCCCCGATCCAGACCCTCCTGAAAATTCTAGGCCTTCCTTCGCACGATCGCCCTTAAACCCGACGATCGCAGCTCTCGATTCCCTTCGACTGCTCCTCATGTTTTACACACGGCCTGCGCAGTTACCACCGTATGCTCGATGAGGCCGCGACGATCGTCTGAGATGCGATCCTTTCCGCCTCAATAGCATCACCTCCTCAGTCTGCATTTTGACAAATATCTCTCAGCAACGCGTCTGACTTTGTTCATTCGAAGCCTCTAAGCTGTTGGAAGCAAGATCGTCGCTGGTTTCACTCTCGCTTTCCACTGCCCGTTCAGGCCCGTGCTCTGTCGTTCAGGCCCCACAAGCCACTGCGCCAAATTTCTCTACATAGGATGGCAGATGCCGACGGCTTTGGACGTCTGCGTCCTTCCGCTCCACCTCCGGATGTCCATCCCTCTTTCTAATTGTCGCATTCCGGATCGGCACACCCTAGTAACACGTCGGGAGCAGCAATGGCAGAATATGCAGTGTACGAGGTAGGTACTGTCTAGACAAGGGAGCAAGATGCTCGCGTTCAAACAATGCCGATCCTGCGGAGATACCTCGAGACCGCAAAGGTACCTCGTATTCCACCGCCAAAGCCCACTCCTCCTTTCCGGACGGCCACAATCGGACGGTTTGGTGGCGGATTGAACCGCTGACAGTCCTGTTGTCCCAGTTTGCCACTCATTCCTGGACGCCGCCAGAATGCTGTCATCCTAATGCGGGACTACGATTCGATTTTGGGAAAAGCGAGGACCGACACAAGCAAAATCGATAATGAGATGAGCAGTGAGAGACACAAACGTGCTGGGACATGACGCGATTATCTCCGTCACTCCGGTTTGTCTACAGCTTTCAACTGAACCTACCAGGACATAATTCGGCTGTCCAAATTCGCTGCCTGACATCGATGGTACAGACCGTTGACTGTTTCTTGTCCCTGTCTCTGTGCTCATCCCTAGCATCGAGCAAGAACGAGGATCATGGTATTACCACGAGAACGAGGACTATGGCTTTATTGGTATACCAGTACACCGCAGGCGGCAAGTAGTCGTGAATGATAAATGTGTTTTATACGAAGGTGAAGGCGAAGGTGAAGGCGAATGTTACAAGGCGAGGTAGAGGTGATAGTAAGTGTAGGTGTAAACGTCAATATGATGTGAGATGTGGCTGACAGTAAGCGTGAGAGTTGGCGTCCAGAGTACGAGGTAGGTACTCTGTATGGGTGAGTGTAACTGGAAGGTACAGTACGGTAACGGCAACTGAAGAGAAAGGCAAATACATCCTCATCGAAACAGGTACCTAGGTAGGTACAAGGTACGATAAGTAAACCTTCAAATTGCCGAAAGCGGTAGGATATGAGGTACTTTACTCACAGAGAACTTACCTGCCTACTGTACTGCCTTCGACCAGATCCCTATAAGGCGGGGGATATACAACACTTTGTACGGAGAACTGAGGAGGTACTGGGCACTGTGTAGATACGGAGCAGAGTACCTACCTACCTAGTTACCTAGGTAGTTTTCAGCCTCGTCCTCAGCCTCAGCCTCATCCGGCCTCAGCCTTGGACAACACTTTTTTTAGAATACTCGTTGAACCGCCAACAGAGTCATCCCCTCTCGTCCAAGCTGTACTCAGTACTCATACTACGCTGAACTAGTACCGTGGTGCTACTCGGTACTACTTATACTAGGTACCATACTCTACACCACCAAGAAGCACGCCGTGGCCCTATGAATCCCACATGCCTTCGCCCAGACCCAGCAAGGCATCCTGCAAGCCCTTCCTCGCGCGCACGCTCTCCTCGCGGTCCTCGCCGCGCAGTTTGGCGCTAAAGCACAGCTCGACCAGCGTCCTGAGTTCGTCGTACGTGTACCCGACATCCCGGTTGGAGGCCTTGCACTCGCGCACGAACGCCAGCACGCTGTCCGCGCCCGTGAGGAAGAGGTCAAAGTACCGGCTCGACAGCTTGAGGAGGCCATCGTCTTCATCCGAGTCTGGATCGCGGCCTGCGCGGTCTTGCTCGGCTGTCTTCATCGTCGTCGCGTCCGATACGATGCCGAGCCCGCCGGCTGCCTGGAGATCTCGGGGCGTGGCTTCGCCGGCCCAGCTCGCGCGTCTGGCGGGTGCCGTGTTCGCCAGGATGGCCCGCAAGTTCTGCTGGACGACCATGGCGTCGATGCGGATCCTCTCGGCACCGTGCTCGTTCATGACGCCGATGCTGTCGGCCGCCACGACGAGGTATCGGTCCACGAGATGGGAGAGGCCACGGAGGATAAAGTTCCGCTCCTTGGGCGGGAGGTACGTCGCAATGTTGGAGTCGAAGGCGATGAGGTCGTTGTTGAGTTCGAGGATGAGGGGCGAGGCAGACGACGGGGGCACCGATAACACGTAGGGATATAATCCCGAGTCCAGGGCTGGGGCCGTCGCGGCGGCGGCCGAGTCGCGAGTATCGCTCGCTGAGACGGGACTACCCATTCCATCTGGTCCGCGTAATGTGCGAGCGAGCTGGTGGATGATCCCGCACCGGATATCGACGTGCAGGGTGAGCAGGCTTGTTTGCGCTAGCGTGCGGAAGGCCTGCACGGTCTGGTCGAATGCAATGACCGTCTCGCTGCCGAGTGGTAGGTACACCGGCAGTGGCGTGCCGGGATTGGAGTGCCTTTTGGTGCCTGGCGCGTTGAGCGTTGTGATCAGCGTCCATCGACGGATACCTTTCGCTTGAGAAGGCCGGCGTGTGTCGACCAAGCCGAAGTGCGTGCTGTTCTCGACGTGGCGGACCTGGTCCAGCGCAGAGGCGAGCCATTGCATACTGTTGTAGAGGAGCGACAGTTGATGGACCGATTTGGGGTCGGAGATGATGTCGTACGCCGACAGGGGAGCAGCTTTGGTAGCGGCGAGGAGGGCTTGAACTTCTTTCGCCGTGAGATCCGACTTGGAAGCTCCGTCACCGCCGGATTTATGGTACGTCAGCAACTCTAATGCTGCGTCGTGCACTTCGCCCGAGGATGCGAACGACGCGGCTGCTTTCATTGAGAGCGTACTGCCGTTTTGAGGCGACTCGGGATTGGCGACGCGACTCACGAGCGCTTTGTAGAAGCCATGACACTTGTCGTAGTAGACGATCAATTGGTCAATGATGACCTGAGTGAACATTTGATCCTGGGGGATGGTGCATAGCATGGCCGAAAACGCGCGAACCAAGGCCATGAATGAAGCGGTCCCCTTGAAGATCGGATGGAGTGCGTGTTTCGACCACTGCACGTCTTCTGAGAATGCTTCTAGGTCAATCATAGCTTGGGCGCAAAGCTCTGTGACGGCTTCTTCAAGTTGTGGATGGAAGACGTTGATCAGGAAGTCGTCGAGGAAAGATGTCAGTGTGCTCATGGGGATATGCGCTGTCGTGGGGACAATGTCCTTGAGGCGCTGTAGGAACGTCAAGGACGGAGGGAGGAGCGTCGTCATGTTGAAGACTCCTGGCTCGATCAACAGCTTGTGCCCAGCGACGGTGTTGTCCTGTCCACCACGATCCGAAACCAGATCCGTGCCATCTCGTGCTCGACCTTTGCCCACCAAGCCAGGCACTGAGCTCTTGAGAATCTCATTCAGCTCGTCCTCCTCGGCTTTCATGGACTCAGATTTCTGGTCTATTTCGGAGAGCTTAAACATCTTCTTGTTCTTGTCGCGCTGAGGCCGCGCAAACACGTCGTTGGTGGCTGTTGAGTTCAACCCAGACCGCGCCATGTTCTCGCCATCAGTTGCGAGGTAGTCATGTAGTATCGATCGCATTTCCATCTGGTACAGTTTCCACAGCTCCTTGAAACCCGTGGTGTAGGTCTCGGGCTTCGCTACCTTCTCTCGAAGTGCGATACCTCCAATGACTTCGTGGAGTACTCGGTGACTCTCGGCGATGGCCTCGAATTTGGAGTACAACGTCCAGAGAAAGTCGGACAGAACTTGAGCTCTGCCGTCGTTTGTGTGAAGCGAAAGGGTTTTCCGACTTGTTCTGTTGAGGTGGCCTCTCCGGTGACCAGGATACTTCGCGTCAATGTCGTGGTTCGTCTTCTCCACGACTTTGTACAGTTCCATAGGCATTCTTTGCTCGATCCTCGAAACAGCCTCATCCAGCTGGCCGAGCTTGTTCAGGGACTCCAGAATCATATGAACGTAGTAGAACGTGTCAGCTTCCGGGTTCTTGGTCGGGTCTTCGACCATGGGAGAGGCAAGGTCCACGTTGTTCAGGTAATGGCTGAACGGTCGATCCCACGCATTCACCCCGGAGCTTAACATGGTGTCTTTGGGATCTCTATCCTCGCCGTTGGCTTTCTTGCCCTTCCATCGGTCTTTGCAGTAGGGGCTTCTCAGGTACAGATGATCGTGCAACTCCTCAATGAGTATGTCCAGCAACGTGCTTTCCTGGTTGGCGAAATAGCTTCGCAGATCAGCAATGGCGCCGATGCCGTCGAATTCGGTCTTGGTGATGTTCTTGAGACTGTCCATCAGGAGATCTACGGCTCCGAGGAATTTCTTTTCGCTTATCTTCTCTTCCAGCTTGCCAGGGAGAGCTTTGAATGATTCGATAGTGGTCAGAGTTGCGAGCATGTCGTCGAGCTCACCACTTTGCTCGGCCAGTGACTTCACTTCAGGCCGCGCACTCAGCATGCCGTCTTTGACATTCATCAAGCCCAACTTCAGCTGCCTTACACGACTCTGGCTCTCGTTGATGGCATTCTGGATCTTGTGATATGTTCCGACAGCGCTGTTGAAGTCGGCGTAGTGTTCGTTCACGACCGACTTCAGGCACTTTTGCAGGTCGGCATGTGTGTTTGAGAAGTCCCCCTCTTTCTCCGCCAGACCGAGAGAGCTAGGATCCATGAGCCTAAGAGCGACCTTGACCGGGACACAATCATCTCCTTCCATGTCCTTCCAGTTTCCTTGGATGTGGCGCATGATTTCTTCCATGCCTTTGGTCGGTCGACGAGGGGAGTAATGCCTGTTGGCATTCTCGGGGGGAGGGTAATTATTTTGCACCGCATACCCGTTCGTGGGCGTCTGTTCGTTCAGCCTGGGGAGACTCGGTTTTGCGGGCATGGTTGACGGCGGCGGCATTTGAGCTCGCTCTCGGAACTCCCTTCTCTCTTGACTCCTGCTCTCATTGTAGGCTCTCTGATTCTCGTTGTAGGCTCGGTCTCGTCCCCGAAACGACGGCGGCGTTTGCTGCCTCTGGTCGTAGTCTTGGGGCTCTCTTTCTCTCCCGTGGCCATAGTCGTTCCGCGGCGGAGGAGCGGCATCAGCGTATCTGGGCCGCGGTAATCCCCCATAGGCTCCCATGGGAGGACCTCCCCCCGATCCAGCCCTCGACGAGGGCATCGGGCTGGCGCCATCTATATCGCGTGTGTCGTACGGATTCGACCTGCGCCTGCGCTCATGAGAGCCGAAACTGTTGACGGACGCCGAGGACGCATTGTTCTGCGGGTTCACATAAGGGTCGGCGAAGCGACTACCGGCTACTGTGTTCGAGGTGCCGGTTGGTGCATAGGGGTTTGTCTCGTTGCTGGGACGGTATCCTCCTTGCCCACCGCTGACGGCATAGGGATTGTTACCGCTCATGCTGTCGGGAATCACGGAGACGCGGCCCGGAGACTGGCATTTTCCACCAGATCGGAGAGACAAAGAACGCCCGACCAGCCGAGAGCGAGTGCAATTGTGGCATATGAGACAGGAAGACCGCAGTGAGACGCGAGGTGCAAGATGCAAGATGCAAGATGCTAGACGTGGTGACAAGCCACCGAGTCGAGGCTCCGCGCCTCCAACTGCGCCGCGACTCTCCGCTTACTATTGTATGAGGCCACTCGAGCCACTGTAACTATTGTGTAGTGAGCACCGACTGGGCATATGGGTATCTAATAGTCATTCATGTGCGGATCTTTCGTCCTTTTACGTCTTCGTGAGCATCTGGTCCTATCTTCCCGTGCCATCCCAAGACTGCTGGTGTCCATGGTCAGGCGATGTATCCAAAGCCACTTCCCCGACACGCAATCCAAAAGTCCCTAACTACCTCGTTTGTCTTGCGAGCTCCTCGCAATGCCTCTACCTGGGAGACAAACCGGTTTCGTTGTTCTAACGTCGTAGCCCGGAGAGCTTTTTGGTTCATCACCCCGGCTTCCTGCTTGACTGCTGCCCTGAAGACTGCCTTTGTGAGCATGGGTTGCTTCTGCACGTATCGTTTCAGCGTCTCTGACAAGCTGTCGAGTTCAGACCGAGCACATTCTCCGCCCAGTAGTCGCAGCAGCAGTGACAGGATGCGAGGACCAAATCGATCCAGGACAGTCCCCACTCGTACGCTTGCATCGCCGTGAAGTCGCATCTCAGGCCCGCTGAAGTCGGCAAATGCGGCGAAGAATGCCGCTGCCGATCGTCGTGGCAGCGTGTCAGAGTCTGCCATCACCATCAATCCCAGCTCCATGGCTACGGCGACCGTCTCTTGACAGTCTTGAGTTTCGAACCATACATTTCCCCACTTACCAAAGCAGCGCCCCAAGAAATCAAGCGACGCAGAAGGAAAATTGCTATTCGACACCTGTGCAGTCTGCCGGTGGACGGAGAGGATATGCTGCTGATGGGAGACCACGGCATACAACACCGCCCTCACACTGGGGTGTATGTTCTCGGGACTCACCGAGGCCAGGTAGCTAGTGGCACACGCCATCGCGTTGTCGATGCTCGGATTTTCGACACTGATAAATCCCATGATCAAGTCAAGCCCGACCGAATCCGCGAACTTGAACGGCGACGGGTGCGTCTCGGTAAACCCTGATCTGATGAAGTCACAGCACGCATCGACGAAGACATGATCAATATTGGACTGAACCTTTTGTAGTGTGGCATGGTAAATGCCCAGAGCCTGCTGTTGCACATGGGCACCAGGGCCTTGCGTCCAGAACTCCGATGTGTCCGTGCTCGGTGCCTCCAAGTCCACTGGGACATCTGCAGGCGATCGCAAGCCTTTGCCGATCGAGGCCAAGGTTTGTACAACATCTGTGCAAACTCTCATCGTCCTGTCTTTGTCTGCGGTGCTATCGTCCGCGCTTCTCAGGGCCTGCCCGACGGTAGCCAGAAGTTGAGTAAGCGGCTGCATTTTCGCTTCATCTCCAGGAAGCGCCTGAATGATCGCTGCAACAGCCGCAAAGATTCGGTGTCTCTCTGCCTCGGCAATATCTCCTATTGAGCCCAGGGATCCCATGAATTGGGGCAGTCCTTCTCTGAGTATTACTCGATGCGAGTCGCAGAGCTTGAATATTGCACGTGAAGCCGCAGTCGTGGACGCTTGGAGGTGTAGCGAAGAGAAGAGGAAATTGAGGATTGGGACCAGCCGGTCGGAATGCCGTTCGAGGTAAGTGACGTTCTCGGCGATGAAGTTGATCCCTGTCTGCAACGCTCGATCTGGAACATTAGTAGACTGAAGCAGGTGGCTCCAAGCAGGGCTGCCTAGTACGGTAGTGATCAGAAGGTCGTACGTGTCTGTCTCTGAGGATATGCAATCAAACAACGCGATTAGCCCGAACGTGCTGGCTTCAAAGGTGCTCCAATCTGGTGGTGTCGCCTGTTGAATGACCGTCTTTACAACTTCCTCGATCAATGCATTCCCCAGTATGGTGAAAGCTGACTGGAGGAAGTCGTGCACGTCGTAGCGAAAATCGCGAAACCTTGCTCGATCATCCGCATCCCAATCTTGGGTCTCACTGGACATTTGTTCCGGAGGGATTTTGATCTTCAGAAGACAGGCCTCGCAGGCGTCCGCTGTCAATGTTTTCAGGAACTCCATAGCCGGATCATTCACATCTTCCCAGTCCGTGGATCCCTCGGATATCTCGGTGATTCTCTGGAGGACAATGTGGCAGACCGGGTCTTCTATGACGGCCACCCCGTCACAGCGAAGGAGCCGTCCCATGATTCGCACTATCTCTGCCAACCCCTGATCATGTAAATAGTCAGGCTTGGTGGTGTCAGCACGATTCATGATCGACTCCAAGAAATCGACAAAGAGCATTGCGTCAGGAACGAAGTCGCCCCGTACAAGCAAAGTCACCATTTCTGCGGCCATTTTGGAGGACACAACGGTGGATGGGAAACCCACAAGTCCTTGCCGTAGAAGCCTCGCTGACGAATGCTCAAGAGAGATTAGCATCTGAAGGACGCTACCGGTCATTCCCGCCGTTTCCAGATAGTTACTGGCGGTAGAGAGGCAATGGATTGCGAGATCCTCGAGTCTTCGGGTCTCCGTACCGTTGGCATATCTGATCATGTTGGTCCAGTATGGTATTGCTGGCACGGCCAGGTGTAAGACTTCGACAGCTCTACCATCTTTTGACTCTGCCTCGACCTGGCGGTGATCGGGGCCATTCGCTAACACTGTAACCTGGGACTCTGGGGCAAATGCCGTAGAGTATCTCAAGAGCTGTAACGCGTCAAGACTATTAGCAGCCACACGACTGTTGATCTTGCCGTCGTCCATTGTACTTGAGGAGTGATTGCTCAGATCCTCGGCGATTACCGTGGCGAGCAGCAGGACCCCTTTGAGCTGATGGGCAGACAGGGGGTTGGGTCCAGCAAGCAATTGCTCGACTTCCGGTAAGCCTTCTTCAGGAACATATTGCCTGCCGATCATGCAGGCCATGATATGCCTGAGTGGCATTGTCCAACCCGAATCAGGACGCACAAAGAAAGTGACGAGAGTAGAGACGAGCTTTTGCACCACAAAGTTCGAATCTGGGAGGGTGATGAGACGTATGTAGTTGGTCACTAAAGCCTCGAGCAGGTAATTCCTCATCTGCTCATCCCTGCCCACACCATCATTGTCCCTAACCTAGAGTTAGCTGGCTGCGGAGGCCAAGGAAATAGCCACACTTACCAATCAGCATTGATCTTGATGGTCAGCGTCAACGCGCCATAGAAACGTACGGTCGCTTCTCCGTGGTGTAGCAGGTCGAGCCCGAGTTGCCACGCAGACTTCTCCCGCTGCAGTTGCTGGATCTGAGTCTGGATGGCGTTGATCCGCTCAGGAGATGACTGGTTTGCCGGATCATAAAGATCCCTTATCAGGCGCTCCATTGTGCTCAGAAGACAGGCTCAACCAGAACATGTCTGCTCAGTGCGGAGACTCAGAGAGAAAGATCAAGAAAGCCTTCGTTTTAAATGGCCACAGATACCTGTCTTGCGCAGAGCTAGCGCGACTGTGACAATCTTTGCCTTGGAAAAGGCAGTGAGTCCCGACGTCTAAACCCTTGGGTGAAGCCTCATACGCAAAGCCGTCAACAACCGATTGCTGTTTATCACATCTGAACAGCTTGTGGAGTTTGCTATTTGGTTAAGAGGAGTGATCTTGCGGAGCCTGGGATGAGTGGTTTGCCACTGTCGCAGATCTGTGGTAATTTCGATGAATCAAGAACAGAGGACACAAAGAAAGTTGAAAGAAGAGGGTTGTCCACGGCAAGGCTGCGATTCAGCCTCGTCAGAAATTGGGGTGGATGGGTGGATGCCGCTTCCGTCATAGTCAACTTGAATGCCAGGCCATTTAAACAAACAAGTCCGGTAACATGGCACATGTGCTGGCAGTGGCATTGTTAGGGTGATCAATCTTTGCTTCACTTATTCTCTCCTTGAGACTACTTTCGATGCGCTGGTCGTTCTTACGCTTGCCATTCTCGCGACGTCGATATCCCGCCCGCAATCGGGAACTGATATCCAACTGCTCGCCCTTACAATCCGTGCGATCGTTCTCCTTCTCGGGTTCGTTGCAAGCTGCAGACATGGAAAAGGTGGACACAACTAAGCGGTTGGCTCAACTCCGCGAGCTGATGCGCGAGCACAAGCTGGACGTCTACATCGTGCCTTCAGAGGACAGCCACCAGTCGGAATACATTGCTCCGTGCGACGCGCGACGAGCCTATCTCTCTGGCTTCACCGGGTCGGCTGGCACAGCTGTCGTTACCCTGGAGAAAGCAGCCTTGGCCACAGACGGCCGGTATTTCAACCAGGCCTCTAAGCAGCTCGACGACAACTGGCACTTGCTGAAACAGGGTATGGAGGATGTTCCAACTTGGCAGGAATGGTAGGGATGATCTTCGCTTTGACCATGTACAAGGGCTGAAGCTGAGTTAGGACTACAGAGCAAGCAGAAGGCGGCAAGACTGTCGGGGTCGATCCCACCGTTATTACAGCCTCGGATGCTCGCAAGCTCAGCGAGACACTGAAAAAGAAATCACACGCGACCCTGGTCGGAATCTCCGAGAACCTGGTTGACAAGATCTGGACAGACAGGCCACAACGGCCGACGGAAAAGGTCATCGTCCTGGCGGAGAAGTACTCGGGAAAGTCTTATCGAGAGAAGCTCGATGACCTGCGGAAGGACCTCAAGAAGAAGAAAGCCGCCGGCATGGTCGTGTCCATGCTTGATGAGGTCGCCTGGCTGTTCAACCTCCGAGGCAGCGATATCCCCTACAACCCGGTCTTCTTCTCCTACGCCGCCATCACGCCTGACTCCGCCACCATCTACATTGACTCTTCCAAGCTCGGTCCAGAAGTGAAGGAGCACTTGGAAGGCACGGTGACCATCAAACCGTACGATGCGCTCTTTTCCGATCTCACCAGCATCGCCGAAGCCGCTGCCAGTGAATCTCAGGCCAACGGCGCCTCCAAGAAGCCTCACTCTCCCAAGCTATTGTTATCCAACAAGTCCTCGTGGGCACTCTATCTCGGTCTCGGCGGCGAAGACAAGGTTGAGGAGTCGAGGAGCCCCATCGCCGACGCCAAAGCCATCAAGAACGCCACGGAACTGGAAGGAATGCGACAATGTCACATTCGAGACGGCGCCGCCTTGTCCGAATACTTCGCCTGGCTCGAATCCGAACTCCAGGGCGGTGCGTGGATGGACGAAGTCCAAGCCGCAGACAAACTCGAAGAGATACGTTCCAAAGGCCAACACTTTGTCGGCTTGTCATTCGACACCATCTCGTCGACGGGCCCCAACGCTGCCGTCATCCACTACTCGCCCGAACGCGGCAATTGCGCCACCATCGACGTCAACCAGATCTACCTCTGCGACTCGGGCGCCCAGTACCTCGACGGCACCACAGACACCACCCGCACGCTACACTTCGGCACGCCCTCGGAGATGGAAATCAAAGCCTACACATTAGTGCTCAAGGGCGTCATTGCCCTCGACCGGGCCGTCTTCCCCAAAGGCACGACCGGGTTCGCCATCGACGCGTTCGCTCGCCAGCACCTCTGGCGCGAGGGCCTCGACTACCGCCACGGCACGGGCCACGGCGTCGGCTCCTACCTCAACGTGCACGAGGGACCGATCGGCATCGGCACGCGCGCCGCCTACAGCGAAGTCTCGCTGTCCATCGGCAACGTCATCTCCGACGAGCCAGGATACTACGAGGACGGCAACTTCGGCATCCGCATCGAGAACATGATCATGGCGCGCGAAGCCAAGACGAACCACAAGTTCGGGGATAAGCCCTGGATCGGGTTCGAGCATGTGACCATGGTGCCCATGTGCCGGAAGTTGATTGATCCGAAGCTCCTGGACCCCGAGGAGAGGGAGTGGTTGAACAACTACCACGCAGAGGTGTGGGAGAAGACGAGCGGATACTTTGAGGGAGATGAGCGGACGACGAAGTGGTTGAAGAGAGAGACTGCGCCGATTTGATCGGATGTTGGCATGTGGCACTCATCAGAGCCACGGTCCGGCGTGGTCTCGCTGGAAGGCATAGAAAGCCGGCCGATGTGGTGCTTCTTCTGTGGCCCTCCTTTGGCTGTGGCACTTAGGAGATTCCTCAACTTCCGGAATCATTGCGCTGTGCTCAGCATATCAAATGGTCAACAAGATCAGCTCGGGTACGGACATTCTTGGTCTTAGAGCTCATTGACTAAGGATGCGATAGAAATGCATGGGCTAGACTGCTAAGTCCGGGTCGCGGAACCAAGTAAAGATATGCCCAACCGATCGAATCTTGTCGTCCTGCTGCACCTGCACATAGAGTCACTGCCCGTGGTCTCTCGCCAAGGTCTCATTCAATAACGTCGTCCACCATTGCCGCTTGCTGTGAGTCTCCTCCACTTGTGATATAACCTCTTCCTTTCTTCCGGGCTGGGAGGCGTATACCCGGGCCTGTACCTAATCCTGAGCTTATGGCGGGGATGGTATGACTCTTCACAATTGCACCGGTACTTGCGCTTGATCAGGACGAAGTGCAGTGGCGGCGGACTTTCATCCAACCACTGGTGCTTGGAACAGCTGACGTCCTCTGACATTTTGACGGCTTTTTCTGCACTGGCATGCACGCTGTGGCTTCCAGCGCTCGACAGCACTCCAATGACCTTCCAATTTCTCCTCTTTGGCTTTTGTTGAAGGTAGTCGTGGACAGCGCGCATCACTTCCTGGTGACTTTGATGGCTACGTGGCGATTTCGGAAGCAGGAGGCCCTTGGAGAAGTCGAAGGGCATCTTGTCTTTACCCTCTAAGGGCACTTTGCCTATAACCTTGTACGACATTCTAAATTGCTGGGGTTCGTTGCCTGCAGGAGAACTTGGTTTGCTGCTGAGGTCTGAGTGTTGCTGGCGGAAGAAGGATCTTAAGGTAAGGGAGGGAAATCGTCTTGTAGGAGCAGTGGATGAGCGTGTTGACTTGGAATGGTCCTCTCGAGATACACATATCAGTAGTCTCTGCTCAGTGAGGGTGACTTTGCATCTTTCTCGCTGGAGGTGGCACTTCTCTGGATCCCAGACATCTCTCCAGAGATCCGGGGGAGACCTGCCCAACGACATCCTGATTGACTTGTGCGGCATGGTATTGATGCTGATATTGATGGAGAATGGACCGCAAGCAAAAGTGGAAAACTAGTGGTGAGAGCGAGTAGAGACCATACCTTCGGAATCGTGGAATTTGTATCGAGGGAAATGAACGTGATGAGAAGAAGCCATGGTCGTCTCGCGATGGCAACCGCGACAGTGCTTCCTTCCGTTACGACAGTGCTTCCGTACTCATATTCTCGAGCAAGAACCATCGGATGGGCTCGTCTTTCTGGCCGACTTACTATCCTGTCAACTGTAGTTCACCAGAGGTCGCCACAAACGGTCAAGCCGGCCACTTCATCTCTGTGAGGTTGAACAAGATGCGGATCATCAATATCCGGAGCTTCGACGTATACTGAGGCATTTTGGCTCATAGAAGCTTGGACAGATACAATGCCAGCCAGACGATTTTGCAGGCTGATTCTGGTACACCTAACAAGACCCTATAAAGCCTTCCAGTTAGGTTGTGCGTTCTGCTGACATGTGGCTGGCCGTAGACTTTACTACGGCGGATGATAGACACTAAGCATGAGGTCATTGTCGCTAACCAGATTTAGCCTAGTTCGAATCTCGACCTTATGAAGCTCAGCTTCGTGTTCATCCTCGTGTCGTTCAAGGCGTCAGCGCCCTTGATACGGACGATGCAGATGTACGGACTACGCATTTGCATCTTTGTCACTGCGGGGTTGGTCCATCACACCCCACAAGGGCGTTAGAGGCCCGTTCGAAAATGTCATGCCAATACCTCTACTCGAGGACCAAGGAGCGGCTGAGATGCCAAGGAGTCTTGTGAGGAGCACTTCCCCTGGCACTAGGCGGCTGATGATGGATCTGCACCGGGTACCCATCGTTTCACAAAGCCTGCTGTGCTGTTTCTCGAAACCATAGGCCTGGAAGTGCCAAAGTCGAAGGCTGGGCATGGCGCATCGGGCAGCTCCTGGCCTGTTGCCTGCGACATCACATCCATAATGCTTAGCAGCTTCGTTCCGCTTTCCTTGGCTGAGTTTCCAGCTTCAGCCTTACCCTCGCACACCAAATGCTGCCGCAGGGAAAGTGTCTCAAGGAAGACGATGCGCGTGACAGCGCCTTCTTGCGTGCTTAGGAACTCGACCGGGGAACTGCACGAAATTTGCAAGGCACACCGCCATTGGTGCGATCCGGAGCAGAACTGAGGCGAGTCCAAAGCACGAGACTGCCAGAACACGGCTTGAGCTGAGAGATGGAGGTGAGTCGCCAAGCTCTCCAGCAGTCTCTCAATCGTGATGGGCTCATGAAACTGGATGGCCCCGTATTGGCGGCGTTTACATGCTCAACATGATACCTGCAGGAAAGAGGGCTGAAGCTGGAAATTCTGGCTCAGTCTCAGCTATAAGAGTCGGGTTCGAGCAGGCTGTAACTTGACTCTCCTTCCTTTCGCAACTGTCCTGGTTTCAGCTTGCCATAGTAGAAACATTCCACCTTTGTCATTGTGGATATCGACAGCTCCAGCACTTGGTGCGGGACGGGAACAAAGGCAACGTCGATTGCTTCTGACATCTCATTGAGAACCTTCAAAGCCAAACCGACCATGGCTGCTCCAAGGGTGTTCAGCGTTCGGCCTGGCTCCAAGCAAGAAGCCATCCAACAGGCCCAGAAGGTCTTGGGTGACAATGCCATGGCGACATTGACCGCAGACCAACTCAAAACGAAGCCGGCCGAGCCTAAGGGCGCGCCTGAAGCCTCTGAGCTCTCCTACACGTGCATCACCGAGATCGATCCCGAGCAAGTTGCATCCATTGTCGTTGGATTGGACCGCACCATCCCTCGCTGGAAACCTGGGTCGGTCATCAACTACGCCACGTATGCAGACGGGTACCCGAACCCAGAAGACGCGGTCTACGCCGCCAATGCGCTCATTGAAGCAGCAGACTCGTGGAACGCAGTTGACTTCGGCGTCCAGTTCAAATGGGTGCCGAATCTGGAGGATGCCGCGTTTGTCCTCGCCTATGGAAAAGACAAGGGTAGCGTGTTGGCCAGCGCTTACTTCCCCAATGCGGAACCCCTGAACACCGTCTGGGTGTATAGCTTTGCCTTTGACAAGGAGCCTAGAGTCGGCAGGGATGGTGTGACCAAGTTCCAAAACTACAAGATCATGAAGAACGTCTTCCAGCACGAGTTGGGCCATGTGCTGGGCTTGCGACACGAGTTCGCCATCGAACGTGAGGGCCAGGGAGCTGTCCGACTGTTCTCAAAGGATCCAAACTCGGTCATGAGCTACTACTTCCCACCCGAGATCCAAGAATCAGACAAAAAGGACTTGAAGGCATTCTATGGCCTTCCACAGCTCGTGGACTTTGTTCCTGACAACTGATTTGGCACACTGCGAAGGTGCAGCAAGCAAGAGAGCGGGAATCTTCAGGCAGGACGAGAATGTCAGATCCAGAAGCTTTGGGATGTCACTCATTGGTATTTTCACCCATCATACCGTAGCAAACATAGCAGTTGCAGCAATTCTATCATTGGCCCTCCCATCATATAGCATTTCCAGACACCTACAACATGCTTACCGCCGCGTAATACGTCCAGCACGTCCCGACACCCTGAGGGTAGTGACCGAGGGCAGTGATAAAGTGGAGCATGTCAGAAAGGCGGCCGACTGGAAAGTTGGAGTAAAGCCGATAATTACCTACCTTTCATGTATTAAAATTTTCATAGAACCAGGGAGGGAGATCACCGCTCAGCCAAAGTAATTAGTTCCTGTACAGCAAGTGTGCATGTGAGGGAGAGAGAGAAGGATTAAGAGAGAAACGACGTCCGATTACAATGTCGCCGCCCGAAGGATCGAGCAGCAGCAAGAGTCTCCACGTCGCGTACTTGGGCCCCGAGGCTTCGTTCTCCCATCAAGCGGCCATCGGAGTCTTTCCACCATCAACAGACCAAGCAGTCACACTACATCCCCTGCCGTCCTTCTCGGCGATATTTTCTGCCATTCAAAACTCGTCGGGCCCCGGAGACGGCAAAGGATCAGAAGGACAGTCTCCAGCTCAATCCCGCTCGAGACCCGAACCCGAGGATTCAATACACTATGACTACGCTCTCGTGCCCATCGAAAACAGCACCAACGGCTCCGTCGTACAAGTCCTCGACCTGATCGCCCAGTGCGGGCCGGACGCCCCGGCGCTGTACCCAGACCTAGAAGTCTGCGCCGAGTACTATCTCCCCGTGCATCACTGTCTGTTTGTGTCACCTCGCGCTTCTTCGGAACACGCTCTGGTAAACAACACTGCCTCCGCGACGAGCCACGATGGTGGAGATCTTCAACTAAGACGAGCGATCCGCACGCTGTACACCCACCCGCAAGTCTGGGGCCAGTGCGCGCGCTTTTTGGCCAAGCACTTCTCCCCCAAGGACGTGGAGCGCATCGACGTCGGGAGCACTTCGGCGGCCGCCCAGCTGGTGGCCCGCGACGCCCATTCGGCCACGTCCGGCGGGCTCAACGCCGCGATCGCCTCGAAGCTGGCCGGCGAGAGGCACGCGCTGGTCTGTCTGGCCGAGAACATCGAGGACGAGCCGGGGCGGAACACGACGCGGTTCGTCGTCGTGCGGAACAGGCGTGCGCGGCCCGGCCGACGGTCTAGAGACATCGACGACGACGACACCGACAACGACACTGTCGACTTCGAGACGACGAAGCTGGTGGCAACGGAGGGCCGCCAAAGCCAGAAGCAGAGGCCCAGACGATATAAATCGCTGATCACGTTCACGATCCCGCATACCAAGCCCGGCGCGTTGGCCGATGCGCTGGCCGTGTTCAAGAACTGCGGATTCAATCTCACGAGCATTGACACGCGGCCGTCGCGGAAACGGAACTGGCAGTATGTGTTTTTCGTCGAGTGCGAGGACGCGTCCGCCCCTGCGGCAGGTACGGAGGGAGAGGATAAAGTCATGGAGATGCTGGACGAGTTGTGCAAGTTTACAGAGAGCTTGCGATATCTAGGGAGATTCGTAGATCGCCTACCCGAGCAAGATGGTGACGGCAGGGACGGTTGAGAAGATACTGAAATGCTCATCCAGGTTGACCATCAAGGAGTGACTATCTGAAAACTGCTTAAGCAAACATACATGGCCTTGCGTGGTTGCGTTTTGCCGACAGAGGCGGACTGGCCTTGGCTTTGTGAGAAGTGTAACCAGCTCAAAGCCTCTGAGCCAGTGCTACCGCTCGAGCTGTCCTCCAACAGACAAGAGCCATACTGACGAACCAAAAGTAAACGAAGTTGAGCTTGACGTTGAAGAGAGAGACCAGCTCGGTGGAAAACAAAACTAGATTTGATCATGTTGGACAGCCTCGATGCGGCGAAGCTTTAGACTTGGACGACGGCGATCTTGAAGACCGTCTACCTATTTGGGAGACTAAAAGGTGTCGGTTCTGTGTCGATTCGCAATATCGCTCGTTCGCATGGTACGATAAGTCGGTCTTACATTAGACCCCAGAACTGGGCGCCCGCAAGCTGACCGAATACTCGTTTAGTTGTTGGTGGGCTTGCGGACGACCCAGACTGCAAGGCCCAAACGCCGTCGCTGATTCAGACCATGATCATGTTACGCAAATTGGTGCGTCCTGCAGGCAGAAAATGTTAGTTGCCGCTCCAGTGCTGCCGAACGAATCTGGGGTCAAACCTACCATGACGAAGGTCGAGTTCTTGCCTTGCTGGCGGCTTCATTGCTCGCTCAGCATTGTGAAGGGCACCGTCCCTCGTGCCCAACCTGCCAAATTGCTTGAGGAGATGTGGCTTGGCCTTTCTGTCCACATTATTGGCATATGTCCCTTGCGTTGGTGGCTGGGACTGGGGTGCGTCACTTGGACGCCGAGTAGAGCGCGGAGTTGCATTCGAGCTGCAGTCGAGAGCTTCGACTTCTTGTCGCTTGTTGTTTGTAGATGAAAGCTCCTCGCACTCTACTGCGAGGTCGGTGGATTGTCAATCATCATAGAATTCGTCCTCGTCGTCAACGTCAGCTAACTGCTCGAAGTTGACCTTGTACCGCAAGATGGCGCCGATACCACCGAAGCCTTTCACGAATTGGTTGCCTTCGCTGGATCGGTCCGAAACGAATTCCAGCGTGGCGCCAAAATCCTTGTACTTCTCAGCGAGCCATTCGAGGAATGACCCTTGATCGACCACTTCCATTTCTTGACCAGTCTCTTTATCCATGAACTCCTCACGATTCTGCTCCTGAGCCTTTGTGGTGTGCAAAATCTTCTCGGACCCATCCGAAGCCTTCAGCACCCACCGGGTCACGTCGAGGTTCTCATAGACAATCAGTGTCTCACAAGCACCCAGTTCCAGTGCCTTCAAGGTATCTTCGACACCGTAGCAGACGCGACCGCTATCCTGACTAATCTCCTCGAAGTACTTGCCGATGAGCTTTTTCTCTTGAATGAACTTGACATTACCAAGAGTTTCGGATGAGAGATCAATGGCCTGGTTGAATCCGTTCTCTCCACCGTATGAGACATCCACGACCTTGATGACCTTGCTTTGCAGACGAGCGTCAAACATGTCGGATTGATTCAGGTCGTTCTTGAAGTCTGCCGAACCAGCCAGAACAATGCCGGCGACATTGACCTTGTCGTTCGTGATGAAGTTCTGGACAGCCAATTCTGCGACTTTGCGAACATAGTTGTGCCGCTTCTCTTCTCTTAGACGGGCGAAACGCAGAGCCGACTGACCACCGCGACCGTGTTTCTTAGGCAGATCCACAGAGAATTTGTGCACGACTTCTCTTGTGTTGCCGCTGAGCGTCCCAAAGAGGGCACCGTTGCCGTCCATGACGATAAAGCCGAATTTCTGGTCAGACTCAAGGAGTTCGCTCAAGGCTTCGGTGTGGAATTTGTTGTCACAGAGGTACAACGAGGTATTGATGGGCTTGAAGGGTTCGAAATCGATGTTGATCTTCCTTTCTTTTCCTTCCGAGGTAATGATTTCACCACAGTAGACGACCAAGCCATTTGGAGGGACCTTGGAGTAGAGCTTGAGGCGCTGCTGGGTGGAAGTGATCGCCGAGAGGACTGACAGACGGTTGACCCGAGACTTGATGTTGGAGGCGGTACCAAATTCTTCAGCCAACATTTTTGCCGCACGAGAGACCTGGTCCTTTGGCGCTGCAGCTGGGTTAGCAGATAGGCCGAAACAAACGGCTGCGGGAAATGTTGCTTACGGATGATGAGGGAGATCATGGAGGTGCCATTGCCTCTGGCTGCCTCGAGACGCTTGATCAGTTTTTTGACCTTCCAGATCTCAATATTCTTTTCTGCCTCGTTGGGCTGAGGGGCAGACATGTTTGCGGTAAAAGGCCCACCAAAAGCAGCCTGCTGGTGAACGGAAAGTGATCAAAATCCAAAGCCGACGAGGAGGAAGGGCGAGAGGGGTAAAAGAGCGTTGAGAAGACGGGAATCTATGGAGGGCGGTGAAATTCAAGGTGACGTTCGAGTAAGAGTCAAATCGTGGACACGCTCAAGTGGGTTGAGTGGAAATGCGAGCGGGTTGTGAAATGCGCCTGATTGACTCGCCAGTCACCGTCCATTCACAACCATGTCACGTTTCTCTCGCGCCGTTATCAATTCTGCGAAGCCCGCAGAAATTTCCCCGCCGCCACTCGCTCTTGGACATGGCAATGACATGCGACCTGGTTATCGTCGGCAAGCCTGCGCTCACTAGTCTGTTAGATTTCCGGGAGATGAATCCATATCTGCTTCATCCAAATTTTCTCTTCTGCTGCTTTGAATCCTCCTTTCCTTAGTCCATGTTTCTGCGTTGGCACGAGCTGCGGCGGTTTCCTGGGACGGTGCTCATTCTCCTTGTGTTCTGTATAGCATAGCTCTCCGCAGGTGGACGTTTCCTCAAGAGCTCAACCACCCACGAGCTACGTCACTTGTATATCTCCTACTTCCTCTAGGTGCCCAGCATGAGCCAGCGCAACAAGCAAGCTCCTTCCACCTGGGATGCGTACGAGCGTGGACGAGCCTCCTCCTTTGGCTCTCTCGAATCAGTGCCGGAAAACGAACAGCAGAACCTGCTGTCCTCATCCACGCCAGCAGCGCACCACATCCCGCCCATACATGGAGATGAAGAAGATGGAGGGCCCTTGCGGCGGAGGTCTTCGTTTGGCAAGAGATTCGACAGCATTCGGCACATGGGCGGACCCAACAGTATCGACAATTTCGCAAGGTCACTGCAAAGAGCTGCGGGGTTTCGTGAGATCACGCCTGTCAGGAGGAACTCGGTCACACTGTCGGAGTCAGAGCAAGAGCCTGGGCCGGCACGGTCGAGCCCCGAGCAAAGTACCACAGGCCACAACAGGTCGCTGTTGAGACAACAGTTACGAGACTATCGCTTTCAGGACACGAATGAGTCCGCCGTGCACGATGATCGACCGACAGAGGTAGAAGAGCCTACCGAAGAGTCCTCTCTGCTGCCGATGGCTAGCCGACAGACATTGAAGTCCACAACCGGCTCGATTGTTCCAGGCTCACTGCTACCCAGCGCGTTGGGGACCAGCTATGGCAGTATTTCTTCCAGACTCACCGCCGCCGCCCGGCAAAGAGCATCGATCCTGATAATGGAGCAAGAAGAAGCCAGTAGACGGGCAAGAGAGGAACCCGAGGAGTTCAAGGAGGAACCTCCACGACAGATCGAGCGAGAGGTACGCCCGGACGGAGAAGTCATCGACCGGACTGTTGGCGAGTCTACTGTGCCCATGACCATCTTCAACTCCACCAACGTCCTTATTGGAGTTGGGATTCTGGCCCTCCCGCTCGGTATCAGATATTCGGGATGGGTCATAGGTCTTGCCTTCTTGACTCTGGCCGCTTTCGGAACGTCCTACACTGCCAAGCTACTGGCGAAATGCCTCGACACGAATACCGGCTCGACAACCTATGGAGACATTGCCTTTCTAGCCTTTGATGCTTGGGGAAGAAATTTCGTCGAGACTCTGTTCATCCTGGAGCTGACAGCGGCCAACGTCGCCCTGATCATCCTCTTCGCTGACAGTATGAATTCACTCATACCTGCTGTCGGTGTGACTGAATGGAAGGCTATCGTTGCGATAGGCCTGATCCCGCTGAACTTTGTCCCCTTCAAGACACTGAGTGTCAGCAGCGTTATTGGCATTTTCTCGTGTCTAGGAATTGTGGCTATAGTCTTTGCTGACGGCCTCATCAAGCCTCGAGCCCCCGGCTCTCTGCGGGATGTGGCCAAAACATATGCTTTTCCCGAAGAATGGAGGACCGTCCCGCTGAGTCTCGGTCTCTTCATGGCACCATGGGGTGGCCACAGTGTGTTCCCTGCCATCTACAAGGACATGCGTCATCCGCAGAAATACGGTCGCGCCCTGAAGTACACTTACATCTTCACCTATGGCCTTGATTTGTCCATGGCGGTGTTAGGCTACCTCATGTTCGGCGATAATGTACGTGACGAAGTGACCGCCAACATCCTGCGCTCGACAGCCTATCCCCACGCCCTATCCGTCATCATCGTTGTTCTCATCGCCATCATCCCCATCACGAAGATCCCTCTCTCTAACCGTCCAATGACGGATACCGTCAACAAGAAGTTCTACCTTGATCTCCGCCAGATGGACCCCAAGGCACGCATGCATAGTGAGAGATCATGGAAACACCGCCTAGCTCGTGGCTCCATCGCCGTCCTGGCCAACCTCATCCAACTCGGAATCTCAATTGGGTTCCCCGACTTTGACAGTATAATGGCACTTATGGGATCGGCTCTGTGTTTCACCATTTGCATCATCCTCCCTGTAAGCTTTTATTTGAGGATTTTCAGCTCCGAGGGCAAGGAGATCTCTCTGATGGAACGGATCATCGATTGGGGACTGCTGCTAGTTTGCGGTTCGCTGGCTGTGTTGGGAACTGTGTTTGCTATCTTGCCCAAGGATAAGATCGGGGCGGCGGGATGAAGTGGGGAGTGCGAGGCTGTCTGAAGAAGTGAATGAAGATATCTGTAAGAATGAGCTAATAGTCAAGCCAGAAGTGAGTGACATTGCGGGTACATATTGCATAATAACATGGACATACCTGACCAGGGCATGCAGTTCCTTGTGCGGTGATGACCTCTCAGAGCCATGAAAGTGATTTCAAGGCCGAGCATCCACCTATACAACCTTCATTACCCCTTTTATCATTTTCGTCTTCCCAATCTCTATACACAATCACATCTTGAAATGTAAGACGGTATGGTGTAGCCGGCTCAGCACATCCTCACAAAAGCATCGTCGCCTCTGGGAAGCCCTCAGCCACAACACCTCCAGCAATGGAGCTGCTGTTGGTCGCGAAGAACAGTGCCGCCAAGTAGAGAGGGAAGTCCTTGGTTCGAACCCAAGTGCCGCCAAGAGTTGGCTGTTCTTTTTGTTTGTGCAGTTTCCACGAGGCCTGTTCGTCAAGATGGCGAGAAACTCGAACTGTGGGTTCAAGTTGCTATTTGGCAGCGAAGATCAGGCGAGTCGTGCGGGCGGCGATAACAATGCTCTAGCCGTATGCATTGCCGGCCTGACGGTCCTGTCCGTTTCCGACGAAACACAAACAAACATCGTGGTTGATACGTTGTCCCAGCACTGGCCGTCATAAAGGCAGGGCACATATGAGCCCAAGCCCTGTCCGACGTACCTACCTGTCTTATGATCAACTCCCCGACCCTCCCATGGCAAAGCCCCCAGGATTGTCCCTCAGAAACTGCACCTCCTCCGGTGTACTCGGCCGACCCAGGACCTCGTTCCTGCTCGGGAATCGGCCGAACCGCATGATCACGTCCCGATGGGCCTTTGCGAAATTCAGTGATGCCGTCACGAATTTCGTCACCTCCTCCCGTTCGGTGGCGCTCAACTTCGTGTTGGCGAGGCAGCGTGCAGCCAACAGCTCAAACAGACTGATCCCTGCGATCTGGTGGATCAGGCTCTCCGCGTGCATAAGGGGCATGTAGAAGAACAGGGTCTGCAACTCGGTCAGGTCCGGCGAGTGGTCGGATTCCCGGGCGACACTTTGGATTGCGACGTCCACGGCCTTGGCGTCCGACGAGTACGAGAGGTGCGAACCACGGTAGATGTTCCTGGGAAACTGGTCCAGGAGGATGATCAGCGCGAGGGAACCTAAAGGGGTAGTCGTCCAGTTGTCGAGACTGTCGTTACGCGCCTGTTGAACCAGTGGTTCGAAATTCGTGCGGATCTCCTCGTCGACTTGGTCGCGGTTCGGTGGCCGGAACCATTTCTCAGTTATGCTGGCGCCGGGACTCGAGGGCGTGAACCAGTACTCCAGGATGTGCGTGATGTAGGTTTGGTGCGCGTGTGAGATCTGTGGTGTTGCTGCGGCCATGTCGACTGAGGTGGTCGCGTCGGTGGAGTAGTAGAACACGGGCGAGATGTACGACTGGAAGGCCGACTGGACTTGGAGCAGCTTTGAAGGTCGCAGACTTAGCCTGTGCCTTGCAGAGGATGCAGACATACGCGTCGCCGTTGAAGGAAGATGCAGATGAGGGCGTACCCTTGTTAAGGCCTGGTCGAGGGCGGCCTTCATCCTTGAAAAATCTCCAGCTTGTTTTCACCTCCACGAGGACTCTCTGACTAGATCAAATAGTACGAGTTGCGCGTCGTGCTTCACTCCTTTTGATATATCGGAGAGCACTGTTCCGAGGCAAAGCTTCCATTTGTAAGTGAAGCTGTACGATTGATGGAACGCGGCTCGACGGTCACGACAGTGACCGAGTCCGGAAGAAAACTGTGCCGGTACCGAATGTGATCATGACGTCATCTGCTCCTCGCTTCACTTGACTATTTTGGTGCGCCGGGGTCAAATGAAGTTTGGTCTTTTGAACTGTGCGACCTGCTTGGGCCGCAAAAGGTGGTGACAGAACACCGAGAAGTGCTAGAGAAGTAAGTCCAACATGTTTTCTCATCATGCTATGCTCCCAGAGCATCGGGTTTCGACTTTCTCATGCCTGAGCCGCAGGGAGTAACCGACGCCCAAGGACCTAATGAGGATCAGAATACGTTGACCGATACCATCAACGCGACCGCCGGTCTTCCTCTCCGCAAGAGTTGCGAATTAGCAGAGCTGAAAGCATTGAATCAACTTCCTGGTGAAGAGACGTTTTGAGAGATACGATGGAGATATTGGATTCGAACGTATCTTGGAACCACTGACAGATACTTACGGGCCACAGGCTCTCGAAATGCAAATACAGCACAACCCCTTCCACTCCAAAGGGTACATGCATGGATGCCTCGCCGATACAACGATTCCGCTGCCGCGATCTCGTGGGAAAACTTAGTCTGGGCGCTTACGAATGATTCCGAATCCCTCTTCCATCTTGGCCTGCAACCAAGCTGTCTCGACGTTCAACCCCCGTGGTCCCCTTGATGTAGCGGGATCTTTCTGTCCCGAACGCCTGATACAACACGATGACGACGCATCAAACACAGTCTCACTCGGCGCGGCATCACATGTTCTAACTCTTTTTGGTATGGAGAGCCAGGTAGTCAGCCTCCCTTGCCAGGCTGGATCTTGAGCCCAGGGCTGTAAGGCACAATGAAGGCACGAATGCGAGAACCAGAACCACACATCCATTTCATCCATCATGACCAAGGCTCGCAAAGACGCGCACGCACTTCCCATCCCATTCCATCCGTATTTCGTGATTTCTCGGAAATCAAGACGTCGTGGCAAGTGTACAGAATCAAGCAAGTGCTACGATGAAACAATGTCGGCCGTTGCGCGTAGTTGGTTGGATTGGTAGATATGTTCAGGTACAAGGTAAGCAGTGTGATTTTGTGGTAACGACCGTGGAGAAGTACAATCAACGACAATGCTTGGTGATTTCTGTTCTGCAATACTCCCTCGGCGCGGCCCCTGAGCTATCAGCAGCAGTGTCGGGACACTTTCTGAGCGGAACAAGACAAGGTCCAAATCACATCAAATCCCGAACTCCGACGCTTATGCAAACAACAAACATCAGGTCGCTGCCATCTATATCTCTCTATAGTCCTGGGACATTTTTCTCGGACACGACTTCTTGTATATTCGTGTACAGTTTAACCTGGCTGAGACCTACACGGCGCGTACGGCTCACAAGTTGATGTCATGAAGCCAAACCGGCTGCTCGACGCGGTGGGAGAAGCGACTGGCCGCGAGGATCTCGACCATCTGCTGCTCGCTGACGACGAGCTCCTGCTTGGGCAAGAACCATCGGAGACCTTCGCTGCAGGGGGGCGTGGTCAGGCTGCCCTTGTAGGTCCAGAACTCCTCGACACCGCCGACTTCATCGATGGCAAGGCGCAGATCGACCTCCAGGCCCTCGAGCTGGGCGGTGTCGTTGTAGTGGATCATCGGGCCGAGCTGCTTGATAAAGGCGGATTCTTGCTGGCCGACAGCGAGTCGAATACCGATAACAGCGGCCTCATGCTCCTCCGCGGTGACATGGACCATGTGGATCTCGGCGCGGCTGCGCTTGCCGTCGATGAGGTGCTCAGACGGGGCATGGATGTGCCAGCCGATGTTGAAGACTTCCTCGCCGTCGAACTTGAAGCTAGGGAGACCCTTGACATCGCCTTCCGGGTGGTGAGGTGTCCAGGCCGGGGCAAATTGCCAGTTGAAGAAGTTACCCGGGATCTTGACGGACTTGTAGCCCTCGAAGTCCGGCTTGTGGTGGATGGAAAGATCTTGTTGAGCGATGTTGATGGGCGACTGATGCGTTCCAGATTGGCACAAATGGTATTCTGCTCGCGCGTCAGCATGATCTATATCGGTGTCGAAGCATTCCACGACATACCAGGTTTAATGGTCGCCCAGTCTGCAGAGACGTCATAGTTCCAGTCTTTGGGCTCCCGGCCTTTATCGACTCGGACTTGTCTTCGTCCCAGGTGAGGATGTGATTGGTAGTTGTCGTGCTTCGGGCAGCTCCAGGCTGTCGAGAAGAGAGCAGAAAGGAGAAAGAGCGAGGTAAGCATTGTCAAAAGAAGGTGTAGATGCGGCTCGCTAAGACTTGGAACGACTGATGTCGAGTGATGGACGAAAGGGAAAGTGAAAGAATGATGGTGGACAAATATAGCTGTGGGAAGGAAAGGCGCACTATACTGAAGGAAAGTTGGTGGTCTGATATGTCGCTCGCTCTTCGTGGGCGGGGGAGCCGGCACCTTTATGTTAGCATCGAAGAGGAAGTGTCGGCGGGAGTTCAATCTCTCACAGCCGACTCGCTGAGGGCAGGAGGGAGATGCCAAGTCGTCGCTTGTTCCAGTCCTGAGATGCTTCAGCCCTGCTGAAACGCATGGCAAATACTGGTTTGCCTGCAGCGCTTGGGAACACCGATGTCCCTCCTAGTGTAGGATGACAACAATAGTAGAGTTTGACTCGCCGTCAAGGAACCCAGGCGCACTGCACCGCCAGAGCCCCGAGACGTCATGCATACGGGGTGTTCGCGGCCTGACGGATCACAGCTTACAGCTCAGCTCACAAGCCCACAGCCTTCCGGTGCAGGACCTCCGGGGAAAAGGGACGACCAAATTATTGACCGTACCAACGGCTCGGAGCAAGGGCAATGGCGTTCGACGACAAGGCGAGCAAGCCCATGCAAAGATCGGAAAAGCATGCGAAGCCTGCCTGGCACCTCCCTGGGCGCCCAGCGATATCTGACAGCCAAGTCGACCGGAATGCTCCGCTGGGCCTGGACGGGAATAGCGCCAGCTCCAAATAGGCCTCGCGAGGGCCTCCCAGCGGACGCGTGGCTGGCAGCCGTTGCAACGGGATCTGCAGCTGGCGGAGAAAGGGGACGCTTCCAAGAAATCTCCCAAGACTCCCTAGCAGTGGGCGTCGGGGCGTGATTGGGGGTGAGCGACCGCTCTTGGCTGCACGAGACGCCCGAAGGGCCTAGACTCTCTCTCTCGCTGCCAGTGACAAGCCCCCGACCATCAGCTTTGCCCAGCGTCTCTCGCGGTCGGACCTGAGTGTGTTTCTGACAGAGATGAAGCAATTGCCCAGCAAAGGAGGTGCTCGGCGGGTGCTGCATCCATACAGTCGCCGAGATTCATTGTCTTGCTGTTTCGCACCCCGAGGGAAGCTACAATGTGCAATTACCCAGGACGTACCAGTACTCGTAGGCGGGTCGAGACTCGAGCCCCGAGACGCGAGACTCGCGGAGCCGGTGTGAAAGGGATCATATTCCGAGATCTGAAGAGGTTGGAAAACTTCCGAGCTCCCCAACGGCCTGTGTCGATCTTCAATAGTCGGACCTGAAGTGCTTTGCAAATGCGGCAAGCCGATTTCGCTATAACCATGAGCCATGCCCGTTGCGTAGGACTAGCAGCGACGATACGGTCGCCGGCTTTGTGGATGCGACCCCGCCAAAATAGAAGCCGGCCTTCTCCTAATGCCATGCCACCGAGTAAAGGGTACGTGCTGTGTACTTAATGCGTATGCCCAGCACTCCGTACAGTAGCCGTCATCCTCCTCGGAGTCTTGGATGGCCTGGCATTTTTGCTCAGCTCTTCGATACTCGATGCTCTCCTTCACAAATGAACGGCTGACGCCACGACGGCCGTGGCTGTGCCTGCCCGCCTTTTTCTTTGGCGGATCCTGTATCTATTCACAGGCCTTTACCGGAGTCGCTTGCGGGGTCGGTGGAGGGAGGTACGGTAGGATTCGCTGTGCGAAGGCAGCTCCGGCGTCGGGGTTGCGGCGGCAGGATTCCCAGAATTAGGTAAGTCTTGAGAGCAGCGATTGAGGCCAAAATATCAAGAATTTGTCAGCTGTCGGTCAAATACGCCCCATGCGAAGAATGCATGTACCCAGTACTGTGTGTTTTACACTCTCGGCTTGGAAGGTCACGGTGAGATGTTGAGGACCAAGCCCGGCTGCCCAGGCGGGAGGAATGTCACGAGGCTGGGTTCGAGCCTTGTCCAGCCCAGCTGTGAAGCATGGCACTTGAGAGCGACCGAGACAGTTTGGGCAAAGGGGACGCGTGGGGACGTAAGTATGGAGCATAGAGTTACTCCGTACTGCAAGGACACTGGGCAGCGCCATCTTCGCATCACTCGGTCAATGGCATGCCATGGACGACTGCGGGTCTCTCAGACTCTCCCAAGAGTAAGCAGGAAGCAGGAAGCATCCCTCTGGATTCTGCGCATCTTGTTTCGCCCGCCTTCGCGTGCTTTACCAGATCGCCAAGCACCACAGCCAGCTTGTTGACGTCTGCTACGGCGTCGGGGTCTTGGTCCACCGGTCCACGATGTGAGCGTAGGCTTCCACTGTCTGTGAACACATCGCCGCGGACTCTGCTGTGTGCTTGCCTGCTTCTGAAGGACATTGACTCTTACGCCCAAATTGCAGATTGTCTGAGATCATTGGCAGCCCGTGGAGGAGACTTCCTGGTGGAAGATCTGAATCGGTGCGCTTCGAACGATACTGTATCTGAGAGAATCATTACGAAGTCGTTCAGACCAGCACAGTGTTTCCTTGACAAACTCTGCTAAACTCGAGGGGATTTTGACGGTGGACGCCTTTGCATGATGGCAATGCACTAGACTCTGAACATTCTTGTTGGCGTCTACCAGGGCGTGGTCTTTTCATCTTGCTACCGGGGCCGACAACTCTACTGCAGAGAGGGACTCGAAGTATCGCGCTGTCCAAAGGTCGCGATGTTCAAGAGTAAAAAAGTTGTTCGGAACCCACGTCCGACTCATCCCGGGCATCACAACATGCCGCTTTCATAGAGCACACACGGGCTGTGTTGATCTGTGTTACCGTGTGCGTTGTTCCGTCTGGGCTACAACTACTGCAAAATCGCTAGTCCGGGCGAACTAGTGTTACGAGGTATCAGTCTATCGATCAACCGCTCAAATTTGCACCCAAAGATGGTATATTCCAAGCCTGCTTGTTGGCTACCTCGACTTCTACTGTGTCCCTGACGGCATCTCGAAGAGCCCTGAGGAATGTTGATGCCATAACTGTCAAGCACCCTTCTGGCCACTGGGAATCTGCTGGTCGTGACAGTGTGCCGGCGCCAGCTAAAGGAGGGATGCTGGAACGAAATAAACACATATTGCTCTCCCACATTCCTCCCGAGGTGCTGGCTATAGGATCCTGTGTGCAAATTTTATGCCGCCCCACCGCTGCCCGGGGCAGCTCCATCGGTGAAAATATACTTCACGTGGTACCTTCTGTTGCTGTCTGCCGCCCCAAACGACTTGTCGAAAGGCTGATCATTTCCACGGTACACTTGCTGCCAATGTGCCGTCATAGGGTCCTTCCACGCGGCACTAGGGATCAGTGTACCGGCGTAGGTGCCCGGGATCTGAGCGCCGAAAGTCGAGGAAGTGCTCCCAGTCGGGATGAAGAACAGCAGATGCCGATTGTAGTCAGCTGTTGGCTTGTTCCCAAGTGCAGCAGCTCCCTGGGCATATCCAAAGGGTACGGCTAGAAAGCCCACGTCAAATGTCTTTTCTTGAAAAGGTGCTTTCCCAAGTGTAGAACGTACTTTTGTAATTGACTTTCGTCTGGGTCTCAAAGCTGGCAAGGCCAGGGAGAAGTTCACCATACGACTGCGTTGGAAACGTTGACTTGTTCATTGTCTTAGAGTCCCAGGGGTAGCACCGAATGACGGCTAAACCTTTCGAGGCGCCGCCCTCTTTGACTTCGCAGAGAAAGTAGGCTGAGTGCGACATGATATTTTGCGTTCGAATTCTCTTAGTGCGGGAACAAACAGGACTCTCAATGATTCGGTGCACAGCGATGGATTATCGTCCTCAAGAAGGGTGGACCCTGGCCGACCTCGTCAATTTTATACTCGAATTCGTTCTCAATGAGGCGCAGAGACCCAAGCTGAAGGCTGAAGCGTGCTGAACAGCTGGCTTTGTCAGAGAGCATCATGCATATGCGCCTTTTCAGCTTCACTGTTGATGGTGGTCGTTTTCAGCAGTCTCAGTGGCAGCCACGATGTCTGTAACGCCATCGAAAGATAGTCATGTCGCATGTCAAGTATGGCTTGTTTGGCCTCAAGTGACCACTTCTGAAGGTCGCTTTCTCAGACTTCCGCCGATTTGGAACGGAAGCTGGGGAGCTTGCAGCTCAATGGCTGTAGATTTGCAAACGCTACCTCATGGTTGAGCATGTTTCCATGCTACACGAAGTCTCAACTTCACCTCGAGAAGGCTAGGAATGGTCGAGGCCCGACTCCGCCTGTAATGGTACAAGGGTTCACAAGAGACAGTGGCCAGCGAAGGCTTGAGAAAAGAAGAATCTACGTTGAGCAAGTTGCTTACTCGTCTCTTCCTGCAAAGGCAGGAACAAAGTTGAGGCTTGATCGACGCGAGCTGAAAGCAGGAGTAAAGATGTGGCGCCGAAAGCTGATGTCGGTCGGGACCGATCTGAGAAGCTTGATTTGGACTCACCATAGGATGCGGGGAATTTCTACCAAGGCACGAAAGGGTCGTGTAACCCGAGTCCTGCTTGGCGAACCACCGTGCGTAAGGCTTTTCGCGGACATGACAAGACACAGTACTTTGGCCAATCGCCCGGGACACAGCCCGCGGCGTCGTTTGAATGACCGTCTCCCCGTTCTGGATGACAGTATAGACGAGATCCGGGGTTTGGCGTTGCTTGCGCTCAGCTGAACCCTCGGATGTCCTTTGTGAATGGCAGATCAAGTCACAGTGTCGGGGTTTGACACGTGGTGGCGTGTCTGGAACGATCTCTTCAACCACAATCTCTGTCCCTCAGCCAGCCACCCTCAAGTTTTGTTGCTGTCCAACAAGATGCTATTGTCTAGGGAGATAGATCTGGTGAGGGTCTCCCACGCATATTCCTGCTTGTTAGACCTAGCTGAGTGATTCATGCATAATCATCACCTTCCCGACAAACGATATGTCTGCCAGACCGTGCAGATAGCGATCAGATATCCTACTTTCTCATCAGCTGGCCTTGTTATGGAGCTTTGAACGCAAGCCACATGAACTGGGGTATGAATGCCCAGGCATTTTCGTGCTGTACCATCTTCAGCTCAGCCCTGCTTTACGCTCCTCGCCGGCCGTTGTCTCTTTCGTCTTCTTGTAGAGTTGATCCACCACACGTGTGATTTGGATGTTGGCATCTGCATGTCCCTACGGATCTTTCGGCAATCCTGTGAGGTTGTGGGTCTGATGCATACTTATAATGTAGACGAGGAGAGCCCCCGAAGTCGCTCGGTAGGAGGCGGAAGTTATAGCTCCGCATCGCTCTTGTCCGGCGGTATCCCAGGTTTATTCCTTGACCGGTTTCGTGTCAACTTCGATGGTCTTGTGTGGCAGTCGTTGATGAATGTCGCCATTCCCACTTGCGACTGCAATATCCCAGAGCTGATCAGGATTGCGGTCTTCCGGCGGCCGGTCCGTTGCATACTCTGGCGCCGGTAAGGTGTGGTCCGTTGGAGTCCACGCACCTCACTTCGCCGCTTGGAGGTCGCTCCAAACGATCGTGTTATTTTGCAAAGCCCCTTTCCATCCGCACCTTGGGTCCGGGCGTGAATGTGGTTGATGTAAAGTGCTTATCAGCCTCGAGGCAAGTATTAAACTTTGCAGTGGTAGAGATCATCAAGGGTGATTGCCCTTTAGCCACTTGGCGATCTTGACCAGACAAGGAGTCAGCATAATACTCGAATAGAGTGATTAGCAGCACGCAGGACCGTCCACCGAGCTGATACAGAGGCATGATCGAGAGAGCACAGGCCGGCCAATCCAGGGAAGAGTCCGCACTATTCCTGTCATCCTGTAGCAGGCGAAGTAGTAGGATCAGAGGACCGGTGAGTGGAAAGGATGGAGAGCAGACGGTTTTAAGACCGACGCCTCGTCGGCGAATAGCATTTGGCCCTTCAAACGTTTCACCCAACGTGACAGCTCGCAGGAACCTTACAACAAGTTAGCCGCAACGTCTAATAAGTGTCACTCGTACGGCGATTTTCGGCACGGTCATGTGAAGACTGCGAGAAGCGGAAATTGGCACAGTGATGGTGTCTCCCACAGCGAGGATGATCGCAGCCGGCGTCTCATGGGTACGTCGACTGAGCCTCTTCCATTTGACGGTAAGGATGGTCCTTCTGAGCGCGCGTTATAGGAGTGGTCGAAATTTCCTCAAGAGTCGTGCGCTTCAAGTTAATTTAAGTTCTCGTCGGCCCAGAAGGAGTTGGATTCAACGACGCTGCTTTCGAAATCTCTCAGTCTCTCATTGGACAAGCTCCCGAGCCATCGTAACTAGCCTCGAGTCAGGGCAGAGAAGAAGCCAATTAGAGGTCTAAGCACTGCTTAGAAGGCCGGCCTTGCACAGGGCGGCGTCACACTACACCGGATCTAGTGGTGCTAGGATGAGCTTCGGATACGTCACAAACCTCAACAACTTGTCGCTTTCAGACGACTTATCTCTCAATCCCTCTCGTGCGTGCCGACTCCTCCACCAAAGCAAGCACTGCAGTGTACTCGCACCTCACTGCTTTATCTGGTGGGGGTCTGGATAATCGCATTCAAGCTATTCAAAACCAGCAACCTCCTTTGCCAGTCCGCCTGCGCTCAGCTTGGATGGCTCCCACTCTTGTTCTTGTCCGCCACGCCGAGGCACTGCACAACCAGACGAATGACCCTAGCATCCCAGATCCCGAGCTCTCGTCGCTTGGTATTGAGCAATGCGCAGCTCTACGCGATAGTCTGAAGGAAAGGTTCCCGAAGACCGCGGATGTTGGTCTGATCGTAGTCAGTCCTATGCGACGAACTCTGCAGACAGCTTCAATAGCGCTGGATTGGCTGATATCCGAAGGCGTGAAAGTCGAAGTCGATGCAGACTGGCAGGAAATCTACGACAAGCCGTGCGACACTGGAAGTCCACTTTCCGATCTTGAGGCGGAGTTTCCGGCCTTTGATTTCTCAGTCGTCGACCCAGTCTACCCGAATAAGAGCTCGCCCGAGGGCGGACGATATGCTCATAACAGGTCAGCCGTTCTAGCACGCGCACAGGCCGCTCTGGGCAAACTCTATGGTCGGCCGGAGAGGCTGATCATCGTGGTTTCGCATTCGAGTTTCATGCGGCTAGCGGTCAGCGGCACCTATTATACGAATGCCGACTATCGCATCTTTGACTTCAGCGAGCGCAAGAGCAATGACGAACCATACAGCTTGACAGAGTGGGAGTCGACAAGATCAAATGGTGGTGGCATGGGTCTCAGCCCGAAGGGTCAAGTAGAGCTTGGATCAGGGAATCTGCCACCCGATGCCGGTTCAGCAAGGTTGGAGAGCTAGACGAAAGAAGCAACACAGCATCTCTTCCGATCACTGGAGTGGTCATCAATGAGCCAAGACTTTCGCCCAACACAATGGATCGACAAGCAAATGCGAATCCGCGGCAACTTTCGATATCTTCAGGTGGTAAGGCACGACGCCATAAGGCCACGCCACAACCTTGTCAGGCCCGGATCCTCAGCTAGCGGTAACTTGCACGAAAACCTCGATCTTGCAAATGCACTCGTACAAGGAAATCTTGTACCGCTCTTCTCGCTCTTCTCGGGTTGCCAGACGACGGAGGCTCTATCGAAGTTGGGTTACAAGGTTGCCTAGTCGATTCGGAGTGTGTATGAAGATGCAGTAATATAAAGTCAAAATTTGAATTTACGGGTATGTCCCAGGTTCTGCGAAACCCAACATTTCCTGGCTGATAGACTCACAATAGCACTGGGCAACATGAGACTTCAAATGGCTTTCGGTCTGAATCACGTCGATCCAGCAGGAATTCCCGGTAGGCCGCTTCTCATCATGCACGATTGGCATCCGAGGTGGACGGCAAGAGTTGCGGCTTGGGCCGCCTTGATTTCCTGAAGCACATCGCTCGATATCAAGGTCTGGCCCTCCGCCTCTCGCACTCCGCCTGACCCCATGGGCCGCGACTTGCCCCAGTTCCATTGCATAGAGACATTGGGAGAGATTGTACGGAGTACTGGACGGAGTACTCCGTATGTCGACCTAAGTCTGTGATGCTTGGTGCGAGGCGGGAGGCCTGTAAAATCCAATGAGGCTGCGACTCCTGGATGCCAAGACACACAAGGGCATTCTGAAATATCCCGCCGCTTTTTCATCCCCATCACCGTGGAGGGCAGCCGCTGTATCTCTACACCTCCTTTGCGCTGGTGCAAAGTTCTTTGTCCCGCAAAGCCTTCTGCGCTTGCATTAGTTGATGTGCCCGATGCGATCCACTTGAACGGTCCGCAATGCATACTTCCATATAACCACGCACATGCTGGTGGTGGGAATGTCCCGTGGACGAGTTGCCGCGGCCCGAAAGACTGGCAGCCCGCTCCATGATCGCGATGCCTCGTCATTCAACGAAATAGTTTAGCGGTCCGTCGACAGTGACTCCATGATTGAGATCGTCCTGGCGGTGTCACCAAGCTGAGCTGTTGAGAAGGGGACGGCTGGGCTGTGGAGGCGACCATTTTAGGGGGTCCTGATGACCGGTCGACTACATGGTCGGTGTAGTCTAGGATTCTAGTCGACTCTGTTTTTCAGCTCAGTGAAGATAGCTAGACCTACGGTGGACATCTGGTACGTAGCTCAGCAACAGGATCATGGGCAGGACAGGTTGAAAGCATTGGCACTCTTTGGGACGTAGCGGTGGCTGGACACAACGAACATTGCTGTAATACAAATCCTACAGGGCGTCGTTGCGCTCATCGCAGAGAACTTTTCTGGAGCTGCATAGCTCACATGCAACGGGAGCACGTCTAGTGTTCCTTCGCAGCTCAGCAACTTCTCGCAGGGCAGTCGCAAGTAAAAGAAGCGTCTTCCATTTTGTTGTGTTGAGGACGACGCAATGGTGACCAGTAGCTGCCTGCGCTGGGAAATGTCTAGGCAGTAGTACCGATCGCGGGAGTAACTACATCCTCTGCCTGCTATGAAAGTGTGGCGAGACTCGTCAGAAGGCGTTAACGAGCACACGCAGCTGTGCGATACGTTCCAAACCCAGTTCCAGGCCCCATGAACCGAGGGTTGTCCGTAAGTGCAGTTGTCGACGGTTATTCCAAATCCTGCCCCCGAAACCGCCAACCGAGCATGTTACGGCTGGTAAGAGGAAGAACGGCTGGTAAGAGGAAGAACGGCTGAAGTGAAGAAAGAGGGTCCGTGTCTGCTTGTGGGCGCCTTGGTAACTGGACGTTAGTTCGTTCTTGCTCCTGAATCCCGTCCCGCTGGGACACATGGAGCTGTGGCATTGCTTGGTAATTTTCTGTGAGAACGCAACAGATCGACATAGTAAATGGTGTAGTGAGAGGAGAATGAGCGAAGTTTCCACAGGCCGAGGAAACTGTGGCATCCCAAATCAGTTTAGCGTCACTTCTTCCCTGGCCGCCTCATCGAGAATCTTCGAGGATGTCGTCGACCGATCGTATCCTCCATGATCGGGCCGTGAATAGTTGATCTACCCAGTCCTGTGTCTCGAGTCGAGAATAACAGGCACAATGAAATCACGGGCTCGGTGGTCCCTGTCAATTGGTTCGTTCCAAGGTAGGTTGATTTAACGAGCCGCCGCCCTGAGGTCGGTTCATTTCACATACCTCAGTGTGCGGTCAGGCCACGACACTGAAAGCTCCCAGTACACAGTAATCGCTCGCTGCTTTCTTTACCAGCTGAATAACGACCTAAAGCTCACGACATAGCGGGAAATGGCTTCGGAATATCTCTATCCACCCAAACCCGCTCCTGCGCTGAATATCCCTCCTGGCGCCTCCGTCAAGGTCCAGATCATCAACACTTCCGCGACCATCACGGCTCCCGTTGGAGTTTTCATGTACCCTGAGATACGCGGCCATGAACTTCTCCACGTGCCGGCATTCAGTTTTCTAGTCGAGCAACCATCTTCCGGTCGGAAGATCCTGTTCGACCTGAGCTGTCGGAAGGACTGGCAGAATTTCCCTCCAGCAGTCAAGAAGGTCATAAGCGGGCCCGGATGGAAACTTGACATCCCAAAATCGGTATCCAAGATTTTACAGGAGAATGGCGTTGATGCCGCGGCGGGCGCAATCGAGGCTATTGTCTGGAGTCATTGGCATTTCGATCATACCGGCGATCCCAGCCTTTTTCCTACCAGCACCGCCGTGATTGCTGGACCGGGGATAAAAGAGGCCTTTCTGCCGGGATACCCGACAAATCCCGAGTCACCTCTTCTAGAAAGCGACCTCAAAGGAAGAGAGCTCAAATCACTTGACTTCGAGAATTCACCGACCCTCAAGATTGGTCAATTCCGGGCTTTGGACTACTTCAATGACGGCTCGTTCTACCTGCTTGACGCGCCGGGCCACGCAGTCGGGCATGTTTGTGGCCTGGCCAGGGTGACCTCAACTCTCGAGGGCGACAAGGAAGATACCTTCATCTTTATGGGGGCCGATACGGCTCACCACGGTGGCGAGTTTCGGCCGTCAGAATATTTGCCGCTCCCCAAATCTATCCAGCCATCTCCTTTCAGCAGCAAGTATCCAAGTTCCTGCCCGGGTCACATTTTTGAGCCAGTACACCCAAGTGGAAAGGGGTCCGAGCCTTTCTACCGGCTCCAGGATAAGGTACCACACAGCCTCGAACAAGCCGAGCAAAGTTGTAGCCACATGCAGGAGTTTGATGCTGCGGAAAATGTGTTTGTCATCATAGCGCATGATGCGACCCTACTGGACGATCAAGTCGGGATTGAGTGGTTCCCACACGGAACTCTCAGGAATTGGAAAGAGAAAGGTTGTGCCAAAAGAGCTCGCTGGGCTTTTCTGAAGGACTTCACACAAGCCGTTGATGAAGCGGAGGCAAAGTCGCAGTCATCTCTGTGACAAGAGGACGACTCCTTTCTCCACCCGTACGACTCCTTTCTTTCACATCAGGTATCCGCTGCTTAACATGACTATTTACGCTCATCTCGCCTTCATCGCACCAACGTGCTGTTACATGTTATACCTGTGACATTCCTCGCATTCACACAGGTCGCGTTAGCAGGTGCGTTGGTAGCAGCATTGGTCAGATGGATGTCCGTAAAGACCATGTTCGAACAAGGAGCTGCCGCGGAACAATTGAGTGCTACGCCAACCTTTCCGCTGACGGTCCCGGAAACGTCAGAGAAGCGCAGATTTTCGAATTCCAACGTACTCGTGTCACAATAGTTGGCCTGGTCAGGCACCTTGAAGTAGCACTTGTTGATGTAGACGGCTTGACTAGTATTGTGAGTGGTCAAGCCCGTGAAAGTCACATTCGACACTCGTCCGGTACCACCGCCACCGCCTTGCGGAGGTTCGCCTTCTTCTTTGCCGACCCAAGATTTGAAGTAAGCTCCACCTGAGACCGAAGCTCCCCCTGTTCGTGGGTTGATGTCTTGGGAGACCGAGATGTCGGTCGCTGTCACATTGAAAATATAGTCCGGCGAATCGACGTACTGCCCGATCGACCCGAAGGCGATGCCGCCCCCAACACAAGTCATGTTACTGATGACCATGTTTGTCGTATTACCTTTAGGTGCCAGGCAGTCGTCCCCGCCGTGGAATTGCCAATCCTTGATCAGAATATGGTCCACGCGCAGAGTATCGAGACCATCAATGTTCGTCTCGTAGTTGGAGGAGTTGCCGTAGGGATCGGTATTGGTTCCGTTGATGTATACCTTGCTGATTTCGACGTTGTAGGAGTCTTGGATCCAAAAACTCCAAAACATCGGCTGCCGTATGGAGAAGTTGGTCACGATGACATTAGAGGAATTGAAGATGGACAGCACAATCGGGCGGCCGAATTGGTTGCTATGGCCGGCTGCATGTGTCATCCAAGCCTGGCCGTTACCATCGACACCACCTTGCATCCATCCTCCTCCATCGATCTCGAAGTTGTGACCCTCGACGATCCAGCCTGTCGACTGATTCTGAAATTCGACGCGGAAAGAGTTGTCAATCCAGTAAGTCAAGTCAGGTGTGAATGAGAGAGTGCCGAAGATCTCCAACCGGGCGTTTTGTAGCTTCATGTACATTCGCCGGGAGATTGTGTAGACGTATGGAGCAGGCAGGGTAATGGTCCCGTTGACGCCACATTCTGCGACAGCAGCCAGAATCTGGGACGAGTCGTCCTGTCCCCAGCCAAGCGGTGTTACAATGCATCTTGGACCACTGGGAGATGGTGACCGGGGAAAGGCGGCCTCATTCGGTGCCTGCCCGAGGTAAGGGTAGGAAGCATTCTTGTGATAAGGTAGTGTTGTCTGAGATGAATATACCGATGTGGTTGTAGATTGGGGGAAATAGATTGTTGAATTGAGATCAGACTGTGGACCCTGAGCAAGTGCAATCGGTACGAAGGCGAGCCCACAGAGCACTGTAAATTTGTTGCTGGGCATACTGTGAAGGGTAGATTTCAAAGATCTCTGTGACAATGTTCCTAGCTCTTCGTCCCTTTACATACCTGTGGTGGTACTTACCTGACTGACTGCGAGGAAGAGACTTGTGAGAGGGGTCTGCTCCATATATCGTACACTGAGCACTGCGGCAGATGAATCTCACATCACAGTTGTGCTACGCCCTTCTTGGCATAGAAGGAGTTTCCATAAAGCGAACCAGACGAATCAGTGGCTGACTGGGCGCCCACGTGGTTTGGAGTCAATCGAGATCGACGTCTTCTCATAACATAGATGTCAGACAATGACTCAAACGGCTACTATGCCGACCACGTTCAATTCAAGCCATAGGCTTTGGGGAGGGACAGGAGAAAGAAGTGATTAAGAGAAGGTGAGTAGGGAACTTGGCTTTATCAGGGCGGCGTCAATACTCGTACGAATCCAGAAACAGCTGTGCGTCGGATATCTCGGAGATTACAAATGCCAAGCATGCCAAGACGAAGAATGAGGAGTAAGCCACGTGACTCATAACGGGGCCGCTTGGCTGTCTCCGAAATCGCTTGTCCCTGGAGTTACTCGGTACGCTGATCTAAAATTTGGACAGAAGCTCAGATTTCCACGAGAGTGAGTCACGGTGCTCCTATTGCTTGAGGCGAATTCCCATATCGCTTCATGAGGTAGTCTCAATCAGTCGTACCTATCGAGCCCACCTCGCCGCCATCATGGCAGGCAGGCGCAATCTTCTCTCTTTGGCCTACAAAGCCAGCAGTCAGTCAACCCGGACGCGAACCGGGACCTCATTCCTCGACTCAGTCCTCCCTGCATCCAGGAGATCAAAGAGCACGAATTCCACCTCCGCTCTAGCATACAAGGCTCTCCACCGACGGTCACCTCTTCCTCTTCCTGTATCAGACACCTCTCCGCAATATGGCGCCGCAGCCGCTGTGTCGTCTATCCTTTACGAGACGCCGGTGGCTTCCACCGCGCCGCCTAAAAAGCACATCTTGAATTGCCTGGTACAGAACGAGCCTGGTGTCTTGTCCCGCGTGTCCGGGATTCTGGCGGCGAGAGGTTTCAATATCGACTCTTTGGTCGTCTGCAACACGGAGGTCGAGGATCTGAGTCGAATGACCATCGTGTTGAAAGGCCAGGATGGCGTTGTTGAGCAAGCCAGAAGACAATTGGAGGACTTGGTACCTGTATGGGCTGTGTTGGATTACACATCTGCTGCTTTGGTTCAGCGTGAGCTGCTACTTGCTAAAATCTCGATTCTGGGCCCCGAGGTCTATGAAGAGCTGATGGAGCACCATCGCGAGATGACTAGCCCCGAATCGGAGCATACTGCAGCAGATCTGGAGGACGCCGAGGAGAACGCGGACAAAAGACTGCAGGAGCTAGAAGAGAACAAGCCCGAAGAATTCAGCCTTGTCCAACGAGCCAAGGAGATGCTTGGTCAAGGTGACAGCTATCACCCTAGCCGACTTGCAGCCAGTCAAGCCCTCAGACATAAGCATGAACATCTTGAGGCCATTACACATCTCACCCATCAGTTCGGCGGCAAAGTTTTGGATATCAGCACGAACAACTGCATCGTCGAAGTGTCAGTTTCCTGCCCCACACCAACGATGTGTTTAAGATGCTAACACAATTTCAGCTCTGCGAAGCCCAGCCGTATCGACTCATTTATGAAGCTAATCGCGCCATTCGGCATTCTAGAGTCAACTAGAACAGGGTTGATGGCACTTCCCCGGTCACCCCTCTACGATCCGAATGATGAGCTTGTGCGTGATGCTGACGACGTGGTGGATGCCAGCACCCTTCCCCCGGGTTAATCATCTTTTCGGCGGTTGTGAGATAGCGACAGGCGTACCAAGGGCGGGCTTTTGTTGATTTTGGAGTATAAAGGACTTCCAGATCACCGTGCTGGTCCTCATGTAAACTGTGCCTTTCGAGAGAGGCGCCGTATTCGCAATCGAAATTCGTCCTGTGCGATCGCTCCTGTCTGCAATATGCAGTTCAATTCCATCTACTGTCCTTCTGCTTCCTTTGATCCTTTGATATGTATTGTGAGCGAAGTCGCGCATGCAAGACCGAATCTCTGCACGAGCCCTCGCCGCTCCCCAGCTGGTCGCTTGGAGTAAGGAAGTACTGACAGGTTGGGCGCCTCCGGTCCGAAGGCCAATCTTGACCTTGTCCCAATGACATGCTCACTTACAGGACGAGCTCGGAGTCACATTATAAATGCAAGTCCCGGGAAAGAATTCAAGCAATGCCTTAGAAAAGGGTTGAGCAACTCTAAGACGACGTAGCATCAACAGTATTTTCAGTCCACGGCTGACCAGAACGACGCTCAGTAGGACATTATCGATGTCCTCACAGCTCCATACAACACGTCAATTTTCAAGTAGCATGTAATCCAAGGAGCGATGCCTCTATTATGCTACTCTCTTCAGAGATCAGGGAAATCAAGATTTGCCGGGAGAAGAGCTTGTAGGACGGCTCCTGAGCAACGAGGACCTAGGCATTTGCGACAGACAGAATGTTCGCATAGCTCTTGGAAGGCCCGCATACGGCAGCTGTGCATGTCCTGCTTGGGACTTGTTAAGGTCGAAGGTGATATAAAACTTCTGTCACCATATCACAGGTAAGTGTGAAATGAATTTATGCGTGTGTTTTTGGCAGCGAGGAAATTAGATGTAAAAGCAGCGTCACAGCCTTGCAATCGACAAAGCCGGACAAGCTGCGTCATGACCTCTCACTTTCTTTAGCTTCAAGAGGCCGACAACCAGATTGCCGAATTTATCTCAAACCCATCCCCAATTCCTGGTGACCTAGATGCAAATATGGCGTCGTATCTCTCGAATCTGCCCTCTGTGAGGGAGTTCTTCCCCCCAACCCCAAGAGCGGCCAAGCTGGCGCTCGATATCTTTCGACTGTACATCCCGGTAAGCACCAAAAGTCATCGAAGTGCCTAGCATTTACATACACATCTTGACGAGTTGAGATTGAGGCGATATGTCGCAGAAGAAATGTGGTGCTTTCCTGACAAACCTGCCACAGGTCTCAATTGCGCAATGGACTCCTCTAAGTCGATTACAAGCGATGGGCAAAACATCGTACGCTACATCTCGCTTCAATCTTCCTGGACGCTACGCCTGGGCTGCAGCGGAATTGGTCGGGCCCATGAACCTGATCTATATTCTGACAGCTCTGCCTTCGAAGCTCAGACCTCCGCAAGAACTGGCGTCGAGATTCTTAGTGCTGGGCCTACCTGTTCAGAACGTGATCCTGGCCTGCCTCTATCTTCTTCACTACATCAACCGTGCTCTAGTCAGCCCTCTGTACCTCAACCCGAGCATGTCGCCCATCCACGTGTTTGTCACGATATTTATGATGGTTTTCCAGTTTACCAACTCGACGAGCATCGCGGCTTGGCTCGTATACTCGCTACTGGACGTCGAGGCGGGAAGTCGGCCCATAGTCTCCTTCGGTTCGATCGTCGGTATCACCATGTTTCTGCTGGGACTTGCAGGCAACATCTGGACAGAAACAAGGCTATATGAGATGCGGCGGGGAGCAGCGCGGCGGAAAGCGAAGGCGGAGGGGAAAGCGGTCGTCACTTACGACAAGGTATACGTGATCCCACCAGCGGAGGGCTTCTTCAAGCATATCCTGTACCCGCACTACGTTCTGGAATGGTTGGAGTGGTCAGGATACTGGCTTCTTGGAGGGGTATGGGGATTTGGCTGGGGATCGAAGAGCGCTGCATTCTGGTTTCTGATGTGCGAGATCGCGACCATGCTTCCTCGTGCAGTCGCCGGACGGAAGTGGTACGAGACAAAGTTTGGCAAACGAGCTGTGGGAGGCCGTGCAGCAGCGATTCCTGGTCCGATCAAGATATAGATGGCTTAGACGATGCGTGCAGATTCTCTGACACAGCATGCCAGCCTAACCTGACAAACCTCGGAAGGCAAACCGAAGATGTAACTGTTTTGTCACATGGCGTGATGGGGAAGGGCGTCGGATACGCAGGAACAAGCCGAGGAAGGGCTGACGTTCGTTGGTTCGTTGGCGATTGCTTGGGCTTAGTGTGCCATCAAGTGCCCAATCCAGGCAGCGTAGTGGCTGCTTGGGGCTTGCTCTTGCACGCCTGGAGGACTACGTAGTAAGCTCGAAGCGGGAGCCAAGGGATCAATCATCCCACCAGCCCGCCAAAATCAAGCCTCCGTCACTCGGAGAGTTCAGAATGTTTTTCGAACTTACTCAGACATTCCGACCTGCTCACAATTTCTCACCGCTCTGACTTGGACTTCTCCAGTCACTGCTTTTTCTTCTTTTCCAGTCTTTTGTTCACCTCTCTACCTGTTTAACCTGAAGCCTTGTTGGAAGGCAGTCTGCACTGCTCTCTCCATCTTCTCCCCAACAGTATTACAGACACGTACGAAGATGGTTCAATCGTGAGTCAATCGATCAGTCTGTCTTTATTCTGCGTGTTCTGACACTTCCCAGCTCAATCCTCGGTTTCCCTCGCATGGGAGTCAACCGTGACCTGAAGAAAGCCACCGAAGCGTACTGGGCTGGGAAGCTCTCTCAGGACGAGCTTCTGGCGGAAGGGAAGAGGCTCAGATTGGAGCACTGGAAAATCCAGAAAGATGCTGGCATCGACATCATCCCAAGCAATGACTTCGCCTTCTACGACCAGGTTCTCGACCATATCCAGCTCTTCGGCGTGGTGCCAGAGCGGTACACAAAGTACAACTTGGCTCCCATTGACGAGTACTTTGCCATGGGTCGGGGGCTGCAGAAGCCTGCCACCGACAGCTCCCCTGCTGTCGATGTGCCCTCGCTGGTACGTGTGCGTTGATGCTTGCGAGACCTGCGCTGACTTCTTCAGGAAATGGTGAAATGGTTCGACTCAAATTACCACTACGTCAAGCCCACCCTTCAAGACAACCAGACCTTCAAGCTGTCGTCTAAACCCAAGCCCGTCGCCGAGTTCCTCGAAGCCAAGGAAGCTGGCATCAACACACGCCCAGTCATTCTGGGACCCGTCTCCTTCCTCTACCTGGGCAAGGCCGACCGTGGTCAGACCATTGAGCCGATCTCAGCCCTGGACAAGCTGCTGCCTCTGTACGAGGATCTCCTCAAGCAATTGAAAGGTGCTGGTGCAGAGACTGTGCAGATTGATGAGCCTGTCCTGGTCTTCGATCTACCCAAGCGTGTCAAAGACGCTTTCAAACCTGCTTACGAGAAGCTCGGTGGTCTGGGAAGCAGTGCCCCCAAGATCGTCCTTGCTACATATTTTGGAGACATCGTTCACAACATCGATGTCCTCGAGTCGTTGAAGAACCTCTATGCCATCCACGTTGATCTCGTCCGCAACCCCGAGCAGCTCGAAACAGTGGCATCTGCATTGGGGCCTCAGCAGGTCCTGTCAGCGGGTGTAGTTGATGGTCGAAACATCTGGAAGACCAACTTCAAGCGCGCCATTGAGCTGGTCGAAAATGCCATCCAGAAACTAGGCAAGGACAGAGTCATTGTTGCCAGTTCTAGCTCCCTTTTGCACACTCCTCACACTCTTGCCAGCGAGAAGAAGCTCGACCCCGAGATTGCTGATTGGTTCAGCTTCGCCGTTGAGAAAGCCAAGGAGATCAACATCATCGCCAAGGCAGTCACCGACGGCCCGGCGTCTGTTCGTGAGGCTCTGGAAGCCAATGCCAAATCGATGCAAGCTCGTGCTTCCTCAAGCCGAACCAATGACCAAGCCGTCAAGGAGCGACAAAGCAAGGTCAATGCTGAGATGCATAACCGCAAGTCACCTTTCCCTGAGCGGATTGCTCAACAACAGAAGCGTCTGAACCTTCCATTGTTCCCTACCACGACCATCGGGTCGTTCCCCCAGACCAAAGAAATCCGTATCCAGCGGAATAGGTTCACCAAGGGCGAGATCACTGCTGAGGAGTATGAGAAATTCATTGAGAAGGAGATCCAAGATGTCATCAAGATCCAAGATGAGCTCGATCTCGACGTCTACGTACATGGTGAACCGGAACGCAACGACATGGTCCAATACTTTGGTGAACGACTGAATGGTTATGCATTCACCACCAACGGCTGGGTTCAGTCATATGGCTCCCGATGTGTCCGACCACCCATTGTAGTCGGCGACATTTCTCGACCTGCTCCAATGACAGTCAAGGAGTCGAAGTACGCGGCTTCTATCTCGGGCAAACCGATGAAGGGCATGCTCACAGGTCCCATCACCTGCCTCAGATGGTCATTTCCTCGTGATGACGTCCATCAGTCCGTCCAAGCCCAACAATTGGCTCTCGCTCTGCGTGATGAGGTTGTTGATCTTGAGAAGGCTGGCGTATATGTCATCCAAGTCGACGAGCCTGCCCTGCGCGAGGGTCTCCCTCTCCGCACTGGCAAGGAACGACAAGACTACCTCAAGTGGGCTGTGGATGCCTTCCGCCTCGCCACCGCAGGCGTTGAGGACGGAACGCAGATTCACAGCCACTTCTGCTATTCCGAATTCCAGGACTTCTTCTATGCCATTGCAGCACTGGATGCTGACGTTCTCTCGATCGAGAACAGCAAGTCTGACGCTAAGCTTCTCAAAGTCTTCGTTGACGAGGCTTACCCACGTCATATTGGACCTGGTGTCTATGACATTCATTCTCCCCGTGTTCCTTCCGAGAAGGAAATCCACGACAGAATTGCCGAGATGTTACAGTACTTGAAGCCGGAGCAATTGTGGATCGATCCCGATTGTGGTCTCAAGACTCGACAGTGGAAAGAGACAAAGGCTGCCTTGACCAACATGGTCAATGCGGCTAAGAGCTTCCGTTCCCAGTACGTCACGGCCCAGTAGAGGCCATGTAACAGACTTTGGGGCACGGGTTGTGTTTATGCTGGATCAGTCAACCTAATCCAGGCGGACGGCGTCACTGGGGTGCATGACCGAGATGAAATGGATGAACGACCAAAAGTGCTTTCAACATGATACCAATGTAGCGACGGGGGCTGGCAAAAGTCGATCTTAACATCGGCGTTTTCGGCTAGCTCTGAAATCAGACAGAGAGGATGGATGAGTAGGGAGTGACCATTTGGTCCGACGGTACGAGGATGGCTACTGCCTCATTCATTCTGGCTCTGTAGTCCATAATAAGCAGGTAAAATCAATGCCATGGGTTGTCCTTACGGGTTGTTTGTGGTGGTGGATCTGGATCTGAAACTTGCCCTCCAGCAGCAGTAGTGGTGTATCTACGTAGATGTACACCTACGTATATGAGCTCAACTCGACGATCTTTGTGAACAAAGCAGATGAGGAGGATGAGGACAACTCTGTATCAGCTCGGCAGCCATCGCCCCAGTACTGCCAACACAACGATCGTCCGTAGGACGGAGTGCATATCGTGTATGCCCTCGACGTTGAAGCGGGGGGACATCGTCGCTCGCCCCGGCCATGAGCACCGATTGTGACTCTTGACTCTGACTCTTGACTCTGACTCTTGACTCTGACTCTTGACTCCGGGATTACAATGTGCGAATGAATGTACAGTCACCATGGCAAGCCGAATCGGCTAAGTGGCTGACCAGCAGGTCGGCTACCGAGAGGACACCGACACGAGTAATGAGATATAGTATGTACCGCAAGCACGTTCTAGCTACATTTGTGATTGTGTACCTCAGGGACGGCGCGCGGGTTCGGGGCAATGGAAAAGAGGTCGACGTCAGCGAACTGACTCGTACAGTAGTACAGAAAGTACTCCGTACAGTACTGTGTTCTCCGGGACACGTACCCACTGTAGGTACCTAGGTTGGGCCGCTCGGCTCGTTCACGTTGCGTTGACACGGACTACATGAGTCGTTCTCCTTTGATTGACTGACTGACTGGCACATGCCCTTGGTGAGTGACTGGTTGATGCGTGAACTACGTGACTGCGTGACTGCGTGACTGCGGAATCTCTCGTCAATGTCAATCGGTACTGCTAATGAGGCTGGAATGTACTCTGTCCGCATGCACGGCCAGATGGACGTGTGGACGGGGCACGTACGTCTGTATAAGACCAAGGTGATTAACGTTTCTCTATAGCACCGGTCCATCCTGGCCAGTGCTCTTGAACATTTTTCTTACCGCTGTCGTGCCCCCGTCTTCTGGTGCTCCAAGCGCCACATCAACAATCACTATGACTGCGTCGGTTCCGCCCATCTCTTCACTTGTACAATTCGCGCCTCATGCCTTGCCCTCCCTGTCCCCGTGGTTCATAGCCGTCGTACTGCTCAGCTACCTTGCCCTCGTCCGGGCGTTGCGGTTTCGGGCCCTGCGCAGGGTCGAGCGCCAGTATGCCTCCCTCGTCCAAGACCCCTACGACATGGACTACAAGGCCGCGCACAAGATCATGCACCTCTCCATGCTGTACGACTGTCCCTTCATCTACGCCTTCAGCGGGCAGTTCTCGCTCCTCAAGACCTTCACCATCGCGTCCGGCACTGGGTTGCTGGTCAAGACGCGCCAGCTGGGCAGTAGCGCGAACGTGGGCCGACGCATCAACGACACGGGCCTCATCACGACCGAGTTCGTCGTCGGCTCTCTGGACAGCGAGCGCGGGTCCCGTGCGTTGGCCAAGATGAACTGGATGCACCGCCAGTACGGAGACAAGATCACCCAGCCGGAGATGCTGCACACGCTGGCGGTGAGCATCCTGGAGGCCATCCGATGGGTCGACACGTATGAGTGGCGGGAGCTGACTTACCTCGAAAAGGTGGCCCTGTTTGTGTACTGGAGGGAGATTGGCAACCGGATGGGTATCAAGGACATTCCTCCCACGCTCGAGAAGCTGGCAGAGTGGACCAAAGAATACCAGAAGACGGCCATGGCCTATTCGGACAATAACCGCATATGCGCAGATATGTCGCTCGAGTTCTTCCTCAAACATGTCTCGTCTCCTCTGCGTGGCGTTTTCCGCAAGGTGCTGATGGCGCTGCTGGAACCGCGAACACGTGAAGCATTGGGCTACGCTGCGCCTTCCGCAACAGTACAAACTCTGGTCTATCGGTTCTTCCGGCTGCGTGCCTTTGTGGTCGGCCACCTCTTCCTGCCCCGGCTCCGCCCGCTCGATCCGTTAGCCAAAGAAGATCGAAAGTCCGGCCGCCTTCATCCCGGCCAGCAAACTATCGAGCCGTGGTACGTCAAAGACACGGCATGGAACAAGTTTGTGGCGTTTTTGACAGGGGGTACACAGTATCTACCTGGTCCAAAGTTCAAGAGTGAAGGTTATTTGCCCGAGGAGCTCGGGCCCGCTAAATTTGAGAAGATCGCGAAAGATGCGGTCTTGAAGGAGGCAGAAGCTCAAAGAGCGTATGCGGCCGAAGGAGGCGCCGCAGTGCTTGGCTGTCCTTTTCGGTTCTGACTGGAGAGGAGCAAGAAATATGTCGATCGGATGACCGCCAGGAGAAGAGGGAATAGCTTGGGTTCTGATGATTTGTGTGCCAAAGATGTGGCGTCAGGAGGACGTGTAATGTTGTGGAGAGCCGGAAAGACACGTTGGCTGATACCTAGCTGAGGCCATGGTCCGCGCCATGTGCTTCCCAAGTTGCCGCATCATCATTGAGACACATCTTGGACCACTTAATTTGTATTGCAGGTTTTGATGTTGGGCGGCGAGATCGATAGACTAGGCACTTCGTACCTCAAAGGATGACCCGTCGTCGTAGCTTTTGCAAGGTCACCATGCACATACATCCTGGCTTCTTCCTATACAAATACCATGTGAAACCCTCATTAGCCCGTCCCCCATAGAGCCTGAGAGAAGTTGGTAATGAGAAAGCCTCTGTCGATTTCGGGGTGTTCGCGTCCATTGTCTGACCCTCTCAGCGCACTTCCCTGAAACGCAGGTTGCGCAGTCGGGGCATGATGGCTCAAACCGTAGGAAGGAGAGGGCGAAAACCGGGGTATGTCTCCCAGAAGCTCTGGCAAGGCCACGAAATAGTCATTGTCCATCGTCCAGCAGGAGAGGTCTTCCACACGCCCAACAAATTGTTCCGAAAACGAGTATCTGCCGGTGCTTGGGTCTCGGAAGTAGATGTCCTCAGGTTCGAATGGCCACAGGAAGCGGATGTTGGTGCGGAAAAGCTCAGCGTACCGATCTGCGTCCGCCGCGAACCGAGGTTGGGAGAAGATCAGCCGTTCACGAAGGCCGGGCCTGCACTCTATTAGATGTGATACTCTATGCCCACCACCGAAGTGGTCTGGCCGTAGTGGAAGATATGAGCCCTACCAGACAAGATAGTCAATCATTGGATGATGTTTGATGTGTTCTTGACATGGTCTGTGCAAAGCTTAGGTTAGCGGCTGCGGACAGAGTCCTGACGATAAATAGGATATGACGGACCGTTTGAGCATGAATGCAGGCAATTCGGGGCGACGCTCTCCCGTGTTAATATGCTGGTGTAGACTCGATCAGCAAAAGGTCTGGGGCGAAGATTCAACCCCTATGAGACAGGCTCGGAGAACGTACATGACACATCAACCTCATGATCCGTAAGACAGCCAATCTCTCAGCAATGCCACAGCTGACGAAGATATTTTGATCGAATTGTCGGAGAACTTTCCATCCTGCATCCAGGGGCCGGCGAGCATTGACTGCATCCCAACCGTACAGTACCGCAGAGACTGGTATGTCTCCATCATTTGCATCATCCGGGGTCTCAAGCGGAAATGTAACTGGAGTGCTTAACAGATTCACCGTGGATAACCAATCCCGGCCATTGCTACCATGCTGAGGCCGTAGAGCCAATGTCTCTGAAAACAGGCCAGATTCCGAGAAGCCGGGGTAAGGCTGATCCTTTGGGGGAGCTTGTTTAACTGAACTGAGACTTGACGGATCCAGAGTATTTTTGAAAACAGGACCCTGCATCGAAAAGTCCAGGACGTTATGCTGGACGTAGTCTTCCAGATATGCCCCTTCATCATCGCTGAAAGCTAAAGGGATGTCGTGTGCATCAGAGCTAGGGGCTGCACCAAGAGCTTCCAAGTCGTCTGCGCCAGGCACATTCCCAACGGGGACTGACTGGCGACCAGATGCGATGAAAACCGACTGAGTATTCCCAGCTGTGTGTGATTTCTCGACCTTGGATGTATCCCACTCCATCCATTTGCCTTCCCCACTCTCAGTTACTGGATCAGGTGAAATTGAGGACCCCGAGCAGTCTCCATCTGTCATGTCAAGAGCCGTCTGTGCGATTTTGGAGATGTTCGCAAGAGCTTTTCGGATCTCGACATTTTCTGCGCCCTTTTGTTTGAGTAGATTAATGGGATTGGAGCCTCCGGTCGATCCCAAAGACTGCACAAGGACCTCGAGATGCGCAATATAGTTCTTCTGTTTCAGGCGAGAGGCCTTTTGCGACTCCCTGTCTGATTTCCGTTTCCTCGCGAGCCGTGCCGGAGACAAGCGGCTGGCTCTTGAGTTGCCCTTGGTCGCATTCGATTCAGCTTGCAACTTGGAAGACATGGTCGCGTCCATCAACTCGTTCCTATCATCGATGGGTTACCACGGAGTAGAATTAACGCAGCTGTGAACGGCGCTGAAAATGCCCAACCGAGGCAAGCCAGAAAGCTGGGAGAGATCAAACAGCTGCCCAGAGCCTCGATCACCGGCTAAGGCCCAGGGCAAGCGGGGTGTGATCGTGGGGAATCAAAGTCCAGCGTTGATCGGACCTGGGGAATCCCGAGACCCGTCTCCAGCCAGGTATATCCCGCTTATGCATTCTCATGTTAAGCCTTGCAGGCTTTCGTGGAGCTCGGGGCGCTCGCTACACCTGATCATGGTTTATTCTGGGCATTCAGGTGTTGCCTGTGTCATCGGTTTTCTGTGTCATAGGAGCTTTTCGCATGAGGAATGGAGAGGCTCTCGTGAGACTGCTCGAAAACTCGCTGTTTGGCTTCTCTCCAGCGAGGTCTAATAACCACAGCATGGTGAGTGACGACTACTCTCCGTGGATGGTAGAGGTTTACCGCGTGCAACGCACAGTCGAGAGCGCATACTGTGGTATTGTGTGACTGCAGACTGAGAGGAACCGGACGCCAAGCCGCTAATTATTGTGCGCCCATGGTGCTCAAGGCTTCGACACGCTGACCTCGAGGATTGATTGATGATCTTCTCAGAGACGCAGAGTGCGATTCTGTCCATGGAGGCTGTATCTGCAGGTCGCAGAAGCCGTCCTCTGATTCTTGTCTGATACTGTGTCTTGCCAGCTGTTGATTCTCAGCTTGTGGCCATGCCTAATCGCTGCTTCGAGATCCCCTTCTTGTCATCATCAGACTCCATTGACGGTCCATATGACAACCAAGACTTCTCGACCTACATCGACAGGAAGGCAGGCTGGACAGTGGATGACATTCTAAGTCCGAAGCAGAGCGGCCACTCGCAGCCGGCCCTGGCAGACACAATCCAGACGTGGCTTTTCTTCGGCCTCATCCACGAAGCGTTCGGACATCATGCACGACAGCGCGACTTCATTGATGTCGGCTCAAGCGGTCAGCCCCTTGGTTACGACGGCACCCTTATGGCATTTGTGTTATGATACGTTCGTGAGCCCGGCTCATCCAGAGGAAAGCAGTCGCAGCCACGAGCTCGAGAAGTCGATTGCCTTGGCTGCAGATTTTGTGGGTCGGATACATTTGGATTTGCAAGACGACGTTGACGAGCAACTAGAAAAGGTTCTTTACTCTATCATGATCCTGTGCGAGGCTCTGCAACCAGCACAACCGTCCTTCCTAGCCGCCAATGGCCGCTATCAGATGTCTTGCTGGTGAACCACATGCGCTCGGTTGGATGGTGTCTCAGCGATATCCAGAAAGTGACCAAGATGCTCGACTTACATTGTCTCACCCTCGCAAGCAGGTTACCTCCCCGGGATCCAGGCTCCCATGACAGGTGCGACGACGTCCGCTGCTGTGCCAATGACGTGGTTGCCGGCGAATACCAACGGAAGCACCACAGCTGTGATGGGTGCGAGGAGTTCGTGGCTGATCCTGCGGAGATCTGCGATATCATTGAAGACGGTCATTTGCCATTGATTGATCCCAGGCAGGGGAATGGTTCAAAGCTCAGGTTGAAAAGCACTGGTGAAATCCCGAACTACATCGCAATCTCACAGGTATGGTCAGATGGGCTAGGTAACCCACACCGCAATGCCATCTACAGATGTCAGCTCAGACGGCTTCAGGAACTGGCCTGCTGCGTGTCACAGCCAGCACTACCTCTCTGGCTAGACACCATTTCCTGCCCTCGCGATTACGAGCATATGCGCGAAAGAGCCGGAAAGGCGTACGATCAGGCGATCGCCTTCATGCGGAGGACATACCGCGATGCCGAAACTGTTTTGGTGCTTGACCACTCTCTCCTTGGCGTGGATAGTAAGAACTTGACCCGTCTCGGGATCCTCCTGCGCTTTATCACTTGCGGCTGGAAACGTCGACTGTGGACTTACCAGGAAGGCGTGCTGGCGAGGAAATTGCTTGTCCAGTTTGCCGACCGCGCCGTGGATATTGACGAGGTATACTCCAGATGGCAAGATTCCAGCAAGGCAATTTCCACCCTGGCATCCGTGGCGCGTACAAAGAGTTGCGAATTTTGTTGGATTCTGGTGATGACGACTATACCGAAAAGATTCTACACAGGGTGTCTCGTCCGTTACAGTTCCGCAAGACATCTGTTTCTTCCGACGAAGCGTTATGCTTGTCAACGCTGGCGAATATGTCTCCTGAACGGGTCAAAAGAGTTTCCGAGAGCGAGAAAGACAAACGTATGGAGACGTTCTACACCATTCTGCCTATCATCAGCAGACAAATCATCTTCTGGCACGGGAGTCGTCTCCAGCAGGTGGGCTTTCGGTGGGCACCGGCTTCGTTCCTGAATAACAGCAACCTCTATTTCAGAGATTGGGACCATGGCGCATCGGCGGAGTACAACAAGGCCACGTTATCCCGTTCTGGACTCTCGTTTGATTGTCCTGGAATTCTGCTGGGCAAGCTTAGCGCTGGCTTACAATCGTTCCTCGTGACCACTGGATCAGATGTGTGGTATCATGTAAGCTGCCGGCAGTTTGATGGGCAGGAAGGTCGACCGTTTCGCATAGTCCCAGACCAGAGTATGCCCGACGTATCGTTGGCTCTTCTAAACCCTACTCCTTTCCGCGAAGACTTCACTACCCCGGGATTTGAGACGCGGATCTCCCTGATAGTGGCTATTGTCGCCGAAGAAGATGGCACATTCATTGCCCAGACACTATGTCCATCTTTCGTCTTCCGCAAAGTCGGGATCGAGGCTGAACTGCCCTTGGTCATGAAGACGTACCGGTTTTTCAGGACAATTCTACAGGAACAGCACACGTCTGACGGAAATGGTGATTCTGACTCACAGATCGATGTCGAGAACGCCTGGGTCCTCGAGGATAAATGTCTGATGGGCCAATACCAGGCGCGTGGTCGTGTCGCAGTTGTGGAACACGTCCAAAGCCCCGGGTCCGATCATGGTGAGTATCTGTTGTGGGCCGGTACGACTATGTTGAACGGACGACTCTGTCTCGTGCGCGAAGGTATGCATAATATTTTCGAAGGTTCGGAGATCCCATCGAGACAGAGATGGTGCCTGGACTGAACCGTCCACCTGCATGAAGTTTGTGATCGACCGTCAGCTACATCGCTAATCGACGAACTAATCGACATGTGAAAATGCTAACAGGATGGGGGAGCCTTGCCTGAAAACTGCTGTCTCCTTTTCTCGGTGCTCTGATTCTCTGTGTCGACCACAACTGTCGAATTTCATTCAGGATCTTGAAGTCACTTGAAGCCGGATGTTCTCCTGTTCCGCCGTGCAGTATAGCTCGGCTCCGTCCCATATGCTACGAGTAATCAGGGAGACTACCTTCCGAGAAGTCACGAATGGACCCATGCAACTCAACACGCGGATTGTTTTCTGAGGTCGCCGATCTCTTCGTCTTACGAGCGCTTGAGGATTGTGGGGATTGGAGCATGCTCAAGCGAGTACACGGCGGATACACCAAAAATCCATTATCTTAAAAGGGGATAGCATCTACTCTCCGCTCTTTCAATCAACCTCCGCCTCGCATTCCCTAGCGTCGCTCGATCGAATGTCCAATCACGACTGCGCCGACTGTTCATGATCTAGCACCCTGGAGAAGCCCAATCCTTCACCCCACCTCCGTCTTTCTGGCCTGTGCGACCACCTTGTCCGGACCTCGCGTCGAAGCAGAGGGGTCGCCTCTTTCATTTCCTATGGAGGTGGCGGCGGTCACACTCGTGTATGGACCTGCCTCGCCAACCCTACACAGATGATGATCGGCTCGCTTCCAGCATGCGCACATGAGGTCTACAGATATGCCGGTCCTCGTCAGTGCAGCGAATGAGACTCCATGCTTAAGATGTGAGCAACCGCTAACAGAAGGCATCTCAGTGCGCCACCATGATTCGACATGGGGAACTCCAACTCCTCTTTCTGGGGAAAACTCGTCTGGGGAATATCCTTGGTTCCACCTTGCCAGCTCGGCCGACACCTGCAATTGGAAATTCATTCTGGGAACACATCCGCTCTGTGTCCGCTGGTGGATTGAGACCCATTTTATGACCCTGCTCACTGCCGACCGTGGCCCCGCAAGCATAAAGCGTCGTCTTTATATACAGCAAGCAGACGACGCCCTTTCCACACCCTCTTCCGACAGAAACCTTTCGAAAGCGAACTATCTGGTCGCCAATCCGGCCAGAAGAGCCAAGCATCAATACGAAAAGCTTGATTCTCCCTTGGAAGAGAGGTCGCTATGGGTCTCGGCATTCTCGAAGACCGCCATCTGGATCATGTCCCGGGCACGGCCTTGCTCTCCGATATGATGGATGCGGAGCATCATCAATTCCACGGTATGGAACCGCAATGTAACGGCCTGGCACCAACTATCACTAACTAATACTGTCTAGGCCGCGATACTTCTGGGCTCAAGCACGCAAAGGGAGGCAACGCCGACATAGTGCTCGTCCCTCAGCCCAGCGAGTCGCCCAGAGATCCGTTAAACTGGCCAACATGGAAGAAGGATCTTCTCCTCTTGATAATCAGCGTAAATACAAGTACTGTGGGTGCTTGGGGACCTATGATCAGTCCTGGATTCGCGCAAATGGCTGAGGATTGGCATATGTCGTATAACACCCTCAACGGCGGCCTCGGCTGGGCTATCTTTGCCATCGGTATCTCCTGCTTCATCACCAATGGCCTCTCGGTCAAGTACGGCCGTCGACCGGTCATTATGCTCGGAAACCTCATCCTCTTCATCTCCTCGGTGTGGGGATACTTCGCACACAGCTACCACTCATTGCTTGCAAGCCGTATCTTCGGCGCCATTGGCATGTCCCCATTCGAAGTGCTCACCACAGCGATCATCGGAGACATCTACTTCGTACACGAGCGTGGTATCCGTCTTGCGTTCTGGGGCCTCTGCCTCAGCATTGGCGTCGGCGGCGGTAGCTGCATTTCCGGCTACATCATCCAAGACATCGGCTGGAACTGGACCTACGGGATCTGTGCGTGCTTGTATGGTGCGTTCATCATTTTGATTTTTCTGTTTGTGCCCGAGACGGTCTACAAGCGAGATCCAGCGTATAACCTCGACCTGGGCACCACGGATCATACGTTCGAAGCCCTCGAGGCAACAGAGCGCAAGGGCGAACATATGGAACACCTCGAGACAACCAAGACAGGGAGCAAGGTTGCGCATCGAGAAGTGCTGTACACGGGCGCGGATGAGAAGCCGTACACATTCTGGGAAGAATTACGTCCCTGGCGAGGGACCGAGTCTGACGAGAACTTGCTGGCGATTATCGTCCGGCCGTTCGGCATGCTCTTGTTCCCACAGGTGCTGTACGGATTCATTACGTACGGGCTTTCCACGTCATGGCTGGTGGTGATGATCTCGGTGCTGGCGCAGCTTTTCACGGGTCCTCCTTACAACTTCACCGTTTCAGACGTTGGTCTCATCAGTATCGCGGCCCTGGTTGCATCATTGCTCGGCTTTGTTGCTGGGCCGCTGAACGATTGGTCCGTCAAGAAGCTTGCTCGCTGGAACGGAGGCATCTACGAGCCGGTAAGGCTCTTGTCTATACTTTCCCCTCCCCAAGCTGCCTCAAAATCAAACTGACTTTGATGCCGTAACCTAGGAGTTTCGACTTGCCCTCAACTTCCTCACCCTCATCCTGGGCGTGGTTGGTTTCTTTGGCTTTGGCGCCACGCTGCAGAACGAGGCACCCTGGGCCGGGCCCGTGGTTCTCTATGGCATCATCTACTTCTCTATGTCATTCCTCAACATCGGCATCTACGGCTACATCACCGAATGCCACAGGAACAAAGCGCCCGAGGCGTTTGCGTCGCTCAACCTCCGGAACATTTACAGCTTTGGCATGAATTACTTCATCAGCGGTAAGTTAGGCATTTCCCATCTCGTCCATCTATCGTGGACTACAAGGCTAATCACGCCCGACAGACTGGATCACCAAGCAGGGTCCGCTGGAAGTCTTCTCCATCATCGGCGGGCTCCATATCTTTATCTGCCTGCTGACCGTGCCGATGTGGATATATGGCAAGCGGTGCCGAAGCTTCACGGCCAGGAATCCCCTGTTCAGGAAGATACAGGAGTCTTGAATGGCAAAACACTGGCAGCTCTGGTATGCGTACTCTGTAGGGAAGAGCTCAATGCGCGCATGTCTCCATGGGGGGACGAATATGAACAAGACGATCAGGGAATAGGTAGCTTGGATTGTTCCCAACTTTTATGCTATTTACGGCAACAACATATTATCTGTATCTCCCCAAGCCATATTGCCCTTCCCCCCAGGTTCAATGAATGTACTCAATCCCGTGCTCGGCCCCACGCTTACCTTTGCCCACGATCCGATACGCCCTATCCTCATTTCCTCGGGCCTCGCAGTGCGGGGTCGCCATTGTCCGAAAGGGCGTAATCAGTCTGTATGTACAAAGTACAGAAGTACACGACCTTATCTGGATGGGCACTACTGTGTGGGAAACCGTGTACAGCCAAGGTAGCCCGACTGATCCTGGTTCTACCGTGTCGAACTGTCGCTATCCTAGTGTGAAAGGTTACCGGAACTGCTTCCTCTGGCCTTCCACTTATTTCACTTCGACACTGACGGTTGCCGGAGTCTTTCTACGTACAGTACATACTGACAACGCCCTTCTCCGCATTTCGAGGCAGCGACCCAAGGACAGACCGACGGGAGTCCTTTCTGGTTTCTAATCGTGGAGAGAGGGCAAGGAAGGAAGAGTAGGATCATAGGAGAGTCAACCTTGGCACTTTGCCCAAGGCGGCAGCAGGAGACTCGACATGGCGGAAGCGACTGCGGCGTCAGGCAAGATGCGCGTGAAGCAGGTATGTGTCGTCCTGTGGTTGGTGTCCTGTACATGGGGTTCGAAATGCGTAATGCGAAACGCTTCTCGGAAGACTTTCGTCGAGACTCATAATGCCTTGATCGCAGGTCTACACGTACCCGATCAAATCCATTCGAGGCATTTCGTTGCCATGCCTGAGCGCCACGTATACGGGCTTCCCGCACGACCGGCGGTTCATGCTCTTCGACGTCAAACAGGGCAAGAACATGCACATTGCCTATCACGTCGAGATGTGTCTGTTCACCACCGCCTTCGACGACGCCACCACGCCCAAGGAAGTCATCGTCACGTACACGAAGGATCACGTCTTTGACCACCCGGAGCAGAAGGTCAGCAGGGAAGCACTTCACGTTTCGCTGGACCCCGCGACGGAAGGCCTGGACGAGGTCGAGGTCACGATGCATTCCAGCCCGGTCATCGGGTACGACATGGGCGAGAAGTACGACGCCTGGTTTTCGGAACGCTTCGGCTACGAAGTCAAGCTGCTGTATATTGGCGGGAACAGCAGGAAAGTGCTAGGGAACATGCCACCCCACGTTGCGGCAGAGCAACAGTCGGGCAGCAGTGGCAGCAGTGGCAGCTCGTGGCTGGGCAACATCACCTCGACCGCGACTTCGCTGCTCCGCTCCGTCACGGGCGGCGGGTATGAAGGGGTGGACCAGGGCATCTCGTTCGCCGACGTGGCGCCGTACCTTGTCATCAGCACGAAGTCGTGGGAGAACGCCCAGCGTCGCCTCGACGGCTCCGGCGAGGTCATGGACATCTCCAAGTTCCGGCCGAACATCATCGTCGAGGGCGCCGAGGAGGACTTTGAAGAGGACTTCTGGGCCGAGCTGGAGATCGGGGACGCCGGGGCAAAGATCGTGCTCACGCAGAACTGTGCCCGCTGCAACAGCCTCAATGTCGACTACAACACCGGCAAGGTCAGCGAGGGCGAGTCGGGCAAGATCCTGAAGAAGTTGCAGAGCGACCGCCGCGTCGATCCCGGGGCGAAGTGGTCGCCGGTGTTTGGCCGGTATGGCTTTCTCGCCAGGATCCCCGAGGGGAAGGAAGCACCGGCAATCAAGGTCGGTGACGAGGTCAGGGTGGTCAAGAGGAACAAGGAGAGGACGAGATTTGGTGAGTCTTCGCTGTGCCCCTTGCAACCCATCCATTGCCCGTGTCGCGTCCAAGAGTGCGTAGGAAAGCTGACATGCGTGTGTCCTCATAGAATGGCCCAATCTGAGCACCAGTTGAAGGGATGGAATATGGAAAACGTGTCTTTGGCTGCGGGACTGAGTCTGTCTGTCTGTCTGTCTGTCTGTCTGTCTGTCTGTCTGTCTGTCTGTCTGTCTGTCTGTCTCTGTGTGTCTGTTCTGATACCATGTTCGGCTGGCGTCCTGTTGCCCGTCCAGCACTTGTGTTTTCCCAAGCCGGTCATCCACCGATGTCTGCCTTGATGCTTATAGTATCCGACCCCCAGGGTATCATGTATGCTCCTGTCCTATACCCCGTGTCCATGCAATATTCCGATGTGCACCGCGCATGCTTTCCGCCCTGTGATGCCCGGCACGTCAATTCGTTGCCCGTCCCCAAAGCAGGGTCGTAACATGTTTCATGCATCATTCAAGCCTATGCCAAGTCATCCCCCTCCACCATGTCACTTCGTCCCCGGCGTAAACATTCCCCGAATACTGGCCTGCCCGCTCCCTCCCAGTCTCCCCTCGAGGCCCTTGGGCACATATCGACTCTCCGGCTGTCTCACGCCCTTCTCAACACTGTCCATGACCCATTGCGCGGTAACATACTTTACGCCCTTGCCCAGGCCACGCACGAGCTTGACTTCCTTGTCGATCTTCCCGCTGGCCAGCCCACCACCGACGGCATGCTCGCTGCCCAGGACGACATGCGTGACGGTGCGGCGGCCAAGGGCTATGGAAGTGTTTCCGCCATGCTGCGCAAAGAGATGCTTGAGTTGGTGGTCGGATATGAGCGGTGCGGTGGAGCCGTTCAGATACATCCTGAGATTGCGGAAGATTTGGGGCGGTGGCCGAGGAGCTGATGGCGATATAGAGGTCCCATCTACATTTGCTTGCTTGCCTGATGGGGGTGGGAGGTTTTCACGGTCCGACGCCGTGTCCTCGTGCCATCGGTCAATCAACTTCGATCGCTTGTCTCCAGGTTTTGGTTCTGCATTCGCGTTGTCCTCAACCAATCGCTTCCGGCTCCCGTGCATCAGTCCCCTGATATCCTGCCATCCTTCTTCCCTCAACGCCGGTGCCCCAACCTCCCAGTCGCCTTGCTCCTTGCGGCCATCCTTGTTGAAGTCCTCGCTCCCTGCTCCTACCAGGTCAGACAGGTGCTGTTGTCCGCCACGCCCTGTCGCGTCCCTGAGCTGATGCGTAAGCTTATGGGTGCGCGAGTCTCGCCATGACGTGCTTCCTGATAGTCGGTTTTCTGCTCTTTGATGGCCCGTCGAGGAGGAGTTGAACGGGTCGAAGATTGTACGCGTTGGTGAAGGCAGAGGCGGCTTCCTATGGTGGTGAGTCGGCATCTTGTGGGATGGATAGCGACGATGCCCTCGCTGATTCCATCGAGCGTGAGTGTTCGTTCATTGTTCAGGTGTTGTCCAGGTGATGGAAATCATCCTGCAGTGAACTTTGCGCTCCACAGAAACGCGCAGCAACACGTTCAGTTTCACGCAGTCACGTGATTGCATCGAATTGCCCTCTTGTGTCACGTGCATTCTTTTTTTGGCCGCTCATTCCTCTCTCTCCCTTCTCACTTCCCGTTCATTTCACTCTCCTTTTTCGACCCTCTCATCCATGCGAGTTCCGTTAGTTGATATTGTTGAGAGTCACTCCCGCATATCCAAGGTGGTTTCAGAGCTCTTCTCTCGCTAGAGCAACGATACTGGCTGTGCGGTTGTCCTCTACCACACGGCACAGCGGTAGCTCGCAGATTGGAGCTGAGCAGTCGAGGCCGTTGTGGCTTGAGCTGAAAATCCATGTTCGCTCCTCGCTTCGACGTCCTTCGTCTTGCTTTCTAACTCGTCTTCGGCCTCGCACCGAGTCGAGGTCGTCTACACTCTGGTTACGTCCGGTTATATGCATCTAATGGATGAACGGTTTCCTAATCCGGCCCTACCTCAATTACTAGTTAATAAAACATGCCTCGAACCGCTGCTGCTTTGTTGACCGCATACCAGCCGTGGCAAGCGGCGGCTTCACTACACGCTGTGACGGAAACACTCACCAAAACTGGGCACGCTCACAGAATTCCCTGTCTTCAACGAGCATTTATAGTCATGCCAGTGCAAATTAATCGCCCGCCATGATTGTCTTCTCAATTACTCTCCTCTTCTCAGCCTGTCACAATTATCTGCTCAAAATGTGGTCTCAGATATGGACTGCGCCGCTGCTGGTCGCGACCTTACTCCTGGAAAGCGTCGGTGCAACGCGACAAGGCGGGATGCTCTCAGAAGCCGTCCGACGAGAGCGTGGAAAGCGAGCGGCGGGCCCAGCATTGAATCCAATGCAGACCATAGAAACTCGTGCCGCCTCTCATCGGTTCTACAGCAACGATACCAAAGGTCGGGCTGTCTCTCAGGTAATCTGCGCCTACATTCGGACCGTGCTCACAATTCTCGATAGGATACTTCGTCAAGTCACTGCCTGAAATGGACTTCGACCTTGGCGAACTGTACTCGGGTGTGATTCCAATCGACGCGAACAACGCCTCTCGAGGATTGTTCTTTGTGTTCCAGCCTCGTGTCGGAACCCCGGTCGATGAGATCACCATCTGGCTGAACGGGGGACCTGGTAAGCTGGTAATGTGTCTGGATGAACTGAAACTGACTCTACCAGGCTGCAGCTCCCTTGAAGGGTTTCTCCAAGAGAACGGCAAGTTTCAATGGGCTTGGGGCCAGTTCACGCCGACCATTAATCACTATTCTTGGGTCAACTTGACCAACGTCCTATGGTAAATGCCCCCGGACTGCCAATCTCTCCAAGTTCGGCGGCTAACGACATGTTGTCGACTTTTCAGGGTTGAATATCCTGTCGGTGTGGGGTTTTCCATCGGGGAGTCTCGTGCCACGATGGAAGAGGGAATCGCTGAAGAGTTCAACGACTTCTTCCTCAATTTCCAGACCATATTCGGTATTTCCAATTTCAAGATCTACGTCACGGGAGAAAGCTACGCTGGAAGATATGTCCCTTATATCGCGTCTGGCATGTTGGACAGGAACGATTCCGCCCACTTCAACCTTTCTGGTAGATGATGCTCAACAGGCTGCGCACAGCTGATATACTGACCAAGTTCAGGTGCGCTTACGTATAATCCTACCATTGGGGAGTTCTCCTGGGTCCAGACTCAAGCTGTGATATACCCTTTGCTTCAGCAAAATACCAACGTCATGGGATACAACAAGTCATTCATGGCTACATTGGCGGCGCTCGACAAGTCGTGTGGCTACGCGGACTACCGGGAAACCTATTTCAAGTTTCCGCCTGCAAAGGTCCAACCTCCCAAGTACTTCAACTCCAGCAGCGATGCAGACTGCGATATATGGCACTCTGCATACTTCGCCGCATACGCAACCAACCCTTGCTTCAATCCCTACCTGATAAGCCTGCAGTGTCCCCTTCAAGGAGATCCTTTGGGTTTTCCCAGCGATCTCATCTACAGCTATCCTGGGATCCCGGTCTATTTCAACCGGACGGACGTCAAGAGGGCCATCCACGCGCCGGTCGACCGCGAATGGTCGCTCTGCAACGGCAATCCGTTCCTGGGTCGTGAGGGCGGACCACAAAACCTTGGCGACCTGTCGGCCGATCCCATTCAACATGTCCTGCCTCGTGTGATTGACGCAACCCAACGGGTACTCATATCCAACTCGGATCTTGACTTCGAAACCCCTACCACTGGGACTCAGCTGGCGATCCAGAACATGACATGGGGCGGCAAATTGGGATTCCAGACCAAGCCGTCCAAACCCATCACCATAACCGAGCCGGATCTACAATACGAGGCAGTCTTCACCTCTAGCGGCTTCGACGACGTGGACGATCCTCAGGGGACGATGGGCGTGCAACATTTCGAGCGAGGCTTGATGTGGGCGCAGTAAGTCAGCTCGTTTGCATCATCAGAGTTGTGGATTCCGAACTAATCCCTTTTCCTGTCCAGGACGTTCTACTGCGGTCACATGCAACCTCAGTTCCAGCCGCGGTCGTCCTACCGGCACCTGCAGTGGTTATTGGGCCATATTGAGACGTTGTGATGAAGTTGCCCAGAGTAAGAATCAGGACCTGTAGGCTGGGTAATTTCGCTTTGCTAAAGAAGATGTTGGCTACATGCACTTTGCTGGTGCTCTACGTAAAGAATGTAACCTTCTTGTCTGATATATCGATCGGAACAATGACCGCGCCAAGCCTTTTGGAGAAGCGCAGATGCGACTTTTTCTCGCAGCGTGTCGGGTCCTTGAATCTTGAGACGACGGTGTCGGTGACTTTGATTCCACTGTCTAGAAAGTACACAGTGCCAACGACTGGCCAGAGACACGTCTTCACCTCGCTGTTAGGTGACTGATTGCTGGACCAGGCGATGACGACGCCTGTTGTGCCGTCCCGAAGTCTGTTGCGCTTCCTCCGATCTCAGTCCAACCTCGTCTTCGACCCGACTTCCCCTGCTGCAACCACCGTCACGAGAATACCCTGTCGACGAGTATCTACACCGTCTCCGAGAAGGCGGCCCTCTTCACTCGAAGACATATGGCGTCCGGCGCCAGCACGAGAACCCTGCAAAGCACTCCCGCCTCCGCGGTACAGTCCTCCACGTCCTGCTCAGGCTCGAAATGCAAGCACCGACAGTCGCAAGTCTGGCTTTTGGCGACGTTGGTTTCGCCAGAGAGAGGCAGCCGCCCAGGCGTCGTCCAATAGCGGCTACGATGAAACCTCTGAGCAGCTGTTCAACCTGTCGCGCGCCCTGTCTCGCAATAGCAGCGGCGCCGAACTCAAACTTCGCTGCACCGAGTTCGACGCCAACGGCTCGGTTACGATGGTGTCAGGCGAATTCAGAAAATCAGAATTGATAGCCAAGTACGGCTTATTACCACGAGATCTCCGCAAGATCGACTCCTCCGTGCTGCCGCATATCCTCGTCCGGCCGTCGGCGATCCTGATCAACCTCCTCCACCTCCGCGTGCTCATCCAGTCTGACCGGGTGCTCGTCTTCGACGCCTACGGCAGCACCGACTCCTACACACAGTCCCTCTTCATGTACGACCTGGAAGGCAAACTGCGCCAGAAAGCCGACCCGCGGAACGGGTCCTACAACCTCCCCTACGAGCTGCGCGCGCTCGAAGCCGTGCTCATCTCGGTGACGTCGGGCCTGGAAGCCGAATTCGTGCTCGTGCGCGACCCGGTCACCCACATCCTCCGCGAACTCGAGGAGGACATTGACCGCGACAAGCTGCGCCATCTCCTGATTCACAGCAAAAAGCTGGGTACGTTCGAGCAAAAGGCGCGCCTGGTCCGCGACGCCATCGACGATCTCCTCGAGGCCGACGACGACCTCGCGGCCATGTACCTCACCGAGCGCAAAGCCACGGGCAAGCAACGGGCGGAGAACGACCACCAAGAAGTCGAGATGCTGCTGGAGTCGTACCACAAGATCTGCGACGAGATTGTCGAGATCAGCGGCAACTTGATCAGCAACATCCGCAACACGGAGGAGGTGGTCCGCGCGATCCTGGACGCCAATCGAAACCAATTGATGTTGCTCGAGATCAAGTTCAGCATCGGCACGCTCGGGCTCGCCGGGGGCACGTTGATCGCGGGGCTGTACGGGATGAACCTGAACAACTTCATCGAGGAGACGCAATGGGGCTTCGGCAGCGTCAGCGTCGTCTGCTTCGGCCTCTCCTGGATCATCTGCATCTACGGCATGAGGAAGCTGCAGAAGGTGCAGAAGGTGCGCATGTGGGGCGAAGGCTTAGATCACAGCAGCAGTATTGGCTTCCGTCGCGGCGGCGGCGGCGGCGGTAGCGCCGGCGGTGGTACTACTACTGACCACGGCAAAATCGGCGGCAGAGGCAACTGGCGCAACGAGGCCATCGAGAGCCATGCCCATCGCATCGGCAGGCTCAAGGGCGGGGGCCTCAATCTGGGCGGCAACGCGCATCCGGGCCGCGTGCTCTGGCCTGGCATGGAAGGTTTGGGCATGCATAGGTTGAACAACGCCGAATCGCGCCCCGGTGAGGGCCAGCAGCAGCAGCAGCAGCAACGACCGGGGCCCGGGCCGGAACAACCGCAACCGCGCATGACGATCCACGAGGACGTCGAGAACGTCGAGGACAAGATGAAGGCCGACGCGAAGAAAGAAAAGGGCTTGGCCCTCCCGCCGAAGAATTCGTCAAAGGGCCACCCACGGCCATGAGAAGTGATGAAAACTCTCTCGACTCGACTCTGTCTTTATCTCCACCTTGTATAACATAAACGGTTTGATGATTCCAACGGACGGGGGCTACTTGACTAGGACTAGATCTGGGCCACTTTACCTAGGGGCCCACGCACGCATGAATATACAGCAGCTAGATAGACTCTTCTCAGCGTTCGAGGGGCCACGCAAGCATGGATATACAGCCAGCAGATTGATAGACTCTTCTTCTTCTCAGCGTTCGAGCGGCACAGGGGTGTGGACATGGACATGAGCATTGCACGTGGGCACAGGCATTGGCGTTGGATTGACAGGCTACTCTAGATTTCCAGTTATATATATACACACACACACACACAGCCAGATAGAGAGAGAGAGAGAGAGAGAGAGAGAATGTAGTATGCACCCCCGGAATAGACCGGCTGTCACTACTCCGTGCTGTACGTGGATATATGTGTAGGTGCGCGCGCAACACTGATTCATGCGATCGGAAGGCAAAAGGAAAGCAACGCACTGACTGATCGATCGATCGCCTTTTTAACACATATATACAATACGCCTTCGCTTGCTCTTCCCCGGTACGTATAATATGATGTTTTTGGGGGCCCTGATTGGCCGACCGAGTCGCTCATTTGCCCCCGCTTGCTGTTCTGTCCAATACTCGGCACTGCTGCGCTTGTGCTTTGTCGCGTTGTCTCGTCTCGTCTCATCTCGTCTGGTCTGGTCTGAGATCAGATCAGATCGAGACCGGGCGTGCGCTGTGTCTTTCAATAGCTTTGGCCTCGACCTTGACCCTGACCCTGACCTTGACCCTTGGCAAATATTTTCCACTGCTTGACCCTTGCCATTCACCGTTCTTTGACACTGTTCACCACCGGACTGCACTGGACTGAACTGGACTCCGGCCCAATTCCTCTGTGAGTCCTCTCCTCGCTTTGGCGCGCCCATTGGATGCGCATGTTGACGTCTACGTTGCATCTCCACCTGCATGCGACTCGCTCACCAATCGTCATCGTCATCCTTCTCATCGTCTAGGCAGTCAAACCGTCAGTATATAGCCCGACACGGTCACAGATATACGAGCAGTCAGATAAAAGGGAAACTCACCACTGCCACTAACTTTCTTCTTCCTCTGGCTTAATGCCGCGGCCAACGCGCCTGCTAATCCGCCCTGATCTCCGGCCGGCGTGGCAGGGGTACCTGTCCCACCCGGCGGCGCAGGCGCACTACTCTCCGCACCAGGCACGAGCGCCGAACTTCGATCACGTTTCTCGCTGTCCTTGACCTTGCGTAACCCGCCACCGGCTTTGCCGCCGCTTCCGCGGATGGCGGCGAGGAGCGAGTCGCGGCCGTCACCTCCACCGGACGGAAGAGGCGGCGGCGCAGGCCCGGAGCTGTTCGGGGGTGGTGGTGGAGGAGGCGGCGGAGGAGCACCTCCTGAGCTGGGCATTGGAGGAGGTGGTGGTGGCGGCCCGCCAAAGGATGGCATGGGTGGAGGAGGTGGAGGGCCACCAAAGGATGGCATTGGAGGCGGAGGCGGCGGTGGTGGGCCGGCACCCGTAGGTGGAGGAGGAACTGCACGAGTGTTCGGGGGCGGCAAGGGTGGAGCATTGTTCCGAGCAGGCGGAGGAGGTGGAGGAGGCGGAGGAACAAAGAGTGCTGAATGAGATGGCGTCTGTCCTGCTTTAGGCGGCAGTGGCGGCGGCGGCCCGGCTGAGATCGTGGGTGTCCCTCGACTGGGAGGCGGAGGAGGAACAGGGCCACGACTCGGGGGAGGTGGAGGTGCTGAAGATTTCCGGTCGCCTGTAAAAGGCGGAGGCACTCTAAACAATCCACCTTGCGGCTGTTCTTCTTCGATCGGGGTTTTCGGAGGTCGAGGCGGAGGTGGAGGGCCTGGATTCGCCAGAGAGCCCGATGAAGCTCGACTTCGGCCTGAGGGATGGAGAGCCGGCCCTTCTTTGACGGCAAACTTGCCAGCATCTGCAATAGGAGGCGGCGCACGGAATCTAGGCTGTGGAGTCGCAGGAGGGGATGGCGTTCGAGCAGGCGGAGAGACTGACCGTGGTGGCGGTGGTGGCGAAGCCTCTCTTCCTCCCACTGGCCGTCTTGATGGAGGGGGCGCCGGCGGAGGCCCTCGTCGACCGGAAGTAGTGCTACCGGTGTTTTCCGGGCTGATTCTCGACGGAGGTGCTGATGGAGGAGGTGGAGGAGGCGCTCTAGATCTCGTCTCAGCCACGTTCGGCAAGGCTGAAGCAATTCCATTGGCCATTTCTTCTGCTTGTTTTTGTTGGACGTAAGCCTTGATGAAGTCGGCGTTTTGAGCTATTTGATCCTCAGTGATGCCCATTTGCAGGAGTTCGTCCAAGATCGGCCTCCACGACGGATCTGCGAGGTCTATTCCCCCTGCACTCTGTGGTCGACTGGTCGGTGCTGGACCTGGGCTGTAGATTGGCTGAGGGGCGATGGGCTGAGGCTGCAGGGACGCCGAGCTCTGTCTGTGGCGGCCAAAGAAGTTGCCGACGCGACTGTGGTGTTTGTGAGTGCTCCCGGGCACGAACACCTGGCCCCCTCCTGCGGCCGAGGCAAACGGTTGCGCTTTTGTGTTCTTGGAGGCATTCTTTTCCCGCTCGTCCATCTTCTTCTTGAACTGACGCGCCTCTTTCTCGTCGACGAATGATAAGCCGGCCAGACATTGCTCGAGTTCGAACGAGTGGAAAAAGGTCCTGTCCTGATTGTATTGGAATGTGTCGTAGATCTCTTGGTCCCATATCACGCCGCGATTGGCGGGTGATACATCAACCAGCTTGATCCAGAACGTATTTCCCACCAAGTCATTCGAGAGAACGGCAGCGCCCTGGAGGCCCGAGTAAGTCCATCGACTGCGGTCTGGGTACGCCACGTAGAGCCGAGCGACTGCGACAGCTTGGATTTTGTTAGACGCCTTGGGCACAGTCCGCTTGACGGTTTCCTTGTCGGCGTCAGTGAGGACCGAAGGCATGTTGGCGGATTCTCTCCCGGCCCCAGCGGAGAGGCAGGCGACAGGAGTGTACTTGGGCTCTGTTGCAGGAAGAATAAGACGGACAAAGCCAGGAACATGAAGTTGCGGAGTGATAGAATCGGGACAAGGCAATCTCCAAAAGGCCAGTCACCCAGTCTCATTGGGGCCTGAGCCGCGTGGCTCTCGGGCTCGGAAAAACCTCGTTAGGCATGCCCAATGCGGGGGCTTAGGCGTGAGGGCACCCCCTGGTTAGTCGAGCCTGTGCGATTGGAGGGACTTCAAGGATTCCGTCACCACGCCCCACGTTGCGTTGTGCAACAACGAACAGCAAGACGTCATAACCACTTTGAACAAGTGTATGAGTAGAAGGCAGATGCCTTCACAGAGTGGCACGCGCGGTAATACAGGTACATAAGTGTCTCGAATCCATTCCTGCTCTTCCGATCAACTTTCTTTCACCCCATCTCGCACCACTGCAAACTCCACATTGATCTCTACCAAAACACACCGCAATCATGGCCACATCAGACAGCGCTCAAGACTCGGTCTTCGACAAGGTCGCCAAAGAGTCCGACAACTCTACAGCCTCCAGCCACCCAAGTCATCAGGGAAAGCAGGAACAGGCACAAGCTTACCATCACCAGAGCAAGGGGCCTCAGCTCTCAGACAGTGAGCATTCATCACACCCTGAAATCACAATGAGGTGCGAAAACTAACACCGAGTGCTTCCACAGACCTGCCCGAGGCAAAAGGCAAGGACGAACTCAAGGCAAAGGCGCAGGAGATGAACGACCACGTCAGCAAGTAGGGCATTTCCTCGATGATGCATAATGGGACGGCCGGATCACAAAAGGCATTGATACAAATACATATGCATGCATGCCCGGGAATGGAATAGCAGGAATGGAATAAACCAGCTTCAGGCCAAACGTGTCCACCTGCTCTCTGGTGCCAATGCCTCAAGATGCTTCGATTCCCTCTCGAAAAGTGCTCCGTCGCCGGGCCGTCGCTATGCGTCAAGCTAACAAGTTCGTTGTATCATTCTCGTCATGATCTCCTGGCTCGCTTCTCTGGCGGTTCGCCGTCCTTTGCTCGCTCTGTATTCCGGTTCTCCGCCATCCCTTGGTCAATAGGAAGAGCTTGACTTGACTTTTCAAGAGCGGCTGGAGACTTGGTGGACATTGCGGAGTCACTCTCCTGCGATACCTCGGGCATGATGATTGAGAGATAAACCAAACGACGACAGGACTCCTCAGGATCCTTCTTGCCGGCCTCGGATTTCTGCGGTGTGGTATCTTCATCTTCTTCACCGACCTGGCCGTTGGCAGTTAGGCTTTCGTCCTCAGCGCCGTTCCCATCAGAATGCAGTGATTTCTTCTCGTCTTGAGCAGCATCCTTCTCCATGTCTTTCTCAATCTCCGGCATCTCACTGTAGTTCCACAGTGTCTTCAGATCCCCTTTCACCAACGCAGTCCCCCAGAGAGATCCCAGGACCCCCGGGACGAGATACAGCAATGCCGGCTGAGCGTGTTGGGCCACCTGCATCACAACCACAGTAACAACCATGCCAACGACATACCCGGTGATGGTAGCGTAGAGATATGGTTTTGGGAACTGTTTTGCTCGGATCTCCTTTGGCCACAGCCTCGAACTGGTCCAGAACCGTTCGCCCCAGCTTCCCCTGGCGCTGGTATAGCTTGGTCGTGTATTCTCTGTCCCTTGTCCCTGCTTAGTCCTGTTGCCCTGTCGAAGATAGTGCAGGTACAGGTCGAATCGTAGCGCGAAAGCCAATATCATACCGGGAACAACAATGTCTCCTAGTCCAAGCATGGCCATCGTTCTCTTCTTCGCTAGACATTTGAGGTACTCTTCCATTGCCGGTGACCCTTCGGGCGCGCCGACCGGCATCACGCAGCCGTCAGGACGAGGAAACAGGAGTTTGATCGGCACATCCAGCTTCGTCGCCACCGTGACCATCATCGGCGTAAAGAAGACAAAATAGATGTCGTAGAAGAACAAGGCGCCGAGGATCAGCGTCCCGGTCCATGCTGTTGTTGGAGTCACATACTGCAACGAGCCGTAGCAGAAGGAGAAGCCGAGGAAATTGGTGAGAAACCAGGGTTTGCCAATGAAGGTGTGGTAGTACACGATGCTGCAGGAGAGCGTCAGGCTCAGAATATCAAGGAATTCGACGGGCATCTTCAAGGTGATGAGTTTGTGAACATGGAGCTCAAATCGTGCTTTGGCGTAGAGCAGCCGCCGAATATCCCAGACCCGTAGCGAAACGACTCTGGGAAGAGGTATCTGTCCCAGCGGTCCGGCCAAGGGCGAGCCAGTGCTCTCTCCCGTCTCAGTCCTGAAGCATTTCGCCCGCGGCTCGACTTTCCACAGCACACCGCTCCTGGAGAACTGATTGGGGAGCAAGAAAGATCTCATGAGAGAAAAGGCGTCCTTGAGAAACTTTGTTGCGAAGAATAGACCAACTTGGGAGAAGTAGAGCCCCAGAGCCCAATTCAACCAGGCCGGATCCTGGAGCCATTTCAGGATGAAGTAGAGCGACGCTAGTGTGCCGCCGGCAAGAACAGGGAACATTATGGCGTCCGAAGGAGTCAAGCTCTCGACTTGGGTTGACGTGTCGTCGCGGTCGTCTTCAGCGTCGTCGCCGTCCATCTTGAGTTTTCGTGGTGCGGCGGACGATGGTCTAGTCAAAGATGCGTGAGCGGCAGTATAGATCGGAAAGATTGCCGATACAAGAAGATGCAGGTATGTGGGCAAAAGAGGCCGCATCATTTCGAAGTGGTAAGCCACCTGGCCCATGAACTGAACGGCAGGGCCTGGTTCCGAAGCCATGTCGTTGTCGGTGGCGGAGGGTGTAGGAACGCGTCAGGTCAGCAGTGCGTGACAGAGGGGCGGCCTCCTTAAGCAGATATCATAGCAAGTAGACTAGACTTATGGAGGTCAGGAGAGAACGGACGGATTCAGGCAGCAGACATGAAGGACATAGTGATTGAGAAGAAGAAGAAGACGACGGAGGAGCGTCGAGCGCAGAGGCCAGGCTGTCCTTGGCGGATCGTGATTGGTCGGATCCACGAGGCTCTGCTCTCTCCAGGTGGCAGTGGCAAACATTGCCCACAGTACAAAACTATCTCCTGGGAATATAGTAGGTAAGCAACCGTAACGAGCGGCTCTCTACCATTGCCTTCGCGCGTTCTGCCCAAGCGATCTCTTGCTTAAATTTGGGATAGGGCCGCAGCGTCTCGTACGCAATCCTCAACGGACATGCCACACTCTTTGGTCCTTGATCCAGCAGGCTGTCCTGCAAGGCATACTCTACCGACTGGAAGATGTTGCGGCAAGGTGCGGCAAAGTCTGCTCGGTGCTCGAGAGGGGGAAAATCGAAGAGTGTGCTGACAGCATGTCCGTCCTCAACCTTGGCCGCTGCCATGAAATGCAGCTCCAACTCGTCTAGGAGACGGTAGAGCTGCCACATCCCATGCCATAGTATTACCTGAACGGCCCAGTAGATGATAACGGTATTGGCAATCGAGAGGTTGGGAAATTGAAACGCAACTGGAAAGAGCATACCATCTTCCGAGTCGCCATGAAGGTCTTTCTCGCGCGCCAGCTCCGGCCAGCACACTGGTCCTTCGTGGCATGCCTCCAGAGAGTCATAGACTGACTGCAATTCTGAGTCCATCTCCCAGCACTTCCAGATCATCTCCGTTGCGAGCTGTAGTTTACTATGCGGATCCAGAAACTGGAGCATCTCTCCCCGATTACGAAGCTCGGGAGCACGGATGAGAAAGTCATAGATGCGATCGTAGGGCGTTCTGGGCATGTTTCGCCACGGGACTTCCTGCCACAACGGGTCTCTCAGGAAAGAATACTCGCCTTGGTCCAATGAGTACAGGATCTACGTCTTTGTTAGGCCGTTGTTGCTGGATTGGTGTACACGGATGCTTACCTCTTGGATACGGAAATGGACAAACACTGCGTGGCCCAAACCATCCACATGTGCCTCAGGACCGCGGAGCTGGACAAGTCTTCGGCAACCTAGAGTGTTGCTGACATAGCCGTGCTTCGATCGGTTTGGACATTGGCTCATCTCGTACATGCCCAAGGCCACGCAGGCAGTGAGAGTCTGGTCGTCGAGCATCAATGCAGGATCCCACAGCGCCAACTGCAACACGTGGAGGGCACGCCGGTAAAGCTTGAGGCTCTCGTAGCGTAGTCCTTCGTCGTGGTGGAGATCCCCCAGTTTTGCTAGACACAGCGCCATCATCGAGATCTCTAACGCAGGAGTAATATGAGGAAGGCCGGGGATCTGTATCAACCAAATCCTTTGCTGCATAGGCCCGACTCGGGTCTTGGAGAGATGGCTATCCAGGTACACCTTGAGAAGCTGCTGGCGAAGAACAGGATTGGCGTCGACTTGTGCCCCTAGTGGAACAAGCGATTTTGTCGGGTCAAAGTGGGTTCCGTGGGACACTGCAGTGGTGACGGCCGAATTGAAATCCGGATACCCGGCTTGGGGGTGCCCAGACCGTGCCCATCCATCAGAGTCAGAATTCGTCTGTGTCGTGGATTCTACGTTGTCTTCCTTAGGCGGCTGATGAGGGATGAAAATGGGGTACTTCCGGTATCCGAGGCAGATTCGTTTTGACTTGACACACTGAGCACAGCTAGGCTTCTCCAATCCACACTGTCATTGGTTACTGTCAGAGAAATGGTTCCTTGGTCAGCAGTGATAAAGGGATGAATACCGCTATCTTGCGCTTTCTGCAAGTGCCACAACCACGGGCTCTTGCTATTCCAACCATGGTTGCCGACCAAGCATTGAGTGCTGCTCGAAGGAAGGCTTGTATGTCTTTGGCTGGTGACAAGAACAGGATCCGGGAGGGGAGGCTTGAATCTACAGAGGAGAAGCAGAAGGGCTTGGAAGAATTTAGGGCATCTTGCGAAATTGCTGAAATGCGTCTGCCTTCAGAAGTGGTTGTTCACGACATATGAGGGTGTTGGTGCTTTTGCGGCGGAAAACGCCTTGTTAGCCTTGTGGAATTCGTGGCGTTTGGCCATACCGCAATAGGTTTATTCGGCGAGGGATTCTGGGTGCGCATGAGGACGTAGCCCGAACTCTGGAGGCCAGTGCCAATAAGATGCTGAGTCCGTGCAACGACCGGGAACTAAACCACCTGCCGTCCTTTATCAACGAACGGCACGGGTTTCAGGACTCTTACGTGCAAAAAGTGATGAAAATATTAGTTAGAACATGATCATGTCGCGCTTGAAACTGCTCGTTGAGAAGCCGGGCTTAGGCAATGGACCGATCAACGCCAGTAAAATCTCAATGGCAGGCATCTTGATAAGTCCAAGCTGATAGACGTAAGAAGACGGCCCTTAATGCCAGACAGCGGAATCTCATAACACAGTCTGATCGACTCGATTGGCGCACCGAAGACGCGAAGGCAGGGTAGAATACCACATGAAGTTCTGTGTCCAATTCAAGAGACAGTAGGCAAAGAAGCTGTTCTCGGTCAATAAATTGCAGCGTATGTGACCTGAAAATGACCAAAGATTTGACAGGCATCGAAGCGTATATGGTTCAAAGTAACAAGTGGAAAGGAAAGAGAGCATTTTGAAGAGTCCCGTGATTTTGCCCTGTTAATCGTTGTCAGAGAAAATTAAGCTCCACCGTATTCATTACACGTGACAGCGCGCCTCTACTGCGAACTATTATTCCCAAAAGTGCATTTCTTCGGAAGCCCTGAAAGTGACCAACGCGTCCTTTCCCCCATTTCTCGCACATGTGCATCTGAACAGAGTTGAAGACGCCATTGACGCTTGGTTGTCGCGCATGTCGATATGATTCTACGGTCACAATGCGGCGAGCTTCATTGAGGCGCACAGCGAGCATCACAGACCTCCGCTTCACTCTCCGCCGCGTGTTCGGCAAAGACGCGTTCAGACCGGTGCAAGAGGAAGTCATCACCGCGGTGGTTGCTGGGCACGATGTCTTCGTCTGTGCAGCCACTTCTTTCGGCAAGTCGCTATGCTACCAACTGCCCGCCGTCGTGTCCTTGGGGGTCACAGTGGTCATCTCGCCTCTCCTGGCCTTGATGGAGAACCAGGTCCACGCAGCCAAAGCATTGGGCATTGCCGTCGAGATGATCAATGGCAGGACGGCGCTGACGGACAGGCGACGTATCGAGGCCGACCTGCTTTGCGGCCATCCGGAGACCAAGTTGCTGTATGTGACCCCCGAACTCTGCGCGCTCGACCGGTTCCGCAACATCATCATGCAGATTCATCGCCAGGGCCAACTTGTACGGGTCGCCATTGACGAAGCACATTGCATCAGCGAATGGGGCCATGACTTCCGTCCCGCATACAGGGACCTGATCTGGTTGAAAACCAGCTTGAATTGCCCTCCTGTGCCAATGATGGCGGTGACAGCCACTGCCACGAAGCAAGTACGAGATGACATCTTCGAGTTCCTTGGCCTCGATCATGACAAGACGAAATGCTTTTCAACGTCAACCTCCCGCCCGAACATTCACTATGAAGTCCAGTACCTCTCCGAATCGAATCCGAAGACTGGTGATGACGACATGTTTTCGCACCTGTTGTCCAAGCTGGAGTTTATGCACCGTAGACGAGTCACGCTGCTCCGGCATCTTAGACAGCGGGATCCATCCGCAGCGGTACCGCCGATCACCGGCATTGTTTACGTTACCATGCGCGCAACAGCAGACACTGTAGCCAGCAAGTTGACTGGTGCGAACATCAGAGCAAGCGCATACCATGCCGGCCTGGACCCGGACAAGCGCGAGAAGATTCAGAGACTGTTCGAGAGACACGGAAAGGCAGACCCACGGCTATTGCAGGTAGAAGACGACGAAGGCATAGCTGCGTCTTTCAACATCATCTGTGCCACAACGGCCTTTGGTATGGGCATCGACGTTTCGTCCATTCGCTTCGTCATCCACTACGGCCTTCCCAAGGGAATGGAGGCATTCGCACAGGAGTCGGGTCGAGCAGGTCGAGACAACAAAGCAGCCTCCAGCATCATATTGTACACCCGCGAGGAGGCAACTCGTTGTGAATATCGCATGAGCTGCGAGGCAGCCAAAGATAAGAGCAAGGCCAAGACGGAGTCGAGATTCGAATCGCTCAAGAGGATCGTCGAATTCTGCGAAAACACCAGCACCTGTCGCCACGAACTGGTTAGTCGCTATTTCGGGGACAAGAAGGACGCTGCCGAATGTTACTATGCGTGTGATGTGTGTAAAGAAGGGCCAGCAAGGTTGAGGCAACGCAAAGAAAAAGGGCTAGCCACGGAAGAGCAAGCCATCGAGTTCACCCAGAGAGAACCCATGAGATACGACGACTACGAATGACGATGGGCAGGGATTAGAGTGCATGATACCCGGCAATATGGCATAGATTGGGAAGTAATGCACGGACCAGGAGGTGCAGAGGCTTCCTAGGTACTGACCTACAGAGGGGCTGTTCCCTCCAATGTACAGTATGTCCCGACCATGTTTCAGCTCTTGAGGTTATAGTACCCGCCTCCAAACTCGACCAACCAGCCCCTCTCCACCTTGCTCACATCCTTGATATACACCTTGTCCCCTGTCTCCAACAACTCGTTGAAGATGACGTACTCTGCCTTCCTGTTGAACATGAGACTCGTCGGATGGGCGTGCATGGTGACGTTTCCAGAGACGGACTTGAACGTTCCATCGGGTTGCATCTTCGCGGCGTGCGAGAAGTACCCCGTCACCAGGCACTTGAGGATGTCCTGTGCCTTGTTCTGCGGCTGAGCGGTCGCAAGTGCGGACCGGTCGTCT